TTGTTTTCCCAAACGCTTGAGGTCGCTGCGTTCGTTGGTGTCTTTTTTATTTGTTGGCCTTCTCTACATTGTCTACTCTGTCTTTTTTCCGTACCATGGAAATGAAGAAAGGGTTTATTTTGGACACAATTTGACACGAAACGCCTCATATTTCCAAGCTAACACAGGCCAACACCTTTCACTCTTGGCTAACCATTTCAAGCAGTTGGTGGAACAATATGAAAATGAACGCACAAATATGGAAAAAAATCTCAGGGATCGTGAAGCGGAGATTACTCTGCTTAACAACCAAACCAAACTGGCATCTAGCGAATCAGGAGTAGTTTTCAAGCAGACTGTTGTTTGCGGTAGTAGTGATATTTTCCTTCTCATTCAAGTCCACTCCAGTCCAAATAACTTTATGAAGCGACATGCCATTAGGCTCTCATGGGGAAATTTGGAACACTTCATCGGCCATCGACAAGGGGTGATTGTTCGAAGGTTAGGTTACGACCCGGGGGGGACTCCGCGTATGAAAGGGTTGGGGATGCTCGTCGTCTCGCTTAGGGGTGTAAATTTCGGATTTTGGTCTCACTTAGGGTGTCCCGGGCAAAACACCATCATATTTAACCGCGAAGGTCTCGTTTAGGGTTGCACGTGAAAAAATATAAAAATATATATATATTGTCTGTGATTTCACATGGTCTCTTTTAAGGGTCAAAAAAAGCTTGGGCTACGCCCAGATCGGTCTCCTTTAGGGGTTTAATTCAAAATTTCTGACGAGCAACCCCACCCCTTTCATATGCGGAGTTCCCCCCGGGGGTTACGATTATTATCTCAGTGATTATAAACAGTATAAATTATATTGTTTGAGAGCAGAAGAAATAAGCCTCTTATTTAAGCCCTTTCAATTATTGATTAATCATCTTTAGTAGAAATGAAAATTCAAATTATAATTCTTTCACTTTAATGCAGTGATCATCCTGAAGCTTGTGTAGAACTTGCCGCCATTTTCTCAATTTAGATTTTTTTCGCATTTCTGATCTAGACCTTCGTTAATTTATCAGCGGAAATATTGGCGCCATTATGCGTGGAATATCCAATAATAAATGGTGTCAACCTTATTCCCAGGGCCCTCTCTCTTCCCCGCTTGAGAAAACAGGGGAAACTGGAAACTATGTTACATGTAATGACGAAATCCGAAAGATCTTTTCACAAGGATCTATAAAACTAAAACTTAAAATTGATATTTGTAACCAATGAAACAAAGGGAATGAGGCCTATTCATTCTCTTTTGAATCATTGTTCTCTTTTTACAATAATTATTCCACAATATCCTCGTTTTACTTCATAAGGATATATATCTTTACAAGCATTTACGGGAGACTTAGCTGTATTAGCCGGGGGCTTGCAGCTTACCGTATTATATATATACAGCATGCAATTCTTTCATATATTTTCAACAGGGTTTGGAAAACTGTATTTATCGTTGGCAAGAGTTTGGATCCAACAACAGATCGTCTTGTAGTTCAGGAAGCTGCCATTTACAAGGACATCGTTATAGGAACGTTCGAGGATACATTTCGAAACTTATACAAAAAGATGATCTGGGGTCTTACTTGGCCAATGGAAGAAAACTGCAGTGCTTCATACATCCTTAAAACAGATGAAGATTGTTTTGTTAATGTTGGAAATATCCTTCATTGGCTTGACAGATATCACATAATTACAAATGGAACACAACCGATATACGCCGGTCGACGGCAGGATAATATGCCAGTCGTTCGGGACAAGGAAAATCGCTACTATCTGTCTGAAGAGGAATTCCCTGAAGAAGAATTTTACCCGTACGCTTCAGGAGGTGGTTACGTTTTCAGTGGAACATTATTGCCTCTTCTTTCCAATGTTTCAAAAACCGCGCCGTTATTCCCAAACGAGGACGCATTATTTGGTTCGCTCATGCGCAGAATCGGAGTGGAGCCAACAGATAATACCAAGATTATTCCTCTGGTCTACTGTGAACGTGCTCACAAGATTCGAGAGGAGCGTATGTGCAGTTTATCAAAACAGTTTATACTGCATGGCGTGAAAGGGAAAGAACAACTTAAAATGCACTTCAATAGCGCGTTATTCAGCTCTGTTTCTTCGCTTTGTTCGGGACTGCCAGACAGCGACGACGAGATGCGAGATCGTTGCGAACACGACAAATAACAACGTCAGCACAGTTATATTATTTGCGTTCCATTGAAATGTAATCTGTCTAGGCAAATCAGTGGCTATTCCCTACAAATGAATACCCCCTACAACACTGAATACGCCACTGCAGAGAAGAACAGGTTGGCGAAGTCTTTCGTGCTCCATCCGCCGGTCAAACGTCTAAGATTTGGAATTTCTTGTTGTTGTTGCTATTTTATTTCAGTAAAGGGACGCATGGACAAGGATCTATAAGAGATCATGAAAAAATTATTTGATTAGTTTGGCCATATAAGTTATATGCTTTTGGTTTGACCATATTTTAATTTCTTCAGATAATGAGCTCCGTTTTGCTAAAACTGACGCGCACTCGAGTAATACTCTGTTGACAAATAGCGCGGCGGCAGTAATACCAGTTTCAATTTTTGAATACTTAGAACTTTCTTGAGTAAAGTTTACTTACAATGACCTCAGGAACTTTTATGGGGAATTCTTTTGTTCTTTGAAATTTTCCCGGGGCAAGTTTACCTTTGGAAAATCAAACGCTGGCTTTTAATAATTTTTTTTAAAAAAAGGCAACTCAATGAGTTTGTACGCTTGCATGGGCCTGTGATACAGTCAGGTGACACGTGTCAGCGGATACCCTTTGTGACAGCTGTCAATTGACCATAACATGGATGTCCATAAGGTAGTCCACTATCAAGTTAAACACAGATTGCATATGCCTTGGACAGCTAGCTACAGCCTCAGTTAAAATTGTTGGGACACTTTGCCGTCCTCGTGCCCTCCCAATGTTGGTGGGCAAGATTTGGTGAGTTAACTGCGGTAAACAACATTGGGAGGACGAGGAGACGGGCCAGAAGTAAAAAAGAAACAGCGTTTGGGTGGAAGTGTCCCAACTACTTTTTGTCTGAGACTGTAGTGTAGTAATGCTCGGCGATTACAAGATAACAGCCAACCAGAGCGCGCGTACTATTATAGACATATAATCAGGGCAGCCTCAGAGCTCAGACCGATTATCCTTTATATATTGCGCATGTCACCACCACTGTGTTAAATCTATCTTTAATAGACACAAACTAGCAGGAAACGTAAGTAATTTAGTTCCTAGACATCGCTTAAAAAACTAGACATTATGGCAGACATAATGTAATTTATGGCAAGGCATGGTACTCACATGGTAACTCGATAGGCCAGGCTGTACCAGATACTGCAAATCTAGCCAGTGAGGTTATAGGGCGGTGTCAGAGTTAAGTAAGTATATCGAGGTATTTTCCCAGTAATTCTTCCTTCTCTCCCTCGCCATCAACTCGGTCAGATCTCGAGCAAAATCTTTTCCTCCTCCTCCCTTTCACCTGCCTGCGGGTTATTATTGTTCACGGTATTTCTAATTTCTGCTTTTTTAATTTCTGCTTATTTAAATGTGTAGTTTTTGGCGGATTTTTCTCGCCCCATTCGATCTTTATTAAGTAGGTTAATCGGTTTACATATATCAATGTGTTGTGATTCTGTTAGCTTTGATTTCATTAAACCTGCCACAATAGTAATTACTTTGTAATTTAGTTCCTTAGGCATCGCTCATACATAATGTATCCGTATCTTCCAAACGTAAAACTTTGAATTTAGTTTCAAATCGATTTGCAGCGTTTTGTGGGCCTTTCAAAATTTTTTCGAGTTAATTTAAGTGGAATTTTTAAAAGCAATAATCAAGTCTAATCTGGGTGACCGTTAACCTCGCCAATGGTTTTGATCAAAAAAAAAAAATTTGAGTTAACGTTACTGATATGGTAATTTTTTCATAGTATATTGACTGAATTGCTGAATTTTTGTAATATCAATGCGTCAAAAATATCCGATGATCGTTATTTGATCGGCGAAATTCTTTTTACCGTTTTGGCCTAACATACGGCGCTGATGTATCATCTTCTGTAACTAATCATCTGCTTCCTCAAAATGTAAATCCTTCAAGTCTGACCCTGGCTTGTAAAAAAAGGTTACTGATATTGCTAAAGTTGTAATGCAAATATCTACGTATTTGCCCGACTTTTCCGTTTTGTAACATGGCTCAGTGCACGTTTAGCTAAGTGTACTCAAGTATACAGCTAAATCAAAAAGGTTACTTTGATAATTGGTCATTGGTAATTGGACATTCGGCACTTTAGCATATTGAACAATGCAATGATTTACTTGAATGACCACCAAACCGAATAGCTTTCCAATGCCCAAAGCAACCTGTTTTGCATCAGCTGTTTAATAAAAACGGTGTCAGTCCATGCACGTAGCGTTGTAAGTGGGAAATTAATGTTTCTCCTCCTTTGCAAGCGCTTGAAGCCGTTCGTTTTGCTGTTGTTGTTGACGATTCTCGGTCTCTTCCTTATGATACGTTCGGTTTCAGTCTTCGTGAAGAGGAAGAACGAAGTCAAAGAATTCAACATTTATCCAAAGATAACAAAACATAATCACGAAAATAATAACACGGACATTGCTGGTGCGGAAGTGAACAAACATCTCTCCGTTCTTCGACAAGATTTAACGAAATTACTCAACCTCTATCAGGCAGAGGGGACCAGATTTCGTAAGCAGATTAGAATTGTCCAGAAAACGCCATTACTTAGACTGAAATCTAGAAGAAACGTTGGAAAACAAAATGTTGTTTGCAGCAAGGATCTTTTTCTACTCATTCAAGTACACTCGAGTCCAGAGAACTTCATGAATCGACATGCCATTAGGCTATCATGGGGAAATACGAAACATTTTATTGGCCAAGGAAATTTTCCAAAAAGGTAACAAATCTTTAATTGTAACTCAAATTTTACCTAGTAAGTAATTTTCGTAAGGTTGACCCTTTAAACAATAATTACCATTGACAGCTTTGTTTTAATTTCTTATATATAAAACCCGCTGCGCAACACAATATACTTCGCACGTGAGGGAATATAGGTGCTGACCCCCAACGACCTTTTTCTGTACTGTTTGAAATTAAAGAGCAAATATTGACAGGCAAATTTCTTAACCTCACGAAAAGTCAAAATTTCTGAATCACTAACCGTTCCATTCGTCTGAGATTTTTCAGAGGTTTTCTACTAACTTACCGGTTGCTAGGGGGACAGATGTTACTTAACCCTTGCTCAACCAAGCAGACCAATCAATCAATACCTTTATTTAAGTGGCAAACTAACATAGCAGTAGAGAAACCCGGGGTAGAGGAAATACTAAATGGGGACACTATAAATTAAACTGTAAGCAATTATTGTAACAGTTAAAATCGAATTAAAACTATTTACGAGTGTATCATTAGTGACTAAAGACCAAAGTCTAAAATTTATACGATTATTGCATGTGTATAATTACTAAATCAAAAAAGTGCGTATGAGCTTAGTAAAAATAGTAGTGGTTACACACCACATAGAGTGCAATTTGAGCACTGAGCGTCAGCAAGGAATTTAGGTCGAGCTGTAGAATATGCTGCTTGAACACAGATAGTGTAGGAAGGTCCCTGATCTTTTTGGGCAGTAAATTCCATAACTTAGGGCCAATATACCTAATAGAATGCTTCCCATGTTTAATCGCATTAAAATCTATATATTACAAATTCCTTGTTCCTCAGAGGATATTTGGTATCTCTCCTCTGAAAATGATCAGCAATGTATTTAGGACTCTTATTTTAATGTTTTCTTTTGTTTATTTGTAACTATTTGGCACTAAATGTTAGATACTGTTTCACAGGTTTAGTAAAATCACTCTAAGATTTTCGGATATTGCGATTATTGTTTAAAAGGGTCTCCTATAAATTTCAGTCTGTGTAAAAGCTAGAGACTAAACGTTTCCTAGAATGTTCGGGTACTCCACGTCCTCGAACTTTGAACTGCCGGTCTGATTTGTAGCAAAGCCTTAATTTCGTTTGCTCGATTTTGGTTACTCGAGAACGCCGACTCTTAATCTTTTCTCCTCCTCAATCAAGAAAGCAAAAGGAGGCTTATCTAGCAGGTTAGCAGGGATGCCACAAAAAAGGTACAGCGGACTGACCGTGTGTGGGTTGAGTCATTCATTCGTTTATTTATTCATTTACTGTATATATAAGACCAAACGTTCCCTAGAATTTTTTGGGTACTCTTTCACCTGCCAGTCTGCCAGCAGAGACGCCTCTCTTTCGCTTGCTCGATTTTGGTTTCTCGATGAAGACTTTCTTTTCTCCTTCTGCCACCCAAAATGTACAGCTAACTAATAGTGGTGGATCGAGTCATTTATCCTTGATTTATTTATTTATTTCTAGGTCATGGAAAACTGTATTTCTCGTTGGAAGGAGTTCTGATCCCAAGACAAATTTTTTGGTAACTCGAGAGGCTGCCATTCACAAAGACATCGTCATGGGAAAGTTTAACGATACTTTTCGAAACTTGTACAAGAAGATGATTTTAAGCATCTCTTGGCCACTGGAAGAAAGATGCAGCGCTTCATATATCCTTAAAACGGATGAAGATTGTTTTGTTAATATTCGAAACCTCCTTAACCTGCTTGACAGGTATCACGTAACAAACGGAACGCAACCGATATACGTCGGTCGACGGCAGGATGATATGCCGGTCCTTAGGGACATAGAAGACCGCTACTATGTCTCTGAAAAGGAGTTTCCAGAGCCGTATTTGGCAATTTGCTGCCTCTTCTTGTTAACGTTTCAAAGACCGCGCCCTTATTTCCAAACGAGGACGCGTTGCTTGGTTCTTTGATGCATAGAATCGGAGTTGAACCGATAGACCATGTCAAGTTTATCCCTTTCATATTTTGCGAAGGGAACTCCCAAGACGAACTTATAGAGGCACAAATGTGTGCTTTGTCAAGACAAATTATAGTACATGGCGTTGAAGGGCAACAGCAACTTAAAATACATTTTTACAACGCCCTTCTAAATTCCCTTCCTTCTCTTTGCTCCTTGCAAGATAGATATGAGAACATTCGAGATAAATGTGGACGACTTCAAGAGTCAGATAAAGGGTGAGAGTATGAAAAAGGGTGTCACTGCTTATGCTAAGAGAGAATAATGGATAGAGAGTACAACGCCCAGTCTGGCCCTTGGGATATTTGAATTTCACCAAAGTTATTTTCAGACTAATTAAACGCTTAAAATTAATCAGAAGTTGGTTTCTGGAGAGGTATGCAAACTTTACGCTTTTAGTTACGTTTTAGCTGGACTTGCCATTAAAGGCTGCCGCAGTCGTGGCACTGCCAGCAGTTTATTCTATGTACTTCTTGTATTATCATGTGCATTGGCGAGTGGTTGAATAAAATAACATAAAATAAGCCGTCCCCAATCCCCAATGATCCCCAATCCTGTTCCCAGGACTCCCTCCTACTCCTTCTGAAGGTACCCAATCGATATACGCGGGTAGACGGCAGGATAATATACCAGTCGTTTAGGAAGCTAAACTTTTGATTCATACTCTGCTACTTCGTGTGAATACGATAGCGTGGAAGTCAAAGAAAAATCAGTAATGTGTCATGCTTCTTAAATTATAGCTGGAAAAGTCGGTGTATTTTTATTTTATTTTTCACATTCAAATCATTTCGTTGGTCAATTTTCGATATGAAGCTAATGTATTACATTTGAAAATTGGGGAATCCAGTTATTTTGCCTAATTGGTCGTGCAAGCGTTGTTTTGGAATCGCTGAAATCAAGAATCAGCTGGGCGTGTTTCTCTGACTTCAACACTTCTAGGAAAACCCGATGACACGCTGCACGTTCACCAACTGTCGTGCGAACTTGAATGGACCAATCAGAAAAATTTTAATTGTTTTTTTGCTGAAACCAATCAGAGGCAATTTTGTTCCGGGGTTCCCCAGAGCTCTTCCGCCCTGGCCGTCATGTGCAGAAGAGCTCTGGGACCGAGATTGGGGCAAGTGGGGTTGGCAAGTGGGTAATTCGAGTACCTGTGCAACGGGGTATATTCTTTGCGTTGAGAAGACTGGGTGGGAATTGTTTTACCAATTTCGTCCCCAAGGCTTGCTAAAATGGCGGATGATAGGACAGGTAGAGTGTGTGACGTCTGTAAGAGGTTGCTGTGCCAATCTATAGCAATCGATGAACGGTTTTTGAGTGGTTATCGATTGATCATCGATTAACCAATCGATACCAATTAACTAATTTTATAGTCTGCTACACAGCCGTTATTAGTGTCTAGCGTTGCTTGACGACACTGATAACAGCTGTGTAGCAGACTACTAATTTTATCGATGGATATGGATTGGTTTTCCGATCATCGATTTCTATCGATTGGATACGCCCGGCGGCCGGGATTCTTCAACTCTCTTTCTTCGCTCTGTTCAGGACTGCCAGACAGCGACGACGACTGAGGTGCGAGATCGTTGTGAATACGAGAAGTAACAACGTCAATACGGTTATATTATTTGTGTTTCATGGAAAAGCAATCTGTCTAAACAATTCAGTGGCTATTTTCTACAACTAAATAAATTGCACGGAATTTGGCAGTTTTACCTTTGTTAAGTAAGACATGTTTCCCTGTCTTTGCAAGAGCTGCTTCAAGGTATTCGTCTTTTTATTGTTATTGACGGTTCTTTGTTTCGTCTTAAAGATAAGGTCCGTCTTACTTTCGTTTTATTTTCAATATGTTTGTTTACTATTCCCAATAAATTATATCTTTCGCAAACTGAGCAAACACCGTGATGATAACTATCAAAATAATTTTCCCCAAAAGCATTTGGCGGCTTAACTAAACAAACTATAGCAAGTAAGTAGACCTATAAAACAATTGTAGAAGTTTATGAACCGGGAATGCAAACAAAACAAAACAAATCATTTCAACCATACTCAACTTCTTGATTGGCATATTTTTCCTTTTATTTTTTTTTACAGCATCTTCATTTGAAAGGTAGCATTTTCACCCAACACCAACAAACCTCTCTCAATCTAACAACACAATTCTAGATGGTCTTAAACGACCACACATCCCCTTTATAGGTAACCTTGTTGTTAATCCTGGTATCAACTCTCCAGAAATACTCCTGGCCGCTTTCTAACGGTTTCCTCAGCTTCACCACGTTCTGCTCACCTCTGGCCACACCCTGTTGTTTCAGGGCATTTGGAGAGGTACCCAGGTAGAGTACATAGGCTCTACCCCCAAAGCTGTTGAGCCACATCAGTACATTTCTACTGGCTGCTTTCACTTCAGTGGAGCCGTCCGGTGGAACAGGATTGCTCGCCTTGAATTGCCAGAACGGAAAATTTAAATTAGCATCGCAAAAGTGAAAAATTGACAAAGGATTTTTCTCACTCTTGCGCTGATTGGTCGAGAGCAATGATCGATCAGAGCATGCGCATAGACCATGAAAATGACGGGTGGTGGCGCGAGTCTCTTTCCTTTTTCTTGCACGCACAATTTTACCACGAAACTTCAACGGAAAATGGTAGCTTCCGTATAGCCTCCCCTTAGTCCGATTTATTTTATGAGGGGAGGGGGCGGTTGTACCAAGGCTACGAAAATAGTCGTCGAAAATTGTCAATGTTATGGTAAAAAAACAAATCAACAACAATTTTCGGATCATTATACCTTTCTGGGAAACTGCCCACCTACCCCTCCCCTAAGCCAACATTTCGCCCTAAGGGAGAAGTAAGTGTTAATGTTGGCTTAGGGGAGGGGTAGGTGGGTAGTGTCCCAGAAACGTAAAAGGTCGTATAATGATCCTAATTTCTATGAACGAGTAATACAGACCATGGAAAACTGTTGTCAATTTGTTAAATAAAGACCTTGTACAAAATAATCGGTACCACAGAAAACAACTGCTCAGCAGCTTTTAGGATTACCGTGTACTGACAGCATAATAATAAATAAATCCACATGATTTTAGACAAACACAGCCCCATGTTACCTTGTACTGAATTCTGCCTGGTATCCAGTATTTGGTTTTGGACTCTTCGTAATTATAAGGTCCTACGTCGTCTTGAATGTACGATGAACCCTGTTTTGGTCTGAAGTCCATGTTATCTGGGTCCATTAGCTGTTTTCGCACATCTCCTATGACGTTTCCTAGGAGTTTACCACTCATGGGATAAAGCTTCTTGTTATGTAGCCCGCCGTTGGCGATATCTGCTGCGTTGTACTCCACCACCGTGTTGTGATTGATTGCGATAGGGTTTTGCCTCACGTATCTGGGGGAGAATATGGTCTTAAGCTAAAACACCTTTTATTCTGAACAAGATGGCCCAGGCGAACAACCACCGGGGGGCGGGTGGGGTGGCTTTTAAATAGTCTGCTCAGTCTTTCAGATCGCACTGACGGCGCAGAAAAAATTGAGTACGAAAAAACAGCGAAGGGTGGATGGAAAGGGGGCGGGTGCAGGTAGAGACGGAGAAGGAACTCCGTTGCTTCCACTCTTCTTCTTTTTCTTTCTTTTTTTCCTCCTTTTTTCTCCACTCCTCATTTCGCGCAACCCTTTAATTAGTATCTAAACGTCTGGAATAGCAGGGAGGGATAGAAGAGAAAGGGAGATTGCAACGATCGAGGTAAAAAACAATTTGAATTCTACCTCCAGTTCCAAGGTTGTGAGAGTTTAAAAAACTTATTACCAAGGGGAAAAGTGCTTTGATGTTTAATCAAATTACCTCAACTAATTCATTAAGGAAATGTATGTAGATTAGTTTGGAGGATTTGTTTGTGGATATTAAGGATTAGAGGGTTAAATAAATTACGCTGAACTCAGCTACATTTCACTTAATAATAAACAAGAAGGAAACCGAGTTAATTTTCGCAAAGACTTCTGGGACTGTTTACAGGGATAAATGAAACAAATTGGCCAATCGCTGACCGACACGTCAGTAACGATCCCAGGAATATTTCGGCACCAGTCTCCTTCTATTTCCTAAAGTGGCGAACGACTAACCTGAGAACACACAAGTTACATTTACTTCCCTGTCCATCGTGATCACCAGACTTGGTAAACTTGTGGAAAATCAAGTTATGATCGACCTTATGTTCGTCACCTTTCACCATCATCCCATTGGTCTTCCGGATCACGTTTCTTCTCATAGTACCGTGTCTTCCGATCTTAGGCGGACCTCCGTCAAAGCGAAGTCCATATTTGGGGCTGTCATAAACCCAGTTTTGTTCCATAACAAGGTTAGTTTGGCGCTTTATTTGAGACTGTATCCCTGCACCGTCGTGTTGCAGCATCCCCCAGCATGTTCGGCTGATGTCGTTTAGCTTCGCTTTGGACGCGTAGCCGGTACGGAATCCCACGCTAGCTCCATTGTTCCGCAGGGTATTTCTAATGAATTTGTCGCCACGGCTTTGAGACACCACCGTTCCAGCCCCTACAAATAATAAAGTAATGTAAAATTCTTAAACTTGGCAATCGAGAGTTGTTGCTTTAGGGTAGCCTTTGTACAGACCCCCACTCCCCTCATTTTTCTGAGGGGAGTGGAGTCTGCACCCAGGCTACTTTGAGAGAATTTTGCTCTTTTCAAGGGAGCCTTGGGAACCACGTTGACAGAGAATGAAAAGAAATATGAACAACGAATCTTACGGGGATCTTGTTTCTCTCACCATCGTAAATACGTTGGGCCCCAAAGTTTACGAAATGTTATCATATTTCATGGGATAAACCTGGGGAGTGTACTCTACAAAGTTTTACACGGGGAGACTCCGCCCCGAGGTCCAACCCCTTACCCTTTTATATACCATATTTGACAAAAAAGGTACCCATAATTTTCGTATACTTTCCATTGACGAATGGGTACCCTTTTCACATACCTAGTTTAGAATTTTTTACACCAGTTATTAAAATGACTACTGTAAATGTACTATCTTACAAAATATGGACAAGAGTGAGCTATCTCATTCTCTCTTGATCTGAGTGATAAATCACAAACCCTGTAAAATTTTCTCGATTTTTTCAAAAACTTTCCTTCCCTTTCATACACTGCAACTGGGGAAATTCCTGCCCTTTCATATACCTGAACAGGCCACTATGGAAAGTACCCTTGGGGGCGACAAAATACTCTACGGATTCCCTGCGCCGTTGCTAGCGACAGGGTTGAAAATGCCTCTGACTCCCGTTTCTTATTCTCATACCTCCTTGTGCTTTGACCATGTTTGCACCACTCCAGTCATTGTACTCAAACACATTGTTCTCCACAGTATCATTTACACCTCCATACTCAAGAGCGATTCCGTCTGTTCCGTAAAAGGTGTTGTTATAGATCCTGACACTACCCTGCACAGCAAACACCTTGGTCCACTTAGGAGGGTCGGTCTCATGGAGCATGCGCCTACTGTATGTCGGGAACTTGAAGTGAAGCGAGTTTAATTCTAGTTTGTGGATGTTTGACCTGGCATCCAATGTGGTCGCGAAGAACGTCAGATCTTTAATGAGTAAATAAGTGCTGTCGGTGATTGTAAAGGCGAGGGTTTGTACCTGAGTGGAGTGAGATTAAAAAAGATCAGTAACCACACCTAAGAGCTTTTGCGCCTGCACCAAAACCATATCAGATAGGGCTTCTGGTCACTCACACGAACGGTGATTTTGGCGCGATTTCTGTAACGGAGCGAAGCCACGCCGATATGTAAAGTGGAGAGTTACTTATGTGCCACGCTTTGGACCTCTTTCTCTTCAGTTTTTTAAAACAGTTTCATGAAATGCCTAAAATGCCTAAATATAGTCTTAAATAGCAAAACTGGTCGTACTTTTTTTTTATCAGAAAATATGAGAACTAAATTTTCGAGTTGACCCTGGCGATGGATGCATTTGAGAGTGAATATATGCACAATGTGTTGTTATGACAACCATATACCTTTCCTCTGACGTCACTTCCTTCAGGCGAGCTTCCACTTAGAGTCATGACGTATAACGTTTTGCTTGATTTGTCGTAGAACCACTCTCCTGGATTATCCAGAAACTCGAGTTTATCTTCCAAGAAATATTGGTTGTTTTTAGGCTTAAAATTCAACGAAGAACCGAAATCATCTTCATAAGTAAACCTGTCAGGTGTTTCTGAAAGAACAACGACGGCAATAAGTTAGAATTAAGATTTTCACGGCCATGCTCACACGATCCGGCTAACGATCGGTCGATACTGATTGTTCTTGAGTCACTCTCAAGCTTAATTTCAAACTGGCAACTAAAGCTCTTATTATGATCAGAGAATATACTTAAAACTCAAACAACTGGTGTAGACGAAAACAAAATTCGAAAAGAAAAGCTAAAAGGGGGCGTAAACAGGTAAAATTAAAGAAGATTCATTGTGGATTGGATTCGGGTAAAATTCAATAACGGCGGCTCAATTTTTTCAAAAGTGTATGAATGTGAGATTCATATAATGTTTGTGTTGAATCATCTTAACTTGTCTCTCGTACACATTCTTCTACTTAATTTCGCCAGTAAAAGGCTGCTGCTTCTGCAAAGTAAAAATAATTTTTCTTTGTGGTATGACTATCAATTATCCGAGTCCCATACCTTTCTTGTGCCTTAATACTTTTTTAGTGAAAGTGCAGAAACTCCCAACATTCAACACGGCCATTGCACCAGTCGCATCCAAGCCACTCTCGGCCAGCTTGTGCTGTCCACCGTCAATCATAAGCCCGCGAGTCGATTTTGTAGACGAATGGGCCCAGTACTTATTGTCGAATATGGTTTTGTCAGACCATAAGGAATTTGGCCAGCGGGCGTTTGTCATCATTTCCCCATCAATAAACAGCTGCCAAATGTCTTGGTCAATCACGGCTTTGTAGGCGCCGTTGGACATTTTAACCCATTTTCCATCTTTTGGTTTTACTGGAACAGTACCGTCTAGTTTGGTTTCTTCTTGTGAATGACCGCGGATAACGATGGGACTGCCCTCTCTGCCATGCTTGTTTTTGATGGTCACGTGTTCATGGTACACGCCTGGCTGAATGACGCACTCGTCTCCAGGCTCTGTCAGGCTGTCCACGCAGTCCTGGATGCTGTCTTGAGGACCCTTTACATAGAACAGTTTGGCAGACACCTGTACTGTAACTATGACAACAACTCCTAGCAGTAACAGCGATTTAACTGCTTGAGAAGCCATGGATCAGAAACACGCTTGTCCAGGTTTACTCCGTCCTGAGTGGGAAATAATTTCAATCAACTTTTTAAAGGAGCCCAAAATCCGGGGAAAGCAACTCCCATACAAGGCCTGTATTACGGCCTTTTCACGGACCGGTCTATTTTAAGACACATTTTAGATCGTCTTTTCCAGCAAAAATGGAAGCCCCGCTCCGTCTATATGAGCGAATTCGAAGTATTGAAAACTAAACGTCAATAAAAGGCGAAAAATACCTTTTTTTAGGTCTGTAGGTTTTGCTGACTGGTTAGTGGTTCCAAAAGATATTCTAAATTCGCGGCAGTATACTGGTAGGTGATTTAAAATATACATAGAAACTTTTTAAAACCTTTTATCCATAAAACTGATGATAGTGAAAAGTCGTTCTATGTTTCTTTATATTAACATATTTTTCAAACGCGAATCGGAAGGCCAAATCTGATTACAAATTGCCTTCAGAATTAAATGGCTTAATGTGTTGAGATGGTAGTTAATTAGAAAAGACGTTCAACTTCTCTTGAAATGTTTTGTAAATCCCGTCTGTAAAGCTTACCCTGTTAGTGGCAAAGTCCCTTCGTCGTCTAAGCCCTGTTTGTGGCGAAGTCCCTTCGTCGTTCAAGAGTGCTTGTTTGTGCTTAAAATGTACTGGAAAACCTATTATGAACAAAAGACAATATTGTCACGTTTCAGTCTGATTTATTTACAGTAATTAACTGAAAGATTGGTCTTTACGCAGCTGTGGAAATCTAGTTAACGAAATATAAACATCCGCTTCTTTTAAGTGGCCGGTGCTAAGTAAACGTAGACGCTTCAACGGTTCCAAGGTAATCTAGACAAAGAGTTCCGTATCCATTACCGCTAAGGGTGGGATAGCAACTGCAGCTGAACAAACTAAAAAAAGAAATGAAATGAGGTTGTTGAAATAATTATCTCTGTTATTGAAGAACGTATTCTTGTAGTACCATTTGTTCACACATATTTGGAATTGGTTCATTGACTAGGACAAAAAGTAGCTCCGCAGTAGGGGAAAAAGAGGGAAAAAAAATCGGCGAGCGAAACGAGCTGAGCGGTAGTCTGGGGAGAGAAAATGGTGGCGCCGCCCTCCCCCTCCCCAGTCCACCACTCGGCTCGCTTCGCTCGCCGATTTTTGCTGTTTCACCTTGTTTTTCCTCCTCTTTCCCCCAATAAGGAGCTTGGTCCAAGTGGGTTGGTGTATGTGTGCCCCTTGCTTTAAGTTTCTCTTAGACAAAACGTGTTGGACATGGCAAACAGAAAAATGCCAAGGTATCCTCGTTGAGTAAATAGTTGTTAAAAAAAACCGCCTTATTTATTTTCTTTGGCAAAATAAACAGTTTAAGCAAACAGCGCAGAAGGCAAAAAGCCTTTTAATACTTTCTTTTAATGATCAAAAAGGCTAGTTCAAATGGAAGGCTATATCGCTGGCATCCGCAAGGGTCCTTTAGCCTCTACTTTCTTCTTACGTTTGAGCACGTGGATGCCATTCTGCCTTGTATGATTATTCAAATCATCGTGTAAAAGTTAACCTGAGATCAAACCCAATTTTAGAAGCTTTCACACATTCTCTCTTATTAAAAAGCTATGTTGAAAGGACAAAACGTTCACATTGAAAGGTTGGAGACATTCATTGCAAAAAAATAATAATAATAGTAGTTATAAAGTTCATTTATCAGCCTACAGTTAGTTTTGTCGGGGACTTGCTGTATTGATTAAGGATAGGAAAAAAAGATCATTCTTTTACAACAAAGCTGTCATTTAAAAGACGAGCGCTCTTTTCAATTTAGCGCAGTTAATTTTAAGGACAATTCACTAATAATAGTGTGTAGTGTATATGTAACTAAAGCAAATATATTTCGCTAAAGCTTATTCAGCTGAATCAGTTGTTTAATTGTGCCCACTACTGCTTATTGGCTAATTATAAAGTAAAGGAAGAAAGCGCGAGATAGGTTTCATCTTTTCATGACTTCACCTTCGATTCCTTTTTTTTTCTTGCTGGCTGAAGCGAATTTTTGGGGGGCGAAAAGCACTCTTTACAGCTGCGTGGGAGGCTAACTATTCCTTAAACACAGACTGATTTCCAAACTTTGTCGGATGGTCGTACAGCTAGTTTTTAAGAAAAAAGCATCTAATGGTCTAGATTCCACTCCCCTTTTTGGCGCGCGGTCACTATATTTCGCCTCATACTCCCCAATAAAATGTTTTTAGGTGGAAACATGAAAATTAACATCAGTTGCAGTGATTAAAAGTTCAATAGAGACCTTCAGTTGCTAAAAATGTTTCGATTTGAAAAAGTCGACAGCTTTCATCCGAAAACTGTAACAAGCCACCTTAAGGAAGAAGATGAGCTTGAGTGCAAACTGAGTATTTTCGCTGTATATAGACAGATTAGATGGCTGAAGATGAAACCGTGACAAGCTATACTGTATACTTCCCAACACTTTAAAAAATTAAACAATGGTAATCTCGCGAAGTCAGTCCATGTAATAAGGAATCCATTTTGGTGGCCCATTATTTTCAGGTACTTTGTGTACTTATAAAGCCGGTATTAACACCTCAAAACATCAAGGAATTTAGTTCTCATTTTTAAGCTGTCTTCCAGCAAAATCCGTCCCCCCAAGAAAGCGTTTGAAAAGGTATTTTAATCCTTCTCAACTCGTGCTACTGACAAAAACTGGACAACTCCATAGAGCAATAATTTTTTTTTTAATGAGCAAACTAAGTTGTTTCGAGTAACCTTGGTCGGTCGGTCGGTTAGTTGTTCTTTACAGGCAAAACGATGGTGTAATATGTTTGTTTAAGAGCAAGTACATAGCAGGCCTTGAACTATTTTTCATGTTTTAAGTATCTGATCCAGACTACGACAAAGCTCATTACAAGTGAACTTTTCTTTTGGTTCAAGCTTTCATTCGGTTCTCATCTAGTAATCAGCTGTTCTTAAATTTCAATCGCACATTTTTTTAGCACACTTGTATTTCGTTTATGCCAGGTGAGTATGAAGTTAGCTCTTAACCTTTTACAAGGTTGGTGATTTGGTCGGATTTACCTTTGGTTCCTCTTAACCGTCAATTGGCTTTATTTGTCACACCGACCAGAGATTTTAAACATCGGCGTGGGTGTTTCTATTCCTCAGTTGAAAAAAGGTTAATTAGTGCCCTATTTTTATTTGGTTTTCAGTGAACTGAAAAAGGCAGGGTAAGAAATGCGTTCAATTACTACCATGGAAATTCAACTCAAGCTATTTCTGGTTTCGAGTATTATGTCCATAGTAATAATTCAAGTCACCGCCAAAGTCTTTTCCGTCGGTAGTGTCCCAGATAGTGTAAAACGAAGCAGCTTTACAAGGTTTTATGATAAGACACTTGGTACTATTCAAGCCTGCGTTGACAATCTCCAAAAGCCTGGCGACGAATGTGTCATTCAACCTGGTCGTTACCACGAGAACGTGACGATCATGAACAAACATGGCACCAAAGAGGATCCCATAATTATTCGCGGCGACCCAAGTGGTACTACTACAGTGGATGGCACTATACCGCTGAACCCTACGAAATGGGAGAAATTTGCCAAAGGTGCCTATAAAACGGTCTTAAAACAGGATATCTGGCAGCTGTTTATTGATGGCGAAATGATGACAAACGCCCGCTGGCCGAACGCCCTGTGGTCTGATAAAACTATCTTTGACAGTCAGAACTGGGCGCATTCTTCGACGCAATCCTCTCGCGGGCTCATGATAGACGGAGGAGGAAGTCACAAGCTGGCTGAGAGTGGCTTGGACGCAACTGGCGCAATGGCCGTGTTGAATGTTGGGAGTTTCTGCACTTTTACAAGACGAGTATTAAAGCACCAGATAGGTAAATTCTTACCAGGCTCCGGGCACTTTGAAACGAGAGGGATACTAAGCCCGCAAAGACTTCTGGGACCTTTACTAGGGACAGGGGAAAAAATTGGCCAATAGCTGACCGGCGCATCCCCAGTAAAGATCCAAAAACAAATTGCGGGACGCGTTTCGACTGCAGTTCTCTTCAGTACCTTTCTTAACTGGCAAGTGTAGTATTAGTCTTCCTCGCAGCCGTTTTTTGGATGTCACGCAACGCTCCCCAGCGTTGGGGGAGCGTTGCGTGACATCCAAAAAACGGCTGCGACGGAGACTAGTGTAGTATGGGAAGTGAATGAAAGCTAGAAGCTTGCAATATTTGAGTCTGTGAATGATTTCTCAGTGAAAAGATTGATGTCATCAATTTTTTTCGTACTTCTGTTTATCGCTTTTATTTGTATTTCTGCAAATAGATGACAATTAAACTGATTAATTGTACTCAGTAGGAATTGAATCTATACGATGACAAAAGCAATTTAATCAGACAAGTTCATGTGGCAATATCCACTAAAATTGTTCGCTTTTGGTGTTTTTCTTTTACTTCAGGTGGTGACAGATTTACATACAGGGATGACCTTGGCGCTAAGTTGAATTTCAAACCTAAAAACTGTATATATTTTTTGGAAGATAAGCTCGAGTTTCTTGATAACCCAGGAGAGTGGTTTTACGACAAAACAAGTAGAACCCTCTACGTCATGACACCAGATGGAGGCTCACCCGAGGGACGTGACGTCAGAGGAAAGGTACTAAAGCATTTGCATTTCTGCATAGTGATATGGTATACTCTGAACTAGTACCCAGACTTCACTCGTGTCTCCCTCCAGCTCTCGCGGTGTTTGAATTGTGAAGATCTACGCACGCTTTAAAACATACTTACATGGAATAGAAAGACTATGGGTGGTTGTCTCATTCCTGTGGACAGTGTCCACCCTCCTGTGAAGAAAACTGCCGTAAGGTAGCACCTGAACGTCCTAAGCAGACCTCTTCGACCTCTTCGGGTGAAGTATTTTAATTTCCTTATTCAGACCACGTGATGTTCTTAAAAGTACCCTGTCTTTTTTCATAAATTACGCATGCATATTACCGTGGGCAGGACGACATTTGAAAGAAACTGTTCTTAGGGGTAACATAACATGGTCTGAAACGGGAAAACAAAACATACAAGCTAAAAATGTCTATTTGCCAGTAGTCAGCGTCTTTAAGGTTACGTTCACACTATACGTCATAGTTTTTGCGCCAGCACGAAAACCATAATCGGATAGTTGTTCATATTATGCCAGATAGCTTTACGTGTCAACACGTAAGGCAATCCAGTATAGCCTAAACATAGCCTAATTCTTTTATTACTTCACAAAGGTCCAGTCTTTTGCGTTCGTCATCACCAGCAGCAGTCACGTGATCATCAAAGATATGACGTTCTTTGCGACGACATTACAGGCCATCTCCTTCACCAGAAAAAACTTCGTCAACAACCTAACGCTTCATTCCTTGAACTTTCGCTTCCCGTCATACAGTCGGCGCATGCTACAAGACAGCTCGCCTCCTAAGTGGACGAAGGTGTTCGTCAGTAACACTGGTACCTCCAGGATAATAAACAACACTTTTTATGGCACAGATGGAATGGCGCTGGAGTATAACGGTGTGGATAACCTGGTGGAAAATAACTTATTTGAGTTCAATGACTGGACTGGAAATAACATGGATGTAGCCACTGGAGGTAACCCATCGCGTTTTAATACAATTAGATCAACCTGTCGTCTGTGTTCTGTGGTGGGTTTCGTGCCCGGAGGAAGGGGGTTCTCTTGGTAATTCTTGCTGTAGGTGTGCCACCCGGTTCTCGAAATCCTGACCCTATTTCAGACCAAAAATGTCATTTTCCAAAACATTTCTCAAACCTAGCCTCTTAAATAAATATCCGATTTTTGTCTTCATAGACAGAAATTACGTCATTATGTACTTAGATTAGAATTACGCCAACAAAGAAGATTTCTTAAAATCCATTTCGAGTTCTCATAATGCTCTTTCTTTCTTATTCATTTGGAATTGAAACGACAAATACGCTCATATACTCCCGTAGTTCCCTCGAAAGCCATACCCGTTTCCAGACCACAATAGACAAAGTCTACACCCGTTTTCACAACAAAACGGCGCAAAAAGCATACCCTTCGGGGAGGCACATAGCTATATGGCTTATGTAAGGGAGTATTCCCCTGGGGGTCTTGTGGGTCTTGTGGTATCTTAGGCGGTATTCAGTGACCCGCAGTTCTAGTTAGACCAAAAACTACGCCCTCGGAGCCATGAGAGGTACTTTGCTTTAGCTAGTGAGCGCCACAACTACCTCCCCAGTCTTACCTCGAAGTCTGTCTTAATCCTAGATCTTTAAACGGGTAGAGGAAGAGGGTTAACATTGCTAGTTAATCAACAAATGGTTAGACATTCCACGTGTAAGAACCATTAAGGACGTAAACTGATCGCTCAGGGATTGGTCAGAGAGACCTTAGTCCGAGTTCAATCTCATTAGGGAGCTTTAGCGAAAACGTCACTATTAAGAAGATTTCGCTTTTTTTCAAACTTTTTTCGCGATTATTCCGAGTCGCCTGTCGTCATGCATCCTGTCTTTACGTCCGCTATATATAGTCACTTGAAAAAAACTCACCTTGAGGTCGTGCAGTGACGGGTATGCTTATTCGTCAATTACTTTGAAAGTTCTCGTTGCCGTCGCCGTTGTCGTTTCTAAGGCTTAGAAGATCATAAAGCGCATGATCGTCCTCGAAATCAGGTGACCAGTGATAGAAGGTCCAAATGAGCGAGATTGCGATCTTTGCATTCCATTCATTTTTAGTACACCTCCAAACGAACACTGGCTACATGCTTGCCGTGCATGCGTATTAGCACTCCGGCGATAAGGATTGTAGACTCTTCGAGTCGCTCTTAACAATGTTACCCTATCACCCTAGGTGCAGGAACCGTGGTGTCCCAAAGTAAGGGAGACAACTTCATCAGAAACACCTTGCGTTTCAATGGCGCGAGTGTAGGATACCGCGCGGGTTTTGCCTCTGTGGCCAAGCTGAATGACATTAGTCGACAGTGCTGGGGTATGCTGCAACATGACGGCGCTGGAATACAGGTGATGAGAAAACGTCAAACAAATATCATATTACAGCAGAACTGGATTCATTACAGTCCTAAATACGGGCTGCGCTTTGACGGGGCACCGCCCAAGACGGGAGAAAAGGGAACAATGAAACAGAATGTGGTCTGGAGAACAAATGGACTGATGGTGAAAGGATATAAACACATGGTCGACCATAACTTGGTTTTCCATAAGTTTGATAAGGACGGGGATCATGATGGCAGCGAGAAGTGTACCCTCTGTGTTTTAAAGTAAGTTTTGTTTCGAATTATTGTAGAGGAGAATCTCATAACAGACACCTCTATAAAGAAAACTCTTGCCTAAGAAAACAACAGACATTTTGCGACTCCACCAGTAGTTTTCCCGCGAAATAACGCCTAAGGGAGAAAATAAGAAGGGGCGGAAGAGCCCTAGGGAAAGCCCTGGGGACGAGGTTGTCCCCAGAGGAGAGGAGCGTGGGCTCAGTTCCCGAACAGCGACGGGTAATAGAGGGCGCTTTCCATTTAGGAAAAAAACCCGGAAATTTCGGTGGGAGCAAAAGTGGAATTTCCGATTGGTAAAAAGTTGTTCCATTTGGTCGTAAACTCCGGTACGTCGCGGTGCCCGACGGTGGACCTGGAACTGGTACAAACTACGAGAAACGTAAATGGAACACGACATTCCGTTCGGAAATTCCAACCGGGGAAACGGGACCACCTTTTTAGATTTTCCACTTTTTCTGGGAATTTTCCAGTGGGATGAACCGACGAAACGTGTTCCATTTACCGCCGAACGGGAAATTCCGGAAATTTTGACTAAATGGAAAGCGCCCAGAGCCTACGGACTTGGAAAACTTTGCATACCTCTGGAAAATTCCTCAAAGCAAATAAAAATGCGTGCCTTCAACGACACGTGTTCATTGTGGTTAACTAAAAACAATTGTAGGCCAATGACCTACGGGCCTATATGCCGGTTATGCCCAGTCCCTGGGAGTCAATATTCCTTTCTAGGGAGTTTAAGCATAGACGGTTTTGAGAAACACAAGTCAACCGGAAGTGGACTTTTTGCAAAATTCGGCAGTGGTTTCGCCTAAATTGGTGGGCAAGTCGTCTCTAAAACTACAAAGACACTACGCATTACGAATGTGGTAGTGTCAAGATAAATACCGTATTTATTCGAATAAGCGCTCAACCTCGAATTAGCGCCCACCTCGAATAAGCGCCCACCCCCTCCTCCTCCCAATCAAACTCAAATAATCGCTCACCCCCACTCCACCCACCCGAGTGAATAAATTCTAGTAAGAGACTTCCCCGAGGACGGAGTTTTCTTCAGAGTATTTTACAGAAACCTTGATTGTTACTTTTTCGCGTTTTGTTATTAGCATTTATTGTTTTGTTGCAAAATAAACATTCTTCACTTGCTGAAAATGGTAAAAATTTCATAAGCGCCTAGCCTCGAATAAGCGTCTACTCTCAAGGTCCAAAAATTTAATAATCGCCCAGGGCGGTTAATCGAATAAATACGGCAAAAGGGGAAAACGCTTCACTTCCGGTTGACCTGCATCACTCAAAAACGACTTTGCTTAAATTCCCTTCTTTCACACCTGTCAAACACGGATCAATTTAGGCTTCTGGGAAACTGCCCACCTACCCCTCCCCTAAACTAACATTTTGCCCTAGATAAGAAGTAAGTGTTAATAGGGAGCTTAAGCAGCAGCGTTTTTGAGCGACGGACGTCAACCGGAAGTGGACTTTTTGCATCACTGGGGAATGGTTTGGTTGAAACTCTCAGGTAAATCGTCTTTAAAAGAGAAAAGAAACTCAGCAATACAAGTTTGTTAGCGTCAAGGCATATAAAAAGGGAGAACGGCTCACTTCCGGTTGACGTGCGTGGCTCAAAAACGTCTTTGCTTAAGGTCCCTAATGTTAGCTTTAGGGAGGGGTGGGTCTGCAGTTTCCCAGAATCATACATTGATCCTCAAACACAAGTACAGTGTAGATATTCTTGGAAATTTGTCATTTTTCAGATACGTGAGAGAAAACCCCGTTGAAGTCAATCAGAACACAGCTGTCGTGTACAACGCCGCCGACGTTGCAAACGGCGGTGAACACGGAGGTGTGCTTTACGACATGAATGGTATCCTCACGGGCAATGTTATTGGAGACATACGACAGCAACTAATGGATGCGGACAACATGGACTTTAGACCAAAGCAGGGCTCATTGTACATCAACGATAACGTGGGACCTTACAGTTTTGAGGAGACAAAAACTAAGTACTGGATTCCTGGAAGAAAGCTGTATAAGGTAATTGGAGGCGTTTAATTGTAGCCAGTCGTTTCAGGGGCACCCAACGAGAATATAGTTCAAAACCTCTTACACATAGAGCGGTTTTCACTTGACTGTCGTAAAACCAAAACCAAAGTAAATACACTAGCCAACCAAAGGGCTTAGTAAAACCAAAACCAAAACCAAAACCAATCCCTTTCGACAGTCAAGTGAAGAGGTAGGCAAGCAAGAAATTTAACAACAAATTCTGATCTCAAATCGTCTTCCGAACAGGTATTTTCCAAAAATTGTCGTTGGGTGCCCCTGGTCGTTTCGCCCGACAGCGATTCTCCCGATAACAAACAACACTCAAGAGACTACAACTCGGCCTATCAGAGATGTCTTTGAGTTAAGCTTGAATTCGATCCACTCCTGACTGCTGTAAAAAGGTCCAGCGATCTAAATCGGCGATCTTAGTGATCTCGATAATCATATTCAAAATACTTAATGAATGTGTATAAAGCTGATTTCCACAGGTACCTTAGCGATCTCCAGCAACGATCCACTACGTTGATGTTTGAGTGTAAAGTTCTCACTGTAAAAAGCCGTGGACTCACATGTGCCGCCACTGTCTTTCATTTTGTTCCTTTTCTTCAGGTTTAAAGAACTACAAATAAACATCGGGCAAATGGACTTAAGCCCGGGCGAATCGACTTTCGGGTGAAACGACACGTTCCGCAGTACATAAGTCAATACGAGCCTGTCGGTAGCCCTGTTATGGTAGTATCACATCTTAAAAAAGGTTAATTTAGGTTTTCAACTAGCCGGTCGGCGATACATCTCCAATCAAAGGCTACTCTCCTCATTTTAACCTGCTCTTTTTTCATATTTATTGACTCAAAAGTTACGGAACACACTCTGTGGAGGAAAAGTCTACATTCTGGAGCGGCTAGCAAGCAAAAATTATACCTCCTTGAGCTTTTACCAGGCGAAGTCCGCTGCATTTAAGCTATGGGCTCGCCGCTTTCCATTTCTGATATGCCGCACAAGAATTCAGATATGCGCTTTTCACTTTACGCTGGACGTTTTAATGGAACTGTTCGTTTTTCAATATCTCCAATTTCCATTCAGTTTTTACTACGGTTTCTCAGGACTTCAGTAAGAGTTAAAAATAGACTAAAATCTTGTTGTTTTTAAGGCCAGTAACCCGGTCCCGCCAAACAAAGCTCCTGGGGTAAAAGCAGCTGCCCGAGATGCGCTGATGTGGCTGAACAGTTTTGAGGGAATGATTCATGAAGTCTACCTTGGTTCTACTCCAAATGACTTGAAAAAGATAGGAATAACCATGGACGAAGACAACGTAATGAAACTTACAGCTCCTTTGGAAGACGGTCGGCAGTACTTCTGGAGAGTAGATGCAGTTATCAACAAAGAGGTTACTTACAAGGGTGATGTATGGTCCTTCATGACCATGCCGGCTTCACTTGGGCAAAATGGCATGCTGTAGGCTGCTAATCTATAGCCTGCTAGCCAACTCTCCTTTTGCGTCTCCTTTGGTGTACGGCTCATGCGTGACTTCTCATAACTCCCCCAGGTAGTCTCTCTTGCGGCGTTTCTTGGAATGGGGAACGTTTCGTGGCATCCCAAAAAACGGCTGCGGTAGAGACTAGCTCCCAGGTTAGCTAATCAAAAATGAGCTGAACTTAGCCTACGAAAACATCCGTTTCTCCTCGCTCTTCGCCGCTGGGGACGTTTCGCGCGAAACGTCGTCAGCGTGGAAGAGCGAGGAGAAACGGATGTTTTTGCAGGCTAAGCCAAACTGAGCGGTTTCTAATTTTTCAAGTTAATTTCTTAACAGTGTTCTTGTGAAAATTTAACGGCACTTTCCAGTGATTTTAAGCAAGCATTTATTGAAAAGCCGTTTTCGTTTCTCTAAGCGTTCTGTCAGTTGATAAATAGCAAGGGTGTCACCCAATCAGAATGCAAGAAGTGCACCATTTAACCAAAGGTTGACGCATAAGAAATAGTTTTAAGCAGCTTAATTTGAAACTTCTCTCATTCAGCAAGTGAAAAGCGTTACTTGTTGCAGTTTATTACCCCAATGCACTATTGGGATTCGTGTAAACACTTGGAGTCCTTGCACCACGTTTATTGAAGATGATGTCTGTGCAAACTCAATGTAAGCACCGCCTCTTGTTTTGGCTAACGTACCCAGACATTCAGAAGATGCTAAGAGATACTCCACGGAAATATTCGGTGAAGAGTGGCTTTACGTTTTAAAAAGCCAAAAACCGTTGAAATCCATTAGTGTTCTTTGGCACGCGACCCTGTGTTGGTTGCCTCAACTCGCTATTATATCCTTCAGAACTATTCTTCTACTAGTGAAACATCGAGTCCATTTTTCTCTCGTGGTGCTTTGGGAATCCTACAAATAAAATCAAACGAAAAGTGAAAAACAAAATCACCTTTTTGCAAAGCAAAACCAATAGACCAGCCTTGCCACGGTTTTCGACACCATCTTGACGAGTAGGCAAACGCATGAAAAATTACAGTGTTTGCGTGAGAATCTAATGTCAAATAATTTCCGTAGAATGGCTGTTCTGAAAAAAAAAATGAATTGTAAACTAAAGCTTCACTCCTAAGGAATCTATTGAAAAAAATTGAGGGCGTTACATGCGCTAGAAGACCTAGAACCACTTATTTAAATTTCCTATACATTTTTCTGTAAGAAAGTCCCGGGAAAAATTACAGACAAATATATGGAAAATCTACAGCAAGCCTCTGAAGAAATTTAAGCAGAGGTACGCCCCCAAATTTTTTTAGTACAATCCTTTCTTTTCTAGCGTTAGTTTACCAGTCATATTTTTTTTAGAACAGTCGTTTTACGGAAATTATTCGACATTAGCTTCTCATACAAACACTGTAATTTCTCACACGTTTGCCTACTCGTCAAGATGGCGTCGAAAACCGTGATAAGGTCTATAAGTATTCAGTCCGTTATTCGGCAAAAGTTCCTCTAGCCTAAGTGGCAGACGTAATTTAACCTCGGTTAGTAACCTCTGCGAAGCAGCGCCGATATCCTCGTTCCGGGCCCCAACGGACTCACCGAATTACCGGAAGTGCGTTTTGGATTTCCTCTTATCCTGACTGGTAAATCGACAATGTCTTTTTTAACAGGCCAATCATGGCGCGAACTCAAATCCTGGTATACAGATGGGTCTCCTGTGCTGTTTCACAGACGGACTTAACGAGAGTCTAGTTTCGTCTGTGGTGCAGGCTAGGTTTTTCCTATTTGTAATATTCATGACAAACCTGAAGAGTTCCACTTTTTCCGGAGTGACGGGCACTGAATTGAAGCCAGTTCTTCTGTTAAATTCCTTTAATACTTCGACTTCTTTATTGCGCATCTGGAGAAAAATAGTAAAAGTGCATTTAAAATACAGAACGCCAATGGTAGTGAAAACGTTGTTTATACAGTAATTTTGGGTCCCTCTCAACTAATTTGTAAAAATAAGGCAAATTCTTCTGAAATTGAACTTTTAACACCATATTTAGGAAACCTTTCCTTACGCATGTTCATAGAAATCGGACGTTGTGGGATTGCGTCCTCCACAAATCTTTCATCAGGAAATTTTACGTCGCAGTCTTGTAGTAGATCCACATAATTATCAAATTCATTGCTTTTTTGACGGTCATATTGTTAACCCCATTGTACTCCTCAAACACCTTAAAACTTGATCAGATTAATTCAGTATACCGGTACTTAGAAGTCACTGATGAACAATCAACACACATTGAGGTAACTGCCTAGAAAAGACCACAGTAAAGCAATAAGAAATTTGACCAACCTTATCTAGCTCATCCTGTGTCTCATGTGTATACCCAAGTAAGTGACAAAGACCATGTGTTATAATAACCTAAGGACGAACAGCAAAGAAAAGACCTTTACTTTACAAGCATTTACAGTCAACTCTTTCTAAGACGGACACCTTTGAGACCGGTACTAAGTGTCCATCTTAGAGAGGTGTCTGTCCTATAAAGAGTCAAATAAAACGGAGTAAAGAAAAGCAAGGACCAACTCTAGGTGTCCGTTTTACAGAGGTGTCCATCTTATAGAGGTGTTCGTTAAGAGAGAGTCGACTGTACTGAGTGGGTGTCCTGTGACTCACACATTACAGTGAATTCTGTATCAGGTGGGCCAATAGAGAGAAGAAGTCGTTACGTCACGTTGCCATCATAGAAAAACTTTCTGGATGACAACAAAGCGAAAACGTCACTTAAAAAGTGAATTTGCACTTTTTCAAACTTCATCGATCTTATTCCATTTCATTTAATTTGTAAAATCTTGGCAAAATTGTCTGGGATTGAATCAGAAAGGACCATATCTGAGTTTAGAAGAAGAAAAAAAATTCTTGTGCTGTGTTCACCAACTCCATAAAGTGGGCGCATGAAGCTTGTTGCTTAAGGTCCCCATTGTTGTGATCCAGAAATGTTGCTACTGTGGTAACGTGACGTTGCCTTTCTCCTCTCTATAGTTGAGTGCATAGAAAACATGGACTAGATGTCAAAATATGTGGAGTATGGACTGGGTGTGGTAAAAAAATGACAACAAAAAACAAACTATGGAGTCTCAATTTAAACCTGGACTAAGCAAGGACTTAAATGAGATGTAAAGAACATGAGACTGCCAAACTATCCTATTTCTTCTTTATCTGTAAATATCTTTATTTACCATTACGCCTTCTTTGGTCTGGTTGCTACAACTGATAGTCCATAGCTTTTTCCTCAACGTTTATGCTCAGAGAGTCCTCAACAGGTTTTTCACGATCCAGGATTTGTCTTACTTAAAGGCCGGGATTCAGGATTTTAAAGCAAAATGGGAGCGCAGTATGCATAGAATGGGGATGCCTAGTCCATAGTTGGCAGTCCATGTTTTAAACTTGTGACACATAAACCACTGTCATAGCCGTCTTAGAAATGCATAACGAAACTTGAGCACAACAACGTTGGATGACTTACTGGTAAATAAGTATCTAGCTCAATTCCATCAGATTCACAATCTTCAGTAATTTTATGAGTTCCAAGGACAATATCCCCCAGTGTGTACTCATGGGGCTTCAATGGCATTTGTGGTAGGACTCCTGGCTTTGGTAACTGGTGAAAAGAACAGTGATATCGCCCCATGTAAGGAAATCTAGATTCTGGAATCTGGAAAATTTTTGCTTGTGGAAAACAGAATCTTGGAAATTTCTCTTGTGGAAACCAGAATCCTAGGCTTTGGAATCCAGAATACAGCACAAGGAATTCAGATTGCATCAAGTATAATTGGATTCTGGAATCAAAGGTCCACTGACAAAAAATCCAGAATCCAGTACCTGGAATCCGGAATCCACAGTGTGGAATCCAGAGCCTGAGACTCAATTGGATTCTCTTACATGGGACAACATAATAAATAAACAGTCATTACATAAATTTGTTTCCTGTTGTCTATTAACAATCCTTGAATTAACTTGGTGCCTACTACCATTTTTGGGGGATTGTTCAAAAAAACTGCTTTAGACCTTTTTTTCAGAAATCCTCCCCTTCCATTTGCCACGCCATCTAATAAGTCCTTGATGTTGAGATCTATCTAAATTGAGAAGTTTTGAGTTCAGTTACAAAACATATACAGCTGCATCAAATGAGTGCACTGCACATTTGAAAATTTTATGGTTACCACAAGGAAGAAGGGGCCTTTGCTTTTTGATGATCTTACCTGAAGATACGGAAATGCAAGAACGTCTGTCGTGACATTTCTTCTCCTATATCTTAAATTCAAACTCTTTATAAAACCTTTTCCCACAAAAACGAGGTTTACATCGAAGTGGTTGATCCTTAAGATGTCTACCAGAGTGTTAGCATTCTGCAAAATCAATGGAATGTTTAAAACTATACGCTTTTGCAGATTTCTAATCAACACTACCATAATTTGAAAGTTCCTTTTTTCTCTTACAAGACATACAGCCTTATGTAAGTTGTCACAATGCTTCCTCGAAATTGTCGGTGATTTGGATCACCGTTGGAGCTTTTTTGTGACGACAAAGTTAAAATGTTATTTTTTGAAAAACCCTCAGTGTTCTATGCTACTGATACATTTAAAGAGCTTTTAGTTCTCAGAGCCAAAATTTCTCATTAATAAGAACAGAGGATAGATCGTGTCACCTACACAAATGAAAAAAATGGTCTTTATGGAAAAAAATGTTCAGCGGTTTGCCGCTTGAGTTATAGTTTCACGTGGTGAAAAACATGGGGAAAGAGCGTAAAAAGAAAGCAAAGAAAAACATTTCAACGGCGAAAAAGAAAGGTATTTACTCTTGTTCAGTCGAGATTTTAGACTTAAAATTGTAAAGAATTTAAAATGTGTATTTTAAAAGCTTATACTAGTTCCACTCATTTCGTAAATTAGGAAATTCAACTAAACTAAAGGAAGATGCCTCAGCTGACTTCGACAAACCCGAGAACCGTCCTGAAAGAGGTGTTTCCAAAAAGCAAAAGCAGGCAGATGGGAAGAGTAACTACAGCATAGCAGATCTCTTGAAACAGGTTTGGTCATAATCATCTGAGCATAATCCTACAAAGGCTACAAAGGCTACTGAGGCTCATTTTTAGCAAGTGAACACTTTTCATCTTGTTCTTTGTGGATGAGCTCCAGTGCCAACCAGTCCATAAATTTTTGTGACTCCGTCACTTCTCTTTCCTAATCCAGTGGGGGAGGAAAAGAGACTTGCCTCATGAGCATCTAATTCAGCTTGTGTGAAAGGCGACGTTTGAAATGAACCAGACCTTCCAACTCTCATGGTTTGATCATGAGACTCACGGTTTGGGATGCCATCTCACGGTCTCACGGTTTTGCCTCTAAATCTCACGGTGAGCCAGAAAACCTTGAAAATGCCGAAAACTTCTGCAAAGTATGAAGGAATATCGAATAATCTGTGTGCATAACAGCCGAATTAATCAAACTGATTTGTGAGAAAACCTGGGTACAATGTCACTTCCAGTGAAACATCGGTGTGCTAAGGTCTCTGGGAAAGCTTAGCCTTCGAACACATGCACAAATTTCAAAATGGCTACTCGTTGTCCAGAACTCGAGAGCGAAAAAAGCAGCAAAAGAATACAACAGGGGGCACTAAAAAGGTAAAAAATACTCAAACAAGTAATCTGTTGTTTTTTTTTAATTTGAGGCATACTTTGGAAATCTCCAGGTTTGAGGTCCCAATCTCCAGGTTTTTCTGGACTTGTTTTCAAAACCTCCAGATTTGCATGTGATGGGGGTTGGAAGGTCTGAATGAACGCGAGTCGTGTAACATTTGGCAGTCAACTTTCATTATCATGTACACCCTTGAATTCTGTCTGTATTACCAGGGTTTCCACAATGGTGTGGTGCCTGTGTGGTGCGAGTTTACCATACCCATATGATCCTAACATGCCTATAGTTAAATCCTACTTTATGAAGCTGGTGCAATAGCATTTTCGAGATATTCTAACCCTGTCAACTAAAGAAAAGGGAGGTTTTAAGAGTAGCATAGGTGCTTACCTAAGGTGCAAGCCTCTACTGGGCTCCAGGGGCATGCGCCCCTGGGAAAAATAATTGCAGGCCCATTCTTGGATGCCATAGGGTAACAGTGGCTGAGAAACCCCAGAAAAACAGCAAACAATTAAATAAAAAGACTGCTTAAACAAAGAAGGAAGAGTTTCAAAAACTGTGAGAATATTGAGCGAAAACGGGAGGCCGGAAATATTTGCCAAAAACGAGAGGTTTCCAGCCAAAACTGGAGGGTTGGAATCTCTATTGTTTTTTTTGCAAGGTTCGCAGTGGGGGTTACTCCCTTATATGGCCTGTGCTGGCATGTGGCATTGACTGGAACTGTCATTACTTGTGTTGTGTCTCTTTACAGGAACCTATAGGATGATTATACTTAGTCCTTCCAAGATCCTACAAAATCCTGTCCAAGATCCAGCTTAAGATCTTTCAGGAATCTATAGGATGATTGTACTTAGTCCTACCAAGTTCCTACAAAATCCTGTCCAAGATCCTGTTTAAGATCTTATAGGGACCTATAGGATGATTATACCAAGGATATAGGATGATTATTCCAAGATCCTACAAAATCCTGTCCAAGATCCTGCTTCAGATCTTACAGGAACCTATAGGATGATTTTACTTAGTCCTACCAAGATCCTACAAAATCCTGTCCTGGATCCTACTCAAGATTTTACAGGAACCTATATCATGACTGTACCTAGTCCTACTAAGATTCTACAAAATCCTGTCCAAGATGATCTTCCTATAGGATGATTGTACTTAGACCTACTAAGATCCTACCAAGATCCTACAAAATTCTGTATAGCATTATGCTTAAGATCTTGCAGGAACCTATAGGATGATTGTACTTAGTCGTACCAAGATCCTACAAAATCCTGTCCAAGATCCTGCTTAAGATCTTACAGGAACCTATAGGATGATTGTACTTAGTCCTTCCAAGATCCTGCACAATCCTGTCTAAGATCCTGCTTAAGATCTTACAGGAATCTAAAGGATGATTGTACTTAGTCCTTCCAAGATCCTACAAAATCCTGTCTAAGATCCTGCTTAAGATCTTACAGGAACCTATAGGATGATTGTACTTAGTCCTACCAAGATCCTACAAAATCCTGTCCAAGATCCTGCTTAAGATCTTACAGGAACCTATAGGATTATTGTACTTAGTCCTACCAAGATCCTACAAAATCCTTTCCAAGATCCTGCTTAAGATCTTACAGGAATCTATAGGATGATTGTACTTAGTCCTTCCAAGATCCTACAAAATCCTGTCCAAGATCCTGCTTAAGATCTTACAGGAACCTATAGGATGATTGTACTTAGTCCTACCAAGATCCTACACAATCCTGTCTAAGATCCTTCTTAAGATCTTACAGGAACCTATAGGATGATTGTACTTAGTCCTTTCAAGATCAGGCTACACAATCCTGTCTAAAATCCTGCTCAAGATCTTACAGGAAGCTATAGAGTGATTGTACTTAGTCTTACCAAGATCCTACAAAATCCTGTCCACCATCCTGCTTAAGATCTTACAGGAACCTATAGGATGATTGTACCTAGTCCTACCAAGATCTTACGGGAACCTATAGGATAATTGTACTTAGTCCTACCAAGATTCTACAAGATCCTGTCCACCATCCTGCTTAAGATCTTACAGGAACCTATAGGATGATTGTACCTAGTCCTACCAAGATCTTACAGGAACCTATAGGATGATTGTACTTAGTCCTACCAAGATCCTACCAAATCCTCTCTAAGATCCTGCTTAAGATCTTACAGGAACCTATAGGATGATTGTACCTAGTCCTACCAAGATCCTGCACAATCCTGTCTAAGATCCTGCTTAAGATCTTACAGGAAGCTATAGGGTGATCGTACTTAGTCTTACCAAGATCGTACAAAATCCTGTCCACCATCCTGCTTAAGATCTTACAGGAACCTATAGGATGATTGTACCTAGTCCTACCAAGATCTTACGGGAACCCATAGGATTATTGTACTTAGTCCTACCAAGATCCTACAAAATCCTGTCCACCATCCTGCTTAAGATTAATTTTACAGGAACCTATAGGATAATTGTACTTAGTCCTACCAAGATCCTACACAATCCTGTCCACCATCCTGCTTAAGATTTTACAGGAACCTATAGGATAATTGTACTTAGTCCTACCAAGATCCTACACAATCCTGGCTAAGATCCTTCTTAAGATCTTACAGGAACCTATAGGAGTATTGTACTTAGTCCTACCACGATCCTACAAAATCCTGTCCAAGATCCTGCTTAAGATTTTACAGGAACCTATAGGATGATTGTACTTAGTCTTACCAAGATCCTACAAAATCCTGTCTAGGATCCTTCTTAATATCTTACAGGAAGCTATAGGATAATAGGATACCAAGATCTTACAGGAACCTATAGGAGTATTGTACTTAGTCCTACCACGATCCTACAAAATCCTGTCCAAGATCCTGCTTAAGATTTTACAGGAACCTATAGGATGATTGTACCTAGTCCTACCAAGATCTTACAGGAACCTATAGGAGTATTGTACTTAGTCCTACCAAGATCCTACACAATCCTGTCTAAGATCCTGCTTAAGATCTTACAGGAACCTATAGGATGATTGTACTTAGTCTTGCCAAGATCCTACAAAATCCTGTCCACCATCCTGCTTAAGATCTTACAGGAAGCTATAGGATGATTGTACTTAGTCCTACCAAGATCCTACACAATCCTGTCTAAGATCCTGCTTAAGATCTTACAGGAACCTATAGGACTATTGTACTTAGTCTTACGAAGATCCTACAAAATCCTGTCCACCATCCTGCTTAAGATCTTACAGAAACCTATAGGATAATTGTATTTAGTCCTACTAAGATCCTACACAATCCTTTCTAAGATCCTGCTTAAGATAGTTCTGGAAATTTCAATCTAAAAACCCAACACCAGTACTACTACCAAACACAACAGCAGATTTTTAGATCAAAGAAACAGTACTGTGATTTTGTTGTTTGTGCTTTTAATGATATTAAGGAGGCAAAGCTAGTTGTGCAGAGAATTGGTCCAGACATTTAGCACTGGAAGGCTGTCTTACCAAAAGTGACTAGTCCAACCAAGATTCTAAAAAATCCTGTCTAAGATCCTGCTTAAGATCTTACAGGAACTAATAGGATGATTGTAGTTAGTCCTACCAAGATCCTGCAAAATTGTGTTGAAGATCCTCCTTAAGATCTTACAGCAACATATAGGATGTTTGTACTTAGTCCTACCAAGATTCTACAAAATCCTGTCCAATATCCCGCTTAAGATCTTACAGGAACCTATAGGATAATTGTACTTAGTCCTTCCAAGATCGTACAAAATCCTGTCCAAGATCCCGCTTAAGATCTTACAGGAACCTATAGGATTATTGTACATAGTCCGTCCAAGATCCTACAAAATCCTCTCCAAGATCCCGCTTAAGATCTTACAGGAACCTATAGGATGATTGTACTTAGTCCTTCCAAGATCCTACAAAATCCTGTGCAAGATCCCACTTAAGATCTTACAGGAACCTATAGGATGATTGTACTTAGTCCTTCCAAGATTCTACAAAATCCTCTCCAAGATCCTGCTTAAGATCTTACAGGAACCCATAGGATAATTGTACCCTCAAGAGTCGTTGCATGATCTTGTTTTGTACCTTACAAGCTTGGTACACCAGTGGACAGGGCCCTCTCTTCCCTCAATCCAAAGCAGGGTACATTGGTGAGGCTGTCGTTAAAAGTTTCTATACTTTTATTCTAGTCTGTCCCAAATTATTTACAGAGTATTGTATGCACAATTGAGTATATTTACTTTATGGAAGTTGTTTGCACTTCATGTTTACAAAAACAATGACTGTAACATAAATTTGTTCGATATGCAGTTGCCAATTGCAGACTTGCAAAGTCTCAAGATTTTAGGACCTGTCTCACATTTTCACAAGTTGGCAACTGATTTCTCATGCTTTCTCATAAAGTCAAACTCAAAAAAGTTTCGTAGTTGTTGGGTTGGTTTCCAAGTTATTGATAGCCCACTGTGCCTTGCTGCTACCACCAGATATGTATACTTCCAGTATCTCTTTTTTTAAGATTTTACCAACAAAACATAGAAATTGCAAAACCTAAATCATAAAAGTGATCGTGATGTTTACTCCTTCAGCTTCAAAGTGATGTAGTGACTTCTATTACCAATAATCTCCACTGAAAGTCCTTCAACTAGGAAATTTGGGACATTTCACAACTTTTTTCCTATATCTCACTACTTTTCCAGCTCTTGGTTCAGAATATTACATTTTTTGCCTTTTGGGGGCTTCAGTTGCCTTTGTTCTAAACAGGGTAAGAAAATTGAGGGTGTTGTTCTAATCTGGGTTAGGGTCTCAAACCCTCAGTGGCTCAATCATGTCCAAACACTGGTCGATATATTTCCAGATATTTTCTGAAATTTTTACAATAATATTGCAGGTTGATGAATGTTTGGATAACTTCAACTTTGATCTGGCAGTAAAGTTCTGTGAAAAGGCACTAGAAATTGAACCTGATAATGTGGAAGTTCTGGAAGTGGCAGGTGCAGTTTACCTTGAGACTGGAGAATCAGATAAAGCAAAGACAGTATCCTTGTGTTAGGCCCAGTTCAGATGCTGAACTTTTCGTTGAGCTGAACCTAATTCGAATAAGGCCGACCCAAATTCTTACGATTGGCTGAATTGATTCAGACACCGATCTTAATCCCAGCCAAACTAAATTCAAAAGGAGGAAACTGCTCATTTTGGTCTAACTGTTTGCAAAATATGTTGAATAATTTATGCCTTAGGTCTCAAATAAAGCCGTCTAAATCAAAGCCGTTCCAAAAATGATCCAAAGTTGAAATTCTTGGCCGGGCTAGGCAGGAAGAACAGCTGAGCCAGTCCAAATTGAAAAAGGCGTTGATTCAGATGCCAAACCTTTCATACTTAATTCAATGTATTAGGTGCGGCTCATGAAAAGTTCAATCAGAGTGTATTGTACTCAAGGTTCAGGTCATTGGTTTTCTGGATGGAAAAATAGTCCTTTACACTCCACATTTTGGAAGTTGGCAGGGCACCGATAGGTTTTCTGAAGTACTAGTTAACTAAGATGTTTTTAACCAATTCACCCTGGGGAATTTTGCTGAAAAAAGCTCTTTGAAGCTAGTCAAGCTGTTTTCTGCTCAATGTGTGGCTGTAAAGAGCAGAACTTATGGGATTTCGTTTAAAAACATCACACTACACATAGCATAAGGTAATCAGTTTTGTATCATTCATAAGAATGAATTTACTGAGTTTTTCTTTTCATATTTTGCAAAAAAAGAATTCTTTACTACCCTAAAGTGAGAAAAGAAACAACTGCCTACTGTGCAAGGGTCTTCATGACATGTGGGGTCCTCACGTGTCTTTTTTGAGAGTCTTTGACATTGTTATTGTGTATTAATGTCTTTAACTACTCTGAGTGCTTTGAAACTGCTGTAAAACTGTCTCCTGACGAAGGCTTTTCAAAATATATGAACCTTGGTCAGTTACTGGAAGGACAAGAAGCGGTAGCTGCTTATAACAAAGGAATCCAGCTTATGATGGCTAACCAATGTGCTGATCAAGCACAGGTATGTTTGCTTTTGAAAAGCTCCTCAAAAAAATGACCCAAAAAAATTCAAGTCTCATTTTACAAATAATATTTGACAACTTGTCAATGGTCAATGATAAAAGATTTTAGCAGAAGTGGCCAGGGTGTCCCCACTAAGTGTGATAAAGTGGTAGGTATGCAATACTGTCGTCTTGTGCAGAACCGGCAGAAAAGTGGAACATCTTTCTCACTTGGCATGAATTTACTTGACCATTTAGTTGCACACACTGTACAGTTAGCTCTCACCTTGTAAACAACTTGCTACTATGGACACCCAGTAATACAGCCAGCAGCTACATGTAAATTCACAGCAAAATTGAATTTTAGATTACCTTATTTCAAAAATCTTTCTGTAATTTCACAGCTGCCATCTTACAATGCGCAGTGAGAGATGCAAAGAGCAAAGCCAGGGAATCACCTTGAGAATGCTATTGTGTGGCCCTGAGACTACCCGTAATAAAGGGAGTGTACTATAATGTTGTAAATGTCTTGTTTTTCTCAGGCTGCTGCTAGCAATGGTCCCTGTGCTTCTCCAAGTGAAATTTCAACTGCATACTGCTCACTGGCAGAAATATACCTCACTGATGAATGGTGAGTTTTTATTTCATATTTTTTTAAAACTGAAAAATCTTTCATTAAGTTTTGATAACTGCTGTTACCTGTATGTATAGTCAACTCTCGCCTTGCAGACACCTCGCTATAATGGACACCCCAATAATTAGCAAAAATAAATTACAGACGTTTGACTGAAATAAACTTCCACTATTACAGACTCTTGCTAATGAGGACACTAACTTGAGGTCCCTACAGTGTCCGCTATAAGGGAGTTGACTGTACTACTGTTTACATTGTAGTAGAGCATGTGGAGTGGGTATAAAATACATAACATACCATATACCCAAACCCTTTGACTGGGCCTGCTCAGTGACAACTCAGGCAAAAAAATAATCTGATTTCCTAACACGAGTCAAACCTATGACCTTTTGGTTACTAGTGCAGCCACGCTCTGCCACTCAAAGCTACAGGATACTGGTGGGAAAGGCCACTAAACTAGGTTCATGTAACAAACATCGTGCATACTGCTATGGCTGATAAGTTGATAGGTGGCATGATTAACAATTATTGGACGAGTTTGAGCAAAATATCGTGATTTGTCTGTGGTGAGCAGGTCAATTATTTGCCGAAGCCAAAGGCTGATCAATTATTGATCTGCAAGACACTGACAAATCACGATACTTTGCGATAACCAAGTTCAATAATTGTTTTATCATTCGATCACTGAGTTTGTTTTTTTAATGAATATCCTTGGGAAGCGAAGCGATCTGCCATTTTCACGCAAGAGTGATTGCAAGAAGGAGAAAAGCACGGTTTCCTTTACGCATGAGCAGAATATTATTTGCAGCCAAACACAGTTGGACGGCATTGTGCATGGCAGACCATTATTTGTAGCCGGTTATTTGTAGGTCATGTGGTGGGCTCTCAGCCAATGAAAAGATAGAAGAATTTGCTTCGAATGATAATAATAACTATTCCTGTCATCTGGACAAGAATAATTTCTTGCTGGGCAAGTAACTTTTAATTTTAAGCTCACTTAAACCCAAAAGTCGGGATCCAGGAAAGTCCTCTTCTAACTAGATCATTAACTAAAACAAGGAAGTTTTTTTAGCTTCGTAATGGAATATTTTAAACAAGATTAGAATGAGGCATATTGAAGGAAGGTGCCCTTATGTAAATGTATCTCTTACTGAAGGTTCTCCTCCTTTGCTTTAAATTTCTTTAAGTTTTAAGGATGAGGCTGCTGACAAGTGCACAGAGTATTGCCGCAAAGCAATTGAATGTGACCCAAACAACCCTGAAGCATATCAACTTATGGCAAGTTGTTTGCTGAGTCAGCAAAATATGGAAGAGGCACGGAACATGCTTGAGAAAAGTTTAGAATTATGGCAAGGCAAAGATGAAGAATTACCCCAGGTATGCAAAGGCTTTGCAAATTTGTTGATAGTTCATTTGCTTTAATAAGTGGAAGAGAGTGTAGAATTTATTTTCATGCACATTGGAACTCAATTCTGGAACCACCTGGTATTTCCAACCAAAACTGACTTCTCATCCCAGCAAAATCCTTGACTCCTCCCCCTTATTTATCAAGCTTCCCATTGATTCTAACCAGCTGCTATAATTGTCTACATGAGCCTTGTCCATTGTTATTTTTTGGCAAAAAATTGTTGGTACCACAAATGTAGACAGCTTACATCAAACAATCACATTCTTTTTTTTGGTAAAAATTGTTGGTACCAAGAAATGTAGAAACCATTTCCCGCTCAACAATCACATTCTTTTAAAGGATTGTGGCCCAAGACCCTGGAAACCATTTCCCGCTCAGGGGCACATACCTGTCAAGGCCAAATAAGGGAGTGCCCCCTTTCTGGGAAATACCTAGATAACAAACAATTCTCTATGCAATGTATAATCTACCTGCTCAAAAGAAAGAAACAAAAAACAAGCATTAGCTGGAAAATGAAAATGAAACACTAAAACCAATTTTCTTTTTCATCAAAGGCAATATATCAGAGTAAAAGAAAACAAGACCAGAATCAAAATAAGTGAATTTTATAAGTGATACTCGTTAAACATAGAGTATAGACATTGGAAGTTGTAAAACTAGTGTGACTGAAAGAAATTTGGGTGGGTGTGGGTGAGGGATGGGCATGTAAATGTGTGTATTCTTACTAATTAAGCACATGTGTTCACCTCTAATCTATATAGTTGCCTGTTAAAATAAAATGAAATATATAAAAAGAAAAGGAATGAAAGACGATCTTCATATCAATGGGTGCACTTTTAGCCTGAATTTGAAACAGAGGCTTGGGAAAACTTGGAAGTAACAAAACAAATAACGGAAAAAAATTCTGATAATCTGCGTGGCACTTCAGAAAGACCTGGAAACTTTTAGAGCTTCATGGATGGAGTGACCAGCTGTGTTAAAATGTTCCTTGATAGGGAAACAAGGCAAGTTCTTCTATATGCTTCAAAGGTGCTCATGTGGTGGGCTCTCAGCATTGTCTCACATTGTCTTAGAGTTTTTGTTGAACATTCTTTTACTTAACTTAGAAGTAGCCTATTACCGACGTTCAACATTTAATGTTTTATTTGCTTACTTTTCCCATTAGGCTCCACCACCATCATATGAAACTAGAATAACCACATCAAAATTGCTGATTGAGTTAGAAAATTATGAGGTAAGTTTTTTTAACTCTCATCGTCTTTCACTATGATCTCATTTAAGTGGAAAAGTTATTGGGTAAACCTTGTAACAAAGTAAATGGTTTTCAGCCCAGAAGTTACTCGTATTTCATAATAATAACAAGACGTTGTGGGAGCGTATATTTGGGCGTGGTTGTACTACAGGTATGATACTTTGAACATGCCTTATTGCAGCTAAAGAACTGTCATCATATCTTACCAGAGAAGGCAAATCCTTTACTCCACTTGTTTGCTGAACCACACAGCTTATACAGTATGTCCCAATCCACAACAAAAATAGTGTCATTTCATGACAATGTTTGAAAATATGCACATCTTCACTGCAGACATGCTTGGAGCCAAATTGCAACATAGGACATAAGTAGTTACAGCCCGGAGAGTAAGGTTTATCTCAGCTCCACTGATACTGACAGATGTGTTTTCACACCCATCACATTGTACAGTGTATTCCGGTTACTAACGAGGGCAAATAAAGTTCCTTAAGTCCAGTATCCACAAGGATTAATAAGAGAGTAACACATTGCATAAACTGCTATAGGGCAGCACTGTTTACAGGAACATTAGTAACTATTAACATGTGGTATACTACAATGTTCAACATTGCTTGAGAAAAGATGAGGTTCAAAGATGGCAATATGTACACCGTTAAGTTCATATATATCCTCATTCCTATGTAGAGTCTGAAAATATTGTACTAGTTTATGCATGGATGGTATTTCCAACAATACACATGTCCCTTCACTATGACCGTTATGATACATATCTCTAGCATGAGAATCAAATACATTATATCCCCCAGCCTCAATGCTGTAGATACCAACACCAATAATTGCCACCGTTAAAATGAATGAGTTGTAGTTCAGTGCCAAGAGTGTTTCAAATGATGTACCCTGTGAGTGGCATGTGCAGTAGTGATGGATGTTACAAGTATAACTGTCACTGTATTCAAGGTGGAAAAATTGCTCAAACACTGTAACCATTCCTGGCAATTCTGATAACATTAACATGGATTGTCTTAAAGCAGTGACAGACTAGAATATCATTGAATACCAACAATTATTATTTGAGTCATATCATCAACTGAAGTAATCTTTGTTATCTTACTGTAAATTAAAGCGCACAGACTCATTGCGACAAATTGTTGTCCAGCATTTTCCCCAAATACTGTGACATTTCCTTGACAGTATGGAGCATTAATTTTTTTTTGTAGCATCTACATAGACTGAAGGTCCTGGATTCTTCTCTATATCAGTACAAAGCTTAACTTGGCCACGGGCTTTAACAGTTAAACCGCCCCTTTGAGAGTTTTTGAGATAGAATCGATCAATGGTTTTAAAAGATACAGCACAACAAGTAAAAGCTATGCCGTTCTGAATGTACAGTATTTCGAAGCGCTCGTAACCTAAATATTTCTTTGCAGCGCCCCATTTATGCAAATTTTGAAAACATTGCGGGTTGCGAATTACAATCTCGATTTTATGGTAAATTGTCTTGCTGAAAATATGATTGACTAACCTGATTTAAGCCAATGGAATTGTAAGTTCTGTTATAAATAACTTTCCCACGATGAGATCTCAATTAAACTTCTTTTAGTCTAGTCATCCCAGTCATCCCTAGTCATCCCCACTCATCCCTAGTCATCCCCAGTCATCCCTAGTCATCCCAGTCATCCCTAATCATCCCTAGTCATCCCAGTCATCCCTAGTCGTCCCCTGTCGTCCCTAGTCATCCCTAGTCATCCCTGTCATCCCTAGTCATCCCTAGTCATCCCCAGTCATCCCCAGTCATCCCTAGTCATCCCAGTCATCGACAGTCATCCCTAGTCATCCAGTTCATCCCTAGTAATCCCTCGTCATCCCTACTCATCCTTAGTCATTCCAGTCATCCCTAGTCATCCCTAGTCATCTCAGTCATCCCTAGTCATCCTTAGTCATCCCAGTCATCCTTAGTCATCCCTAGTTATCCCTAGTCATCTCAGACATCCCTAGTCATCCCAGTCATCCTAGTCATCCCTAGTCATCCCAGTCATCCCCAGTCATCCCTAGTCATCCCAGTCATCCCCAGTTATCCCTACTCATCCCCAGTCATCCCTAGTCATCCCTACTCATCCAAGTCATCCCTAGTCATTTCTAGTCATCCCAGTCATCCCTAGTCATCCCAGTCATCCTTAGTCATCCCTAGTTATCCCACTCATTCCTAGTCATCCCGGTCATCCTTAGTCATCCTTAGTCATCCCAGTCATTCCTAGTCATCCCTAGTCATCCCGGTCATCCCTAGTCATCCCAGTCATTTCTAGTCATCTCCGGTCATCCCTAGTCATCTCTAGTCCTCCCAGTCATCCCTAGTCACTCTAGTCACCGTAGTCACCCAAGTTACCCTTGTCACCCCTGCCACTCTAGTCACTTTAGTCACCCTAGTCAGCCATGTCACCCAACTCACTTAGTCGTCCAAGTCACCCTAGTCACTCTAGTCACCTTAGTCATCGTAGTCACCAAAGTCACTTTAGTCAGGTTAGTTACCAAAGTGACCCCTTTCACCTTTGTCACCCTTGTCCGCCTAGTCCCTTAAGTTCCCCTAGTCGCTTAAGTTGCCCTAGTCGCTTAAGTCACCCTAGTCACCCAAGTCACCCTAGTCACCCTTGTCACCCTAGTCACCCAAGTCACCCTTGTTACCCTAGTCACCCTAATCACCCTAGTAACCGTAGTCACCCTAGTCCCCCACGTCACCGTAGTCATCTTAGGCACCCAAGTCACCCTAGTAACCCAAGTCACCCTAGTCACTCTTGTCGCCTAGTCACCGTAGTCACCCTAGTCTCCTTAGTCACCATAGTCACCCTACTTACTCTAGTCACCCAAGTCACCCTAGCCTTGTGGTCCAAGTTACCCTAGTCACCCTAGTCACCTTAGTCACCGTAGTCACCCTGGTGACTCATAGTCACCCAAGTCACCCTAGCCTTGTGATCTAAGTCGCCCTAGTCACCCCAGTCACCCCAGTCACCCAAGTCATCCTAGTCGCCCTTTTCACCTTAGTCACCCAAGGCACCCTAGTTACCCTAGTCACCCTAGTCACGCAAGTCACCATAGTCATCCAACTCACCCAACTCACCCAAGTCACCTTAGTCACCCTTGTCACCCCAGCCACCTCTAGTTTCCCTAGTCGCCCTAGTCACCTTAGTCACCAAAGTCACCCCTGTCATCTTAGGTGCTCTAGTCACTCAAGCTTCCTTTGTTCACCCTAGTGACCAATCCCTCTCGGCTAACCGTCGTGGTATAATATTCAATGTGTGTGAATGACCTTCTACAGTCGCGGGCCAGAGTTGTTCATAGTTTATGCCATACCTGTAGTTCTTTGTGTCAGCACAAAGACATATCTGGTATAGTGTATACAAAGACAGAAAGTATATTCAAAACCTTTACGCTTTGTCAGCCGCTTTTGTGGTTTTGGATCTATAAGGACCTATGCATAGTATTCTTCCTGGACCCATCAAGATTTCCATTAAAGCTTTCAAAATAGTAATTGGTTAAATTAGCGAGGATGCAGCTTTCCGCTTGTTCCTCATTTAGTAAAGTGTGACCAATCCTGGCAGTTACAGACAAAGAAAGAAGCAACCTTTGGGGAAAAACTCCACTACCTAGTTTACTATTCACCTACTACTGTTTACAGATTAAATTTCTTCCTTGGTTGGAGTGAAAGCTAGCCACAATTTCATGAGAAAGAAAGACGATAAAGTGGCTGTAAAAGGAAAAGGCATAGGGAAAAAGAAGAGAGCGAGAAAAAATTCGAAATAGTCCAAATTTTGGCTTAGGTGCATACCCGATAAACAAAAAAGCTGTTTAACTGCATCCAGTTAGTTGAAATTGAAGTCCTGAGTGTTGGAATTACATTTTTTTAGCCATTTCCATGCTAATTAACCGAAAAACGGTTCAAAAAGCAGGATTTGGTAAAAATACGGTTTTTTCCTCAGAAAATTGGCTGATGGCAAAGGGTTGATGTACAATTCTCAAAGCATGTGAACTACTTTTTCCATTCCCATGCCGTAGCCCTTCATACGGTAGTGTAGAGGCTCTTAGCCTTATAAACCTTGTAAATTATTTCCAATCGGAAAGCATTGCTGTAGCTCACTTCAGTACTTTAGTCTGCTCTGCTCTAATCCGCTCTGGGCTTAAAATAAGTTATGATTTTTACTTTATTGTAGGTTGCTGGGTCAGTGCTCGAGGAACTTATTGAAGAGAGCGATGAAGTCCCACAAGTGAGTGTCTCCGACTCGAAAAGACAGTAATGTAACAAATGTTGAATGATTGGTAGGGTTCGCACGCACCTTGAAAATCCTTTTGAAAGTCTTTAAATTTTAAATAAAAATTCAAGGCATTGAAAGTCCTTGAAAATTGCAGTCGGCGCTGGAAGTCTTTGAAATTTAAATGCTAACTTTATAGTTTAAGGGGAACTGCAAAGGAAAAGGAGTAAACACAGAAAGACCTTCAGGATAAAATTCCTCCTGATGTGGAAGAGCTAAAAAAGGCATAAACGTTTCATAAAAGTGTCATTTTTACGTGAACAGTATTAACTAACAATGCATTTGAAATATGCAAAAATGCTAACTACTGTTGTTATGTAATGAAACGAGCGTTGAGAGGTTGCTATTATGTACTGAGAAAGATTTAAATTAACACTTTGTCTAGTATTGTAGTTACTTAGATACAACGGGGCATTGCCTTTTACAATTTTATACATTTGTATAACAGCATGCACCAGTAGTTGATCTTTTACGGAAAACCATCCTAATTCCTGCTGGATGGGCAGAAACAAACTTCTTAATTAATGTCGATTTCTTACACGGGCGGCAAAGTTTTGCACGTGTCGTAACTTCTGTAAGTACGAGGCTTTTATAGGCGATTGACCAGCACCCTTCCAAACCTGTTATTTCATGGGTCCCTATAACCTGCACTACCTTTTGTTTTCAGGGATAGGGGCATTGTTATGTCACTATCCCCATTGTTTTCTCAGCGAATCACAAATCTTGTTTGGAATCGGTGCAGGTCCGCCGTTAATAGGGGAGGGGCCTTTGACTGACTGTGGGGAACAGGGGCGGATCCAGGACTTTTTTTAGGAGGGGGTGCACTCGTCTCTTGCTCTACTTCAACACCAATAAACCACATGGTTTTTTTTTTTGCAGAATACCAGTTGTATTAAAAAACCGCAGGTCATCTCGGGGGGGGGGGGGTGCACACCCCCTGCACCCTCCCCCTAGATCCGTCCCTGGGGAAGGGCGGGTTTAGAACCCTTCATTATAGACAAAGCTAACATTAGTTTCCTTGAAATTCGTAGGTTTGGTACTTACTTGGATGGATGTATCACATTACAAACAAGGAAAGCTCAAGTATCAGGGCATGTCTGGAAAAAGCTGAAAAGGTAGGAACAGTATATTTCTGGCGTTGAAGAGATTAAAATAAATAAGCGTTATATCGCCCACGGTTGTTATTACATGCAAGGTGTGTTAATTTAAATCTACAGCTTTTTTCACAACTTGGCTGTGATGACCAACCCATGCTGGATCACGTGACCGAACTTCTAGCGAGTGTACCTGAAGGCGAAGACGAAAATCAAGAAGAGGAGAATGGCGACCTTGAGGAGGAAGAATTAGACTCTACAAGTAGCGGCGACGAAGAAATGGACACCCAATGACAGTGAATACATGAAAGACCACTTCAAGAGTTGCGAGAAGTGAGATGACTAGTTTATATCTTTACTAAAAAAGCTATCCTCTCTGGTTTTGCCGCCGGTAGAATACAGCGACTTTCTCCCACGATTATTTCCCACTTGTTGCAAGTCGGTGACTTAATTTCCTGCTGTCTACTGCATTGGAGTGGTGTTTCGCTTCTCAAAGGGCCACGAACTGCATGCGGTGTTTTCCCGCCTTTTTACGGCATACTTCATTGCAGCCGCGTTTGTTTAGGGATTATTGGAATTGTTGAGCGGCATAGAAAGAACAGTGTTTTCCCGCCGAAATTCGCAATTGTCACACTCTGCCCTGAATTGGTGCATTCTATTTTTTAAGACCTAATTCGCCACATTTTGCATCTGAAGGTATTCTCCTGCCATGTTGTACCGCTTTTCATCCAGGTATTCTTGCATTCTTCTCCAACGGGAGCCTCTTCGAAGGCCTATTTCTTCTTCCGCAAAAAAGACTAACCCAGAAGCGCTTATAGAGCCAGACTCAAAGCTTATCTAATAGGATTTGACTACAGACCGTTTTTAAATTACTTTTTATCACCTTACATGTGTCTAACAGTATAACGCGACAGCACTAGCGAGTGACTCATTTTCCAAAATGTCACACCTAACTCAGTCTTAACCCTTTAATTCAAGCGAAGCAGAGTTCCAAAGGATTCTTGGTAAAGCCATCGTATCAGATTTAAAGCTCGTTATCGCGTGAAAAAATGTTATTCCGACTACTACCGAATCCCATTCCAGTGATATTGTGTAAAGTAAAAATATCGATGAGATCGTGGAAAAAGGAATGTAAAAGGGAATTTATATGGCCAGTAACGATTGTTGTGTCTTAATGTATATTTTTAATTGATTGATCACAGAATCGGGTGTAATTTTAATGAAATTTCAAATTCTAGTTTATAATATATACTGACTAGCTCTTTAAGGTACCAGCAATTTTCTGTTCTAATAACACACAACAGAAAATGATTAGTATTTTCGGTTGTATAAACCGAACGTCATAAATAAAAATTGATAACAATGTCATTAACGCATAACGCCAGCAAATGCTGACACCCGTTCGATTTGACATTTTGTGCGGAACAAACCGTACTTCTTTACAAGCTTGAAACAAAAAATTGCTTATAACTAACTTAAAACATCTTCATATTTCGCAGCAATAAGGAGGACTCAAAGATACCACGACGGCGACAGCAACGAAAACCTTGCTTAAAAAGTGAATTTGCGTTCTTTCAATCTCTATCGCGATATTCCCAATTCGCTTACTTTGTGAAATGCAAGCAAACTCTTCTGGAGCCGAATTCCTAACAACCATATTCAAGGCTTTTTCACGACCTAGTCGTGCAGTAACGGTAAAGAATGTACAAAAAAAAAAGCGTGACACGCGTGCAGAGTTGTTGTTGTGGTTTTGCTAATCTTAACCTATTGCTTTTTTGACGTTCTCGTTGTCGTTGCCGTCGCCGTCGTGGCATCTTAAACTCCGCAATGAGCACAATTCACTCGGCGTCCTCTGCTTCTTCTTCTTCATCAAATTCTTCTTCGTCGACTGAGGCGTCTTGATACTGTTGGTATTCAGACACCAGATCGTTCATGTTGGATTCGGCCTGTTAAAATACGTACAAATATTACATAAATATCTCTTTGAACAGTGCACCACTGACAAGCCAAAGAGCCGTTTAAGGCAATAGTTGACTATCATGTGCGGCTTGTTTTAAGTACACTTCTTTTTTGAGTCACTCCTGACAAGCAGTGTTTAAATATCAGTGTGAGCCAAATTGAAAATGTCTTGGGGATGCACCGTTAGAAATGTGAAGGGAACTAGGACTTTCTGGAAAGATATGTTACAGGACTGCAAGATTTTTGTTTTTCAACTCTCAAAACCTTGCACCATTAATTTCCCCAAAATGACTATGCCCTTTTTTGTTTTGTTCTATTGGGACCGTTTCGACTGCTCTCTTGGTTTTTCCTGCAATTTTTGTAAACTACATTGGCATTTACCGGTAGACCAATGCTCCAATGCCGAGTGACAGTTTTAAATCACAATTTTAAACAGTTTTTTTAAATCACAATTTAAAAATTGTGACTATCTTGGCTACCCTAGATATGTGTCCTATATAAAATGGTTATGTTTGTGTTATTAGAATGTATCATTGCTGTTTATTGGTTTTAATTGACTTAAGAAAGTGTTTGATATAGTTGGGTCGATATCGATTATCACTTGTTCTGTCGCGAGTAAAGTACAGTAATTACTTTAGCCAATCACAGCTAACTTAGAGAACCAAAGTATCCAATCAGAGGTCGGATATATGTTTCCGGTTTGAAGCGCGGGATATCGTGTTAAGCAATTCGCGCTTGGTTTGTGTTCTTCCTATAATGCAATTTCTCTAGAACGATTCAGTCAGCGCATTTAACCGAATCCCATGTAATTAAATTCTTTACTATCCTTTATATTTACCTCGGTAAACTCCATTTCGTCCATGCCTTCTCCAGTGTACCAGTGTAGAAAAGCTTTCCTCTTAAACATCGCAGAAAACTGTTCGCTGATTCTTTTGAACAATTCTTGAATGCTCGTGCTGTTGCCAATGAACGTGGCTGACATTTTGAGCCCGCGAGGGGGTATGTCACATACAGCGGTCTTCACGTTGTTTGGTATCCATTCCACAAAGTACGTGCTGGAAAATAAGCAACATTCGAAACATTTAGATGAAAATAAAAAGTTTTTAAGCAAACAAATTTAACGTTATTTGAAAGGGGCTAAGTGAGCTACGTCATAACTTAGTTCCTTTACCCATAGACAAAATGCTCCGATAGTCGGTGTAGTCTTATGTAGAAGGTATCAAACAAATTTAATTAGCGAGCACTAATCATGATAAATTTTTGATGATATTTGTTGGCAAAGCATTTAACGATTTATTCAGGTCTCAATCCGTGTCCATCCTTCCTATCCGTAGCAACGGGATCATTTGTTAATACGTTCTTAAAGAACAAATCTGGATCATTGTTTTTGGAATTTAATTGATATTAAGACATGACTACACTAATGATAGCAAGTAGCGTTTAAGCGTCATTGAATTGAACACGAAGTACAATTTTAAATAGTTCACGAGACCACTGTTTATATGTTCCATGCCGGAGACCTTGAGACGGGCCTGTCATTTCTACTTGTTATTCGTGCCAAGTGAAGGTCTAGCCGTTTGCCAGATAACGCGTTACCATCTTCACTTATTTTAAAACCTGGGGTATTGGTTCGGTTCCGGGGTGGGAATCGAAACCCGCGACTTCTCTCTCGGCAGCCCGACTGTAACCCTCCACTCCCCTCTACGCCATTCCCAGGCGCATCCGAACACATACACCTTTCTTTCGAAGGGAATTAAAAACAAAAAAGTATACACCTGTTTTTATTCTGAACGTTCAGCATTTGCTGATCGATTTCCTTCATTGACATCTTCCCACGGAACATTGCGGCCACTGTGAGGTACCTCCCATGTCGCGGATCACATGCCGCCATCATGTTCTTGTTGTCGAACATCTGTTGAGTTAGCTCGTTCACAGTCAGCGCGCGGTATTGTTGATTGTCGCGGCTTGTTAACGGCGCGAAGCCTGGGATGAAAAAGTGGAGGCGGGGGAATGGGACCATGTTCACAGCCAGCTTCCTGAGATCGGCATTTAGCTGTCAAGAGAGAGAGAGAGAGAGAGAGAACAATGGTGTTATCAATAGTTGTCCTGTCCATGTGTTTGTGAGGTGGGGGAGGGGGTGGGGGTGGCGGTGACGCGAGGAGTCAAACCAAAGAGAGAAGGGACAAGAAAGTGGGATTTAAGAGTCATCATTAATAAAATGCGCCATCCGAGAAATAAGAACAGCAGATCTATAGCTCTTTAAGAAGATTTGGGAACTGCCAGTAAGAACGAAGGGATCATCAAACGTTTCTGGGAAACTGCCCTCCTACCCCTCCCCTAAGTCAACATTTTGCCCTAGGTGAGAAGTAAGTGTCAATGTTGACTTAGGGGAGGGGTAGGTCCGAACGAAGAACTTTGCTGCATCCATTTTAACGTTACGGTTTATGGTACTTAGTCAAAGTGGACTGTTCTTCTATTTTAGCCTTTAGCCCGTAGTAATGAGTATTCCCTGCATGAAATGATGAAATTCTAACCAGAAGTTTTTTCTGTTCACTGAAAAGCGCCTCACATGTAGACTACATGTACTTACCTGTCCCGGGAAGCGCAGGCATGTTGTTACCCCACTCATTGTTGCAGACACCAAGTGATTTAAGTCCCCGTATGTTGGCGTGCTCAGCTTAAGCGTTCGAAAGCAGATGTCGTACAGGGCCTCGTTGTCAATGCAGAAGGTCTCATCTGTGTTTTCCACTAGCTGATGAACTGACAGAGTGGCGTTGTAAGGTTCTACTACGGTGTCCGATACCTACAAAACGATCAGAGCGTTTTACGACTGTAAATTCGGCGACTTTGCGGAATTATATCTTGGTTAGTTTTCAACAAATCGCGTCTTTACTAATTATAAGGCGTTCTTTTTGGGCTTGTTGACAGAATTTGCTAACCTATCCCAGTCAAAAGTCTATTCAAAATTTGGTTTTGGACTAGTTCATTTGACTTTTTTATTGTGTTAGCTTATTTTTTTTTTTTAAGTTCAAAATCGGTTTAAAATTTGTTTATACCCAACGTTCGACTTCATGGTACCTCTTGATCGTTTTAGCCAATAACATAGGAAGAAAATAAAATAAAGATCATCATACGTTTCTGGGAAACTGCCCACCTACCCCTCCCCTAAGCCAACATCTTGCCTTAAGTGGGAAGTAAGTGTTAATGTTGGCTTAGGGGAGGGGTAGGTGCGTAGTTTCCCAGAAGCGTATAATGATCCAATAATTTTGCAGGGCCGGGAGCCCATCCTGACAGGGGATAAAGTTACCTTTGGAGACGGCACCACACTGAATGACGTCATTATTCGATCAGGATACTCCTCGCGAATTTTTGAAATTAGGAGGGTGCCCATGCCTGCCCCAGTACCTCCCCCAAGGGAATGCGTGAGTTGAAAGCCTTGTAGGCAGTCACAGCCCTCGGTTTCCCTGCGAACCACATCTAGTACCGAGTCCACCAGCTCGGCTCCCTCAGTGTAGTGACCTTTAGCCCAGTTATTACCTGCACCACTCTGACCTGCCAAAAACAAGTGACAACATGATAAGACTGTTACTGGTGGGGCGTGTACGACCTATTAAAAGTCCATTACCCTAGGAAGGAATCCCATACTAGAGTAATTTTAAGACCGGGTAGGTGTTGTGTCGAATGGTACTATGGGATTATTTGGGTCCAGTTTCCTGCTCTACTTCATAATAGCCAGTGACAGAGACCCCTAAAACAGGCCCATCCTATAGTGCATTTCGACCCAATACGGGCTCAGATTCGCGGTCAGCCTCAAAGTTGCCAATCTACACAGTCATTTCTATCAGGCCCTGTCTGAACGCATCCGTTTTGATCCGAAAATTTACATTTTTCTGTGTGAGTGTGCCTTGCGTTCTCGAGTTTTGGAAATGAGAGTTATCAAAAAAAGAGATTTTCAAACAACTCCTCATAGTATAGATTTGAGGTAAACGAAAAGTTTCACCGGGCAATTAAGTACACCTTTATAGCAATGTTTGAAAATAAATTTATTTTTTCGATGTATTCAATATACTTGAAATGCTAAGGGATTACTAGTAAATTGAGTTTATATAATATATGATGTTGGAAGTTTTTTTAGCCGTCTTAGAGATGTATTCGTCTTTCTTCGCTCTTTTCTCAGCGTGTGAAACAGGAGCCGAATAAGGCGTCTGCGCATGCTCTTGCAGGCTGGGAGTACAATTTTAAAAAGAGGAAAAAGAACCAAGCTAAAACAACCCAAAAAACAAACCGACAATACTGAGAGTGAGATTTCAGTTTCTTTCTTAGTCGCTTTTTCTCAGCTTACAAATAAACTCGCTATCGACGCTTTTTGGTAAATGACTTTACTTTGCATGAATTTTGATTATTATGTGGAACTGGATTGAACTGTGCCATCTGCTGTTCAATTAACCACATTTTTAAAAAGTGTAATTTTATCATGCAAATCAAAGTTAATTAACCTATAATGAAAATTGAACTAATGCATTTGATGGTTGTTAATATAAAGTCTATAAAAATAATTCTAGAGTAGAATCATCATTTAAGTTTCTTGACTTAACTATGCGTTTGTTCTTTGTCTGACTTGACTCTCCGTTTTTGTGTGTTTGTTGTTATCGAAATTTCTTACCAAAAACAAAATTATCAGGTCTAAACAGCTGGCCAAATACTCCAGCTTTGACCGAATCCATGGTTCCTGGCTCCAAATCGACGAGGACGGCGCGGGGCACATACTTTTTTCCTACAAATTGAAAAGCATTTCATTACTCTTCTGCGATCTCCTCCGAAGTTTTCAAATAAATTAAATGAAAATTGATTGTTTTTAATATATCTCACCCGTGGCCTCGTTGTAATAAACATTGATTCTCTCGAGCTGAACATCTGAGTCGCCGTTGTAGCTACCGAGAGCGTCAATTCCATGTTCATCTGAAATCACCTCCCAAAACTACATGGAAAGATCGAAAAAAAATTTAATCCGACGACGGCGACGGCGACGGTAACGACAACGCCAAAAAAGCTATAGGTTTAATAAAGGAAACAAAAACTCGTGGCGCGTGCATCACGCTTTTTTGCCGTATTTCTTTGCCGTCACTGTACGAATACGACATGAAATTGCCTTTTTTTCGCGTTTTGTGTAGGGCGAAAACAGGCAGCGGGAGAATTTTCTTTCTCCTTCTGAACTAAGATATGGTTCTTAGCAGTGTCTTATGAAGTGAACTCCAGGGAGCTTGCCTACATTTGACAAAGTGAGTTGGAATAATCGTGGTACTATATCAGTAGGTTTGCGGAAGGTTGAAACATCGTCCTTTCTTGTTGATAAAAAATAACAAACGAAGCAAATGCTTTGATTTTGATCCCTTCATTTTCGGGCTTGTTAAAAAAAACACACTTGATAAGCGGCAGTCGTTTCAAATAACCTGATTGCGTATGTATTAGCAAAAGTTACACGGACGAAAAAACTCATTAATCCTTCTCAAAGACTTTTACGTATTTTTTTTCTCATAACAAATCTTAATTTTAGTGTTATCACATGTGTTGTAAACTGTAAGACGAGCCAAATGAGGAGCCCGCCGCATATGTTGGCCGCCAAATGCATGTTTGCAGAGTAATTAAGCAAGGGTGTTTTTTAAAGCTTACCTTTGCCCCAATTTGATTTCCACACTGGCCAACTTGAAGATGAACGATTTCTCTCATAGTGACAAAGATTTCTCTCTCTCTCTCTTTCTTTCCAACAACGCTTCTTTGGTGGATTATGGTGGGTGTGCCTTCATGCATGAATTTTTAAATCTCAACAGAAAAAGCGCGCAAGTTATGTTTTTTTCCACGCGTATGGTTTTTACGATTCTCTCATTGGTAAGTTTAACCAATTTTCTACAAAGTTATTTTAATAAAAAATGCGTTGGACGCCTAATTATGCGACAGCTGGTTCGCATAAATAAGTGAACATTTCTTTTGACTGAAAAGCCTGATTTTTGAGTATCATGATTTTGTGGTTTTGCTTTTTGATTTCTGTTTCAATTGGATTCTCGGTCGATATCATTCTGTAATGTAATACAGTAATGCCTCATACGATGAAACTAAGGTACGTACGTGGAGGTATGAATGAAGTATTTGATGCCAATACAATTCAGTTTGAAAATTTCCAGGTTTGGCTGATCAACGAGCCCCACAGGTGCTCATGACTGTATAACGCGGTTCTTTTGTACCGCAAAGAGCTTTTATAGTTTAAACAATGTGTTCTGGTTTCGGGCAAGCAACGTTTACGAAGACAAAGGCAAAGTTTTAACTGAACAACGTGCAAACGGTCGCAACATGGTTGGATGTTACATGTTTCGTCCGTTTGCACATTTATTTGCATGTTGTTGGGAATTGTTGGGCAAAAAGTTGGAAATCAGTCAAACTTTTAGCTACGTGTAAACGGACGCAACGACTCCCAACATTGCTGGCAGTAGCTTAACTTGAAAAAACTATGTTGGACCTTCTTTTTCAATTTCCAATCCGTTTACATTCTGGCCATCGAAAGAGGTATATTAGTACACTAGTTTTAAAAAACTGAACGATTATTACTTTTTTTGGATTGCAATGAGGTTTTTAGGGTTTTAAAGAAACACCAAAATCTCGTGAACCCCCTACAAGTCATTAGAGAAGGAAAACAAATTTGCACGTGCATCGCACTTATTTGAGACATTTATTTGCCATACTCTCGCATCAACGACGTAAGGGGCCGACCATTTGACGTTGGAGGGGAGAGGGGTATGGATTATTTAAGAAAAAAAGTATTCTGCAGACTGATTTCGGGGGGAAGGAAACAGCTGGGGAAAAATATACCTCTCATGGCGTTTAATGCTGGAAAATAATGTAGGGGGATTCTATCTCCAGAGGTTTGGAAAAAATCCTTACCCAATTCAAATCACCCATACCCCCCCCCCCCCCCCCCCTTCCCCCTGTGAATTGTTGGCCCCTAAATATTCCATTTTGCTACGTTATTAGAGGACGCGAGTGCATGACAAGAAACTTTCCTTTCCCTTTCTGATCTCGTTTGGCGTCGCTGACAATCAGCTCCAGCTGACAACTTGACAAGGTTGGAATAATCGTGATGAAACGGTTTGAAAGAACGTGAATTCACCTTTTGATGACGTTTTTGCTGAGCCGTCACAAACTGACAAAATGCTAACGAAAGACGAGGAAAACCTAGCGTCAACTACCAAAGCAGATAGAAATTGAGGGAGGACACTTGAATTGCTAAAGTGAATCTTCTTACCTCGAATTTTTTTTATTTCAATGTCATCAACCAGGACAGCGCGGTAAGCGATTTTGGTGCGGAAACAGCCAGTGCCATGTTTGCTTCAAAGATGTTTATAAAAAGTTTAGAAAACAACATCACATTTTGTCAGAATAATATTTGCTCCGAAATTGTGAAGAGAACAATGTAATAGACAGACTGTAGAGAACTAAAAAATGTGTCTCAACGCAATGGGTTGCAAATTGAAATGTCAAAAACAAACTTACGTTTAGATCACCACCGTGTACGTTGTCGCAGTCAATGCTTTTGTTTCCGTTCTCTTAATCTGGCCCAGAAAAGAAACTGAACAATTTGCTTTTCCCGTGGGCAAGTTACCTATCTGACATTTAAAATTTTAAAAACAATAGTTTTGAAGTTACAAAGAAGTAAAACAAGGCAGGGTTCAAGGCTTGGCCAGTTTTTCTGTCCATGAGCGAATACGTCAGGCAATCATGACGGGATGCAGGTTTTGTGACGGAAAACTGAAAGGAGATGACTGGCATGCTGGTGCCTTGACGAAAACTTGTGGTGTAAGCAAAATTAATCATCTAAGACTAATCACTAAGTTTTTTTCTCCTTACAGCGCAATGCTGCCATTTTCCCACCATGTGGTACTCGAAAATCTCGTCATATTCGCATGCACTCAGGTGTAAGCAAAATTAATCAGCCAAGACTAGTCACCAAGTTTTTCTCGGTACAGAGAGCCACAATGCTACCATTTTTCCAAACATGAGGTACTTGGAAAATCACGTCATTCCTACATGCAGTCAGGTACAAACTCCCTCCGATTCCTTGCCGGATTCCTGCCTTTTTGTAGCCATTTTTGGCTAGGCGATCTCAATGTTGGCTTGTTGATATCGTGAAAATGTCCATTGTTGTGTTGTTCTTCCCTTTTTGCATGGATTAACAACCAAGTACTCCTTGTCCTTTGAAATGTCAAGACATGTTTCTGACCACACGTGTACTATTGTACCCTGAAGAAGAAGAAAAAACATCAGTGAACGGAATAGATCATTTTAGTTCAGTTAATTGTTTTGCCATAATGATGTTAAAAAAAAAATAAGAAAAAAATCTAATTAAAACGCTAATGGCGAGGAAGCTTATTTGAGTTTGAGTGGGAGGAGGAGGGGGTGGGGTGGGGTGGTAAGTGAAATTCACGTATCCCAACGCCCAAAGATTCACTCCTGGTCCCATCATTCTGTCTTGATTGAAATTATTTTACCGGTGATGATTATGATTTGAATGATTTTTTTAGCCTTTTTACTAAGTTCCAAAGCGACTTTCGGTGAATATGCTTGGTTCCTATTTCAAGGGAGTGAACCAGGCTTAGTTGTACACTTTCCATATTCAATTAGTAAGGCATTGAAGAATTTCGAATCAATTTATAATTGCTGGTTTGCACGTGACGTCACGGAAGCCATGTTGGTGGTGTGTTAAGGTTAAGAACAAGAGCATTTCTCTCCACTAAACTGAACTGAAACTAAACTAAACCCTATTTTCATGTAAATTCGTCGAGAAAAATATTTATTGTATTGACCACCAACACACCACCAACATGGCCCCCTTGTTACGAGTTTGCAAGCCAAGAATTTAACCTTGTTTTTATCGTGTTTCCATTCTTGGTTTCCTTTAAGACCATGACACGTGATCATCTCCACCAAGCTTCCCGGCTCGCTCCGCGGCGCGTCCAAACACTTGTCGTCATTAAACTGTATTTCATTGATCCTCGTCAAGGTGAAAAACTGGAAATGGTAAAATTCAGTCCTTTCATTGCGGGAGTTTTAGAAAGTGCTTGCCGGATAGTGTTACCTTATAGATCGTTTTCACATGACTTCACGGCGGCCATATACAAAACAAAATGGCGGTCAGGTTTGTATACCCAAAAAAATCTCTTGGGGATTGGACTCTTGTCATGTAAAAATGTCCTTTTGTTACAAGCAATCTGCATAGTTGCTGGTCACAGGAGTGAAAACGATCTATTACAAAAGCGAGGCTTTGCTTTGTAAGAAGACGTTTTGATAAGGCAGAAAAAAAAAGTAAAAAAAGTTGCAAGAACGTGAATACTGCGTCATAGAGTTAATTTTCCAGTGTTATAGAAAAGTAATTACCAAAAAAGAAAGGATATTAATGAATTTAAACAGAAGCGGGACTTCTCGGAAAACCCTGTACTGCTTCATGTACGTGTCTGCGCCACTTCCCAACGTAAACTGCTGATCAGGGAACATACAGGACCTTATTTGATGTTGAGGGAAAGAGAGGGCGCATGTGTAATGTGTAGAGACCACTGACCTGATTTCCTCCCATTCCGTGACACGTGTAGAGGCCCACTTGCTCAATTTTAGAGCCTTTCTCTCCAAGAGTGTCGACACAAAGAGGAAACTCACCATTGCGAATCTAAATTAAAACAGAACCGAGATCTTCATCAACAACGCACTTGCTTGTAACCAGAAAAGAAATTTGAAAATACATTTTTTCGTCTGATCTTTCGTTCAGCACTTGTTAGTTACTTTTTCTTTACCTCGCCTTGCGCTGGGGGATTGGGGTCCACTGATGCTAGATCCGGGAACACGTTTGCCAAATACCATTTGAAGTTTCTACAGCCCAGTCTTCTTCTGAGCTTGAGTCGCTCACTAATGTCACCAATGTTAACGTTCTTTTCTTCTTCAGATTTTCTTCTGCACAAAAGGAATTTTTCAGTGTTAGAAATGTAATCCCGGACCCAACAGAGAGTATCTCACCAATTTTTGAAGGAACGTAAATCTAGGATTTATCTTTTTGGGGAGAAGTCCCGGGTGGTTGAAGGCGACGAGCTTCCTAGGGGGTCCGGGGGCATGCCTCCCAGAAATTTGTTGGAATGAATATGCGCTGAGATGCAATCTGGTGCATTTTGAGACACAATTTTGAGAAATGTTACACTGTGTGCTCTGACCTCGATCGTCGCGTCTGGATGATTTTTCCGGTATTGTTACTTATATATTGTAATGATAACAATATATTTGGCGAGGGGGGGGGGGCATTTTAGGGAGGTAGCTTCTACCCCTCAAATACCCTAGATAAAACCCTGTAAATGTCAGGGATGAATCTAAACTGGGAAAAAGACAACCTAATTAAACTAGTTGGGCAGCAGTTTCGAGAATGATTTCAAATCCATTTAATCCTTTCTAATTCTGTTCGTCCGCTTATGCCCTTTTGGCTGTCCCGTAGATTTTTTCTATAGTTAATAACTGTTATTTCAGTATTTTAGTTCATCCTTGGACTAGCCGATAAGTACAAAATTGTCTACAAATGTATGAAATACTCAAAGAACCTATCAATCTCCTCACGTTGTTTATATATTCCTTCTACTATGACCTACTGCATGAGTAGTGCATGAGCTGCGCAGTAGAATTCTCCAGAAGATCGCTGCCCTACCTGTAGTAGATCTCCTTGTACTCGTCCATCCATACTTCAGCTAAGCGGTTGAAATTCTTCGCTAGGGTCACTGCTGTTCCCTTAGGAAATTTATAAGGTGATGTGTACTTACGGAAGACGTGACCAACACGTGAACAGGGCACTATTTCTAGTTGACCCCCACACATCCAGACCTAAAAGGTATTTTATAAAAAAAGAAAGACGCGCATTGATAGTTACAGCTTTTCCGTTGAACGCGAAAAAGCGTAATTCAACAACCACAAGTGTCGCGAGAGCAAATCGTCATACAAAAGATCCACTGGAGAGGTGGGGCAAACAAACCCAGGTCAACTTATTATAATATCAGGGAAACTAGAGTAACCCCACCCCCCCCCCCCCCCCGAGCGACAAATGAATGTCAAAGAACAGTCCCCAGATTATTATTATTATTATGTAATTAAGAGTGGCGCATTGAGTTAAGTCTAAATCTCTACTCTGAGAATGGCCCCCTCTTTCGATTTTTCGGTGTAACCCTTCTGCTTCACCCCATTGGTAGATGCATTAGTCAGTTCTTCTCTTTTTTGGATAATGATTTATGCTTACTCTGAAAGACAGTTCCAGATTCTCCCCTCCCCATATGTCCATCTGGTCATCATATGTTCCCAGATCGTAAAAATATTGTTTATGCATCGAGAACAAGCCTCCTGCCATTGTTGGGCTCCTGAAAAAAAAAAGTGCAACATAACATAGAATCAAATGAACACAGTGAGAGACATCCGTGTCCAATATAAACCGTCAGAGCTATGAGTCAGATGGACTAAGAAAAAGTCTGGTCCTAAAACGCAGCAACCGGAAATGAGGTTCAGTGAACGACATGGTCAGGATAAAAATTTTTGTCTTTTAGAGTCACATCGTCGTCGGCTTAATCGAATGGATTTACCGGAAGTTTGGTCGTAAACTACAGAACCGGAGGTTTAGGAAACTAGATGTTAGCGCTGTCCAATGGCGTCCATTGGAGTGCACATGGACATTTTATAATAATCGACAAACAACGCGACTTGCACAAGCTATGATGCGAAACAATCTCGCTATGACAGTTAAGTGCACTACTCTGCTTAAATAAGACTTTCTCCAAGCTATGGCGCCAAACCATCAGCCTACAAATTTTCCCGCGACTGAATGGCAAGACGAATTCTGATTATCATTATCATTATCATCATTATTATGATTGTTATCGTGATAATAATTCTTTTTATTATAATTCTTAGCCAATCAGGGATTACCGCAAGTATATGAAACATATTTTGGGTCGGTGGGTGGGGAAAAAAGTGACGAGTTTTGAAAATGGTTGCCTAGGAATTTGCTCGCGGGCTCAGTAACTCTTGCGATCATCTAATAATCCATCTGTTATAATGTTATGAAATCGAAACAACAACATCAAGTTCTAACCTACCTAATAAAGTCCGTCTCGTCCTTCCTCCTTTTCTTCTCTTCCTCTGGAATAGCTTTCCAAGTAAAAAACAAATCCCAGGTAAACCCACCACGCTCATAAATCACATCAGACGCATGGTATCCAAAGTCATCCGCATCAATTACTTCTATTACAGGACAAACGACATTGGTACGATTCTGCGCAATACGCGCCAACAGAGGCTCGATCCAGCCTTCTGTGGCCTCGCAATGGGAGTCCAAGAAGGTCAGAACATCTCCCCGAGAAATCTCTGCTCCGCGCAACCGTGCTCGCACCAGTCCTTCTCGTCTTGGCATCCGAAGGATTTTCACCTTTTCGAACTGTCGTACTTGCTCTTCTAAAGGCTTCTTAAGGTTTTCTGTTGATTATGAAATCAGTCAAAATCCCATTTATCTTTATAACTTCTCCCCCATCTATTATCTCTCTTACGTGATAGATTTTTCTCTAGCTTCTCCGGTTTTCCCCTCTCCTCAAAAACTAATTTTTCCAAATTCTAGCTCCCAATCCGGAATGGTCATGTAAACCAAGAATTACGGAATGAATGCGTTACCCCTAAATCGCCTATTTAATCATAGAAACATTCGGCATTTATAGTTTGGCGTTATATCTGCTCAAGAACATAGTTCTTGAAAGTTACAGTAAAACCAAAGTAGAGCTACTGCCATCTTGAATATGGCTTCAATCTTTTTCACTGTGAGAGTAAAACTCAAATGCGCGTAAAACGCATTTTTTATCGGAAAGATAAAAGACATACTCTAGTCAGCCGTGGGAAAAAACCTCGTTAGCCTGCGCATGCGTAGCAGTCGTTTCCGTTTCCATTAAGCCACGTGGGGCAAGAACGAAAGACGCGTGAGGGCATTGGGCAAAAAAAGGAGTAAAAGGTAGGAGGGGTGACGGAGGGGCTTCCTTTCCTTCCCCACCCTCCCCCGCTCCGTTTATTTATTTATTTATTCCCGCTTGGCTTTAAGGAGATGGGAAACGACTGCCACGCAAACTAAAAGCTCGTTTGCGTCAGTAAACTTACCGTATTCACTAAAATCATCCACGAGGATAATATCTGCTAGAAGATGTGGAGGCGAACGATTGAGGACACTGTGTACTGTTCTAAGCAACACGGACAATGCTTCATTGTGAAAACAGACTATCACGCTTGTAGTAGGAAGCTTGGTCGGGTATGTTTTGTGCTTCTCACGACATCTGAGAATAAAGAAGAAGAAGAAAATAGGGAAGAAAGGAAGAGAATGAAGTTGTACCTCTCAGTCTGAAACTGGTATCGTTAAGTGTTTCGAATCATATTAAATGAAAGCCATGATGCCGTTTAATGTGGTTCTCACTTTTGAGTCTGTGGATAAAATTCTTAAGTGTGACTATTCAATGGCCGATCCAGACCTTCAGATAAGGGGGAGGGGCCTGGTCATCCAGACCTGAGATAAGGGAAGTGGGGGCCGGTCTAAATAAAAATAAACGGGGGATCAGCACCCCCCGGCCCCTCCCCTGGGTGCGCCACTTCTATTAAAAAGAAAGATACTGAGCTGCACTGTCCTAAGGTTTTTCACTATTCATTACGCTTTACAAAGTGGTTCTAACTTGTAAATCTATGGTCCGGATGAATTCCTAGCGTGTGACCATTGAAATGGAAGCTATTTAACTATTATTCCTCGAGCCCGAATGGGCTCTGAGTCAATAGCCCTACCGACTGGGCTATCGACTCAGAGGCCATGAGGGCGAGAGGAATAATTGTTGAACAGTCTACTCAAATGAAAGCTACTGACTAGTATTTTCCTGTGGTGCTGTTTATCAAACTGCACTATGTGGTTCTCACTTTGAGTCTGTTGGTGAAGTCGTATGACAACTGTGACCTAAGTGTAATCCTACGCCAGCACCCTTAATAATAATAATAGTAATAATAATGACTTTATTACTAACAGTATTTCCACTGAAAAGAGGCTCTTCATCTGTAAAATTTACATTTAAAAAAAATCAAAGTAATCTAGAACATGTACAAATCAAGAAATCAAACGTGCATTTGCCCTAACAGGTAAATAAACCAGGGATACAATAGGTGGGACAAACGTTCACACGAAACTTAAATTACTTACAGATATTGCCCTTATTACCATACCTGCTTTTGTTTCTTGTTTTAGTTTTATGTTCTGTCGGCCCAATTGTGAAAAACCGAATTGCGCAGCATGGCCCTTTGACTTTTGAAATCGAATAACCAATGGGTAGATTTATGCAAAAATGTGTGTCCCGCCTCGATTTTTGATGCCCTTGCATCCAATTTATTCTCGCAACTTTTAACACTTTTTGGCAAGGTCAAACCTTACTTACTTAGGTCCTCTGACATCCTTGAGTGTCCTATCAAGCGAAATGTGGTCGCTAAGTATCACGTTAAAGGAGTGATTATCAAACACGCGTTCAGCTTCCGTCTTGAACTGAGCAGGCAGCGAGGCGGGCTCTCCATTATCCCCCAATCCTGGGATAACCTCTTTAAAATAAGGTTCCTGGATTATAGACTCTTCTGACCTCCTTCCGTGAAAATTTGAATTTGAGGACACGTCCTCTGGAATGAAAGACTCCGCGTCGAAAAGACTGAGCTGACTGTTCATCGAGGTTAAGACGTAAAGGATGTCCACCGCTAACCAGAAAAGGGATGTCAAAGCGCAAACTTTGATAAACAGTCTTCGATTTCTCATAACTGTCCAAGATATGGCGTGATTCTAGAATTACTGATAATTGCACCATGTATTAAGTTTTAGGTTGATACGGGTAATACAGACGGAACACATCGGATCATTTTGTCGGTGTAAAATCGCGCATCGTCTCCTCGCATCTCAGTTGTCCATAATTGAAATTTCAAAATAAACTTTTCCTTTCGCGGAGGGTGATAATGGCTTTCAAAGTTGAAAAGAAGTTATTGAAGACAGTGAGCTCCGGCGTAAATTATTCATGTAGAAAATCGCAGGTTAAACTTGCAGATCAGAATAGTGTTCACGCAGGTACCTGTGCTGCTAAACTGAAAAAAGAAAAGAAAAGAGGAACAGTAACGAAGCAAAAAAAAAAAGATCACCTACTTTCCTAAGAGCGCTTCCTATACTAGTAAGCATTTTGTTTCACCCTAACGCTGAGAAAATTTCTCGATGATCCTGATAACAATGAGTAGGACCAAGAATACATGATTGTAGTATGCACTTTTGGTGGGACAGATTGCACACTTTCTATATATGTATGCTTTCTTTTCTCGTGGACCTACAGAGACCCTCGCATCCGGTTCGAATTAAAAAAGGATTGAAAACAGTTAACATTTGTCATTACAGTGTGTTGTTTGGCCATTTCCTTTAGGTTAACTAGTGAGAATTTAAGAACCGAGAAATTTTCGCAAACTGTTAGTAGCTCCCACACTCTTACCGACGGTCATTTCAATAAAACTTTCACAAGTGTAGCTATTGTTCTAGAGTCTGAAAACAATAGCTACGCTTGTAAATTACCCTTGTAAAAGCTTAATTAAATGAACCCCTAGAGTACTAACCTTGTTGGTTCCAGGCTGCTCGCCCGGTTCAAACAGACCGCATAGGGAATGTTCTGTCACACTTTGTAATACCTGGCGCACTTTGTAATAACACTTGTCGCACTTTGTAATAAACTTGAAATGGACGGTCGGAGGACAAGTAAACCCAATAATAGGTATCATTATCGACACCAACAACAATCATAATAATAATAATATTCCACTGGACGGTTTTCGGCACCAATTTCTCAATTGGGGGTGGAGGAAAGTGTTCACATCAACTGCGGCCTTCCGGATTCAAGATCTCTTTAGGAGAGAGTACAAGCCTTTCTATGCGACCTCGAGACCACCAGACAGTGGCCATAGCTGCGAGAGTCCGTAGTGACGGGATTTTGTCTTGGAATTTAGTTGCTATCCGCGTTATCGGGTTTTCCATAAAAGTAAGGTGTCCTTGACAGAACAGGGGTTAAAAAATAGAGAATTAAATGAAGATGATTTTCCTGCAATTCAAGAAATGAGCCTCTGGTTATCTTTAGATCAGTTTCCACGGGTACATTATAGAGAGCTTTGTTAGGGTTACAGACAAGCATTGAAGACAAGTATGATGAAAAAAAAAAACTTTATAAAGGGTATCATATTCCATTTCAAATCCAAGATGGAAGTCGAATGGAAACTTTCACTCGCTTTCAAACTACCACTGAGACTCAGCAGGAACTTAACCTCACCCCAAGCCCCCTCTTTTGTTCAGAAGTGGTGAAAAAATCTTCAACCCCGCACGAAGTTAAGGCAATTTAAGAATTCGGCAAATATAGCAGTTGTCAGTGCAAAATCATTTAATTTATTCAAAGACTGACGATGGCCTCATTTCTTGTGTGGTAAAACGGTTGTAAGGTCAACAACAAAAAATGTTAGTTTAGAAGACTGCCGCTAATAAGTTTTGTTTAAGCATCACTGAAATAATTCCCTTTTAGTGTTACAAAAATTATTGTTACGACTGCGGACTCAGTTTTTTTTAAGAATATTTTGACGGGAATTGGTCTTTTCATTCTCTCCAGAAACTGTAAGTGGGATGGGTGCAAGCTTTTTTAGATATACTCTTTAATCTTTCTATTATTTGTATACTGTACGTTTTACGTATTTTTAGACTTCCAATCTGTAAATGGAACTTAAGACATGTCTTTTTATCTTAGAGGAATAAAGATTGATTGATTGATTGATTGGACAGGCGTTAGTTATGATTGGTCGATGGTATTCATGGCAACCATTAATCACTCATAAGTCCAAACAATCCCAACAATCCTTGCGCTGAAAGTTTGTACCCATTCCCCTTATACTTTCAGCAGTGGGGAATTCTGGGACTTGTACTCGAAGGCACTCCCAACTTCCACAGTACGCTTCATTTGAGCTTTCCAAAATGTCCAAATCGCTCGTTTACACCTACATGACCAGCTTTTGTAAATTTATCTCCTGTATGTTTGTGCTCTATGCCTGTCTTTCTCACTGCCTCTGTGTTTCTTGTAGTCCGTAGCTTCCTTTTCACTGCCCTCGCACAAATGCCTTTCTTTATCTCTGTTCGTAGAATGACTGCGCGTTTCTCCGTAATGTCTACCTTTCCCTACGTTTCTGTGTTCCTTGGCATGTCTCGATTGCCTAGTATCTCCGTCTTTTTTACTCGAATGTCCATAGGTTTCGCTATGTTTGTACATCTTTTTTGAGTCTCTAGAATGTCCACGTTCTTCTTCTTTATACACCTTGTCACTCTCAGAGTCACTTTGATCTGAATCCCTCAATTTTCTACTCTTTTCGTTTTTCTTTTCCTTTCCTTTTTTCTTGCTTTTCCTCTCTTCCGAATCCGACGAATCGCTTCTTCTGTGGTGTTTTGACTTGGTGTGTTTCTTGACCACTTTTTCGCCGTCTTCTGATGAAGAACTTCTGCTTCTTTTTCGTTTTTTCTTCTTCTGTTTCTTGTGGCCTCTCTGCGCGTCCATTTCTTCTCGTTCAAGTCGATCTAGTTTCCTGCGATGCAAAAGAAAAAAGAAGCAAATACAAACCGTTGACGAATTTCTGCGAAGAGCGACAAAAATAAACGGAATTATAAAGTAAAAATAAAACAACAACAGTTACCTAAGTAATTTCCTCTTTTGTTTGTCTGTAAGTGAGGCCAGGAAAGCAGCTTCTGCATCGTCTTCGCCTTCATCTTCAGATGCTACAATTTGCTGCAAACAAAAGTCAAATATTGAAACATGATTACGCATATTTACCGACAGGGTAAGCATAAAAAGTTGGTAAACTCTTACGAAATCTTCAAATAGGAAGATGCAGTCAGTGTATTTTGTTCAAATTTCTAAAAGGAGGCAACCAAGTGGTCTCAACAAAAAAAACATTCCTTTTTTTTTTCTAAAACTACAAAAAACCCGCAAAATTACGGCAACTGAAGAAGCTGAAAAGGAAAAAACTTGCACTTGAGGTCAGGTTACGAAGGCGCGCCACTCATGTACAAAGGCTGCCGTTTTAGCGTCGATAAAGTGGCCGCACCTGCCTGCCGTATCAAAAATAGAACCGTAAAACCAAACTGCCTTTAAGGAGGTTTTTTCAGCGGCACGTAATTCAACAGTTAGCTTCGGCCCATGATTAGCGCGGCCAAAGTGAAATTTAAAGGGTGCTACACCTCGTTATTTTGGCTTTGAAGTTAATACGCTTCTATTGGGTTAAAAAAATCTAGTGCAGGGATATTTTCAATGGTTTATTGAAAGTAATGTGTAGCGAACGTGTTGCGAAATAGGACGTAGCGAGTTCAACAAGTAGCGAAACCGTTTGTTACCAAGAAAACTCTGCCAGCAAGGAGGGTCGCTTTAAACCTGATGGTTTACGGTCACCTCGCCACCAAACCATCTCGCCACCACATAATAACTCTGCAATAATTGACACTGTTTACTTACCTGTGATTGTTACCTCTTCCTCAAGCCCAAATATGCGTTTTTCGATTTTATTTAACACCTTGCATCAAACTTCTCATCTTTAGTTTTATTTTTGGTGAATAATTGCGACTTTTTTAATACATACGGCTTATTTCCATCGCTCGAGATGTGCGATTTGTTTAAAATCCAACAGCCTTTCTTATGAAAGTTGGTTAATATATTATTGTCACTTGAACCTTACTTCCTTAAATTTCATTGTAAATTTAAAGTGAAAGAATTCTTTTTAGAGACTTGACCTTTCGATAAGTATTAAGATATATATTTCTGGGTGGCGAGATGGTTTGGTGGCGAGTTGGCAGAGGATACCTACCTGATTGGGGTCGCTTGGATCAAACACCCGTCCTAATACATTCTGTTTTAAGGTAAGTCCTTCAGTTTGCATGTCCTTTAGAAGTCTCATTGGATCTGCGATGTCTACAATCAAACGGCAACATTGCATTACTGAGGATTAAAAGACGTTTTGCCCACGAGTAGTTTCGACAGCGTCCTGTTCGCCAACGTTTTAAGTCATTTCGCCAACGCGTTAGGTCACTTTCCTTATTTTTTTCGCCTGATCATTGGCTTAAAGAAAACGTCTTTTGAGCGAAAAGGCGGAATAATTACTTCCTGTCATACGTTTGTAATGTTTCTGGTTAAAATATATTCTAAGTATGCTGTTATAACTCTACTGGCTGACATTTTAGATTTTAACACCATATGTGACAACAATTTATGCAAACAAACCCAACTAGAGAAGTTTGACTGAAATGGTAGAAAGATGTAAGATCTTATACCTGTGATAAGACTCGGGTCAACGTTGGCGTTTTTGCTCTTGTTGAACAACGGACACTGAAGAAAGCAAAAAGAAAAACAACATTAAAGGTGCGGCATATGATTGTGTCCTCACGTGTGTACATAACAGAGAAATTGAAAAGACTGGCATTGATCAAGTTTTGGTCCCTCTGACCCCAAATGAACTTTTGATCGTAGACATGCCTTACATAAGTTCTCAAAATAGTTACCTCTTTATCCGTGTTAATGTGGCCCCATTTTCCACATTTAATGCATTTAACATTACGAACCTGAAAAAGGAAGGGCAAAGTCACAAAATAATGAAAATGAAAACATAGAAAAACATAACTAATGTTTTTCCGCTTTTCAGGAAAACGCGAAACAGTTACCGTATTTATTCGATTAAACCCCCAACCTCGAATAAGCGCCCATCCTATAGGCAGGAAAAAACAAGTGCCCAGCGTCAAATAAGGACACACCTTGAATAAGCACCCATCCCTGTACAACCCCTACTGAAAAAACTGACCTTACTGAAAATGAGACTGAAATTGACCAGGTTCTACTAAGAGAATTTCATAGAGACTGAATTTTCTAAGTATTTTAGAGAAACTTTCAATAAACAGTTAAAATTCTGCTTTGGAACATCTTCACGTTTCGTTGCAAAATAAAATTCCTACTGCTGAAAATTGTGAAAATTTAATAAGCACCCAGCCTCAAATAAGTACCCACTTCGAATAAGAACCCACTCTCAATGGTCCAAACATTTAATAAGTGTCCAGGCCGCTTAATCAAATAAATATCTAATTAACAGAGCAGAAAATTATAAAAGAGAACATACAGCAATTCCAAATGGCTGATCCCGTGCCTCAATCCCTAAGCTCTTGGCATATCTGTAATGCAATATTTTTGAGGGGTATAAGCAAAATATTCAAGTTTAATGCAAACGGGCATACTTTTCCTATTACCACATTTAACTGAATAAGTACTGCAATGCTTGTGGCCTGCTGGCAAACTATCTGTTTGGTGGATATCATGAGAAGCCACATGCCAGAAGCACACAAAAAAAGATGTGAGGGTGATGGGTAGCCTGAGAAAACAGCCAACATTTGGCAAAGCCACCACTGGTTTCCCTGCCAAATGGCGTCTGAGAAACGAGCACAGAAATTCCATACTGATGACGTCACTACCCAAACCTGGGTAGTGCTTCTGATTGGTTGAATCAAATTTCCCATGCGGCGTGACCAATCAGAAGCACTACCCAGATCTGGGTAGTGATGCGTTATCAGTATGGAATTTCTGCGCTTGTTTCTCAGACGCCATTTGGCGGGGAAACCAGTGGTAGTAGGTGACGGGCAGGGAAAGAAAGAGTAGCTCTTCTTTCCTTTTCCCTCAGGGCTTTGCCTCTCACTTTCATCTTCTCTTGCATTTGCTTCACTTGCTTTTTGAAATGGAAATCTTGATCACAGGCTACAACTTACAATAATTTGATACATTTTTAAAACAATTTCTGCATGGGTTTATGAGTGACCTTTGTATGTGATGCTGCTAACAAAAGATATACAGCTGAAACACCTGGTAGTGTACAACTCAAAAACAAGCTTAACTTTGGATTGGCAATCAAAAGAGAGTTAATTTAAGAAATTGAGACAAGTGCTTTAAGAGAGCTGTTACATTTTATTTTTACAATGGCAAACTTCTCTGGAAGTATCACTCAGGTTTTGATGAACTTAAAGGTTTTGTAATAACTTCATACATGTAGTAAAGCTCAAAATTTTCTCTTATATTTGGTTGACATATGAGTCCAGTTTTTTCCTAGAAAGTTTTTCCTTTGAAACTTGTGCTGTGATTTTTCAATGAAGAGTACTAAGGTACTAGCTGGTACATATTTTAAAGCCATATGTGGTTACATACGCCTCTCTTGGAGCTCCTCTCTGCCATTCAAACTTCACTTCACCTTCTTCCTGCTCTGGTGGCTGATAAAAAATGAACATTTCAAATAAATGGTAATTACTCATGAGCGAGTTGACTCCAATATTACACTCCTAAATGAGAACAATATGGGCTTGGCTCAAGCATTACTATAACCCTTTAAGCCCAGAGAGTGATCAACATTAAAATTCTCCTTGTGATATCAATGCTTAATAAAATGGATTGATGACAAGAATTAAGGAAATGATCACTCAAGATGAATCTGGTTGAAACTTCAACAACTTCCCCCCCACTTGGTCCATGGAAATGTAAAAGGAAAACAAAGGAGAGCATTCAATAACTTCTTTATTGCAATAATGTGACAGTTGTTTAAGAATGGCATCTCTTGGGGGTTAACCCTTTAAACACTAATATCAAAATTCAAGCTTCCTTCTTTCAAACCTGTATATGGGAACATTATTGGAATTTTGTCCTGAATACCCTAAATGACACAGAAATTTGCCATTTACACCCAGAAACATACTCCATATGGGCCCCCCACCTCCAAATAACAAAATTACCCCTTACAAAGGAATTGTAAGTGAAATGTAATTTTACCTTTTTATCTGATATATCCAAAGGACACAAAATTTGAATTACAGGTATATGTAAAAGAAAGAAGAAAAGTAATAAAAGGTCAGTTATATTATAGTTACATTAGAGATGACACTATACCACGTTTCCTCCAATAAGTGCCAGAGCACTTATTTTCAAATTTCAACTAAAAGAATGGGTACTTATCCGAAGAAGGGCACTGAATCGAGGGGGCGTTTATTTTTTTTTCCTTTAAACAAACTAGAGAACGGTCAAGGTGTTCCTGGCAAATTTACGGCATCTTATACCAAGAGGGCTGCAATAAGGTAAAAATTAAAAGAAGAGATAATGCACAGACAGGAACTATGCAAGTGCAGGGAAGTGACTTAACAGAAAAGAAACTATTTGCCTTTACTGATTCTGCTTTACTCCAGTGTAGTCAAAGCCCAAAAATTTGAACATAAAGTGGTAATAGAAGCTGGTTTTCCTTGTATCCCCACCATTTCAGAAAGTGAGGGGGAGGGTTGGGGGCACTTCTAAGAGGGGGGTGCTTATTTGATATTATGGCCTGGGGGCTGGGGGCTTGTTTGGAGGAGGGTACCTATTAGAGCATGGGAGTGGGTGCTTATTGAAAGGAAATGAGGTACTTTTGTTGAGTTTGTTTTTGATTCTCCACCCTGCTACAAGAGGTTTCTTCTCCAAACGGTCCATTTTTCACCTCTCCTTATAAATTTATTTACAAGTGCAAAAAATAAACCTTTGTTGAAACCAGGTGGGGCATCATACAAGAAATCCAAGCCAGACTTAATCCTTTCATCATTGCTGATGGCTACCCTGATAAAAGAGAAATTCTGTCAGTACTATGGAAGGGCTGTGGACTGCCCTGCCACACTGGCTATCTCAGAATAAAAACCTCACAGCTATGACATATAAAAGTAGGCAAGTAACAGGCGACTTACCCTTGTCTTTGGGTAGAGAAGGAAACCTTATTTTTGGAACAAACTTTATGCTGAGCACACTGTATTCAGAGCTTTGGGCCCCCTACAGTTTTTCTTAGAGAAACAAGCAAGCATGCTTACAATCCAGTATGCACGCATATTGGCTACCTGCAAAAATGCAAGCCTGGAAAGGGAGATACAAAGTTGATATTAATATCCACTATACCTGTTTTTAAATCTTTCTTGCTCCTTGTTATATTGAAGTTCAAGTTCTTTTTCTTTTTGCTGTGAAGCTAGAAGTTTTTGTTCTGCCATCCATACCTGTCACATTGTAATAAGCACTAAATGAATAACCCTGAGGTTAACAAAAGTTTTGTTTCCTGAGACCCTTATTGCAGATAGGATCACTGATGGTTGAGCAGTCAAGACTCACCATTTCCTTGGGGGCTGGTTAAGTGTTGTCTTATTCTTCCCAAACACAAGATAAAATAGATTATACAATCATGACAAACCAAAAGTTTATTGGGAAAAAAGTACAAATTGCAATTGGCTTCTAGATTTCCAGCAGTTTCAAGGCACACAACCTTATCACGTAGGAGTGTACAGTTCCCAAGGGACATGGTTAGGGAGTCAAGATTCTAAAGAAGTCAAGATTCTAAAGAATATGCTTGATGCAAGCGCGGAGAATTTGTCCACAACAATACGAAAACCTTTATTTAGAATCACTTGGCATTTCTGAACAAACACTAAATACTCTGGTGAGGTTTCGTTGATAATTTCTGTGGATATTCATCGGGAGTTGACTTAGTGTGTCAGAACTTGAATATTTTCTAAGTGTCGAAAACATTGAGATTTCACTCTATGCCCAAGCTCGACAGTCGCTTCTAGTTTTAACTCAAGGCAATATTTATAATCGCTTGACATTTCTAAACAAATATCTTATGTTCTTAGAGGAATTAAACGAGCCATTTTGAGAAAATTGGTCAAAATTTCTGACTGCCGGGTATCTAGTTTTTTGAAAACAGTTCCCGGCTGCCGGGTATGTAGACACGAGCAAAAAAAAACGATGCTGTGAAATGAACTTTACCACAACATTGGTTCCAGCTTTTGCCTTACCCTTTTGATGTTGGCTTTTGAGCCTGGATGGAAATCCTTCTTGTTCATAAACTTCGCAAACATCTTTCTGGCAAGAAATAACTGCGTAGAAACGTGTTTAAAAGAAAAAAAGTCTACTTAAATAAAGAAAAACATTCAAGCCAAGTATTCCGCCATCTTCCTTTGCCCGCTAGGACATCTGGGAAATTTGGGACACATTCCTTACCAGACCCTACCTCTCGATCCACCTGCCAGTAGAATTCAACATGGCTACAGCAAAATCTGTAACAATAATTTCTGACAAATACTTGAATCAAATGAGGCTAGAATGTGACCCTTTGGCAGACGATGCAGTCTCGGCAGCGGTGAGATATCACGGGGAACGTGTTTTGAAATGTCATGAACTTTACAGCACAATCAAAGAACTTGGTGAAACTTACCAGGATCCTAGTTGCGCGAGGTTTCTAGAGTTCTACGAACATGAACCTCCGTGGAATGTAGACTGGGAAAAATGTGACTCAGGAAGACGATTCTTTGTTCGAAACAGTGCTATTGCGGGCCTTGTTCTGATGTATTGTAGCTTGGTGAAATCATTCACAGCTGCGTTTGGAAACAAGGTAAGCTTACTAAAGTTATGGATCAGTCAATTCCAGCTGCGCCCAACCCCCCACCCCCCCGGGCTGACCCCTGGGCGTTAGCTTTTTTTTTTTGCCTTGGATGGCAAATTCCCGGGGGTGGGGTCTCTTGAGCTGTCAAATCCCCCAGGGTAGGAGAGAACATGCCTTTACAACCCTCTTCAATTTTTTCCTGTCATTGATTGATGAGCCAATATGCTTGTTTTTCCAGTAAAATCCTCTGTGTAGTTATATTCTGATAGGAAACCATGTACGTGTCAAAGGCTTGGGAATAGCCCTGGGGCTGGCAAATGCCCGGCCCCCAGGCAGCACAAAATTTGCAAATGCCCGACCCCCGGGACTGACAAATGCCCTGCATTGGCCCAAGGGGGTCCTGGGCACAAATGGAATTGACTGATGCATTAATCATTAATATTCCAAAATCCATTCATTTTCTAATGAGCTTAAATAATATTATAGCATGATTTATTTGTTCTCGTGAATATAAAGTGAAACTCTTAATCAATTTTTTTAAACATAACTTTAAATCTCTGCTCACAAAACATTTAATCACTAGTTGTTAAAAGCTTACTTATAGTTGCAGTGTGTTATAGGTCAAAGTTTCAGGTTAAGGTTTTTTAACTTAAGATGGTTCTCAGTGTACTTTGTCTCCTAGCACTAATTATTCATGAATCAGGGCTGGGAGACAAAGGAAATTGAGAATCAACCTAGGTTACAAATTTTTAACCTAAATTTAATTTTGACCTGTAACAAATTTACTAAGGAGCCAATAAGGGAATTATCACACACAAACATAGTACGAACATTCTCAACTACTGGTATTTTACCAGGTTTTAACAGCCATGGGTCGCATGACTGCATACGGAGATGTCCGCCGCAGACTGTTTGAAACCCTACACTTTGTCAAGGAAGTGGTTCTTGGTGCACCAGGGGACATTAAAGCAGAATGCACGAGGGTACGTCTGCTCCATGCTGCTGTCCGTTATTATGTTCAACATCATGACAACAGATGGGAGGTAGAGAAAGTAAGTGTAGCAAAAGAAAAAAGATTTATCATTGTCCAGGTCCCAGTTGTTCAAAAGGTGGATAGTGCTATCCACCAGATAAGTCTCTATCCACTGGATAGCACAATTTATTGTTTTCTGTAATACTTTATTCACTGGATAGTGATTTATCCTGTGGATAGCACTATCTTGCTTTTGAACAACTGGGGCCAGGTAGACTTGATTACCAGCTGTTTTGGGACACCCTGTTAGGGTTAAATCCAGACATTAAAAGCAACATGGTAGGGTCGATTTCCTCCGCTCTCTCTGTCCTCCCCAAGAAGAGACGGCTGAACGCGTGAGTGGCCTATGTATGATTTTGAAATTTAATTGATGGGTCATTATAAAACAACAGAACCAGGAAATGTCATTAAGTACCAAACACTTGTTGTGCTTTGCCTCTTCATCGCTTTGGTATTCATCATAAAAATCAGCAGAAACACAACCTACTGATTGAGGGCGTTTATACTGATCTTGCATTAGTGAAGTTTGGAGTGAAATTACAAATAGCCTTGACAGTTTGACAGTCATCTCTTTCATGTTGGCTGTCAACAACGATCGTTGCAGACTGGAAAATAATTAATGATCCAGATACGGTTGGTTGAATTTCAAAAACATACTTATCGTTTTCCAACTTCTCTAAGCTAACGCTTTTCGTTGTAAGTGTTTCAGGATTTTTAGTGTTTGATGCTCTAACACATGATTGCACACCACATCAAACAACACCTTTGCATCCACCTTTTGAAGTCTGCTCCAGGCAATTAAATGTATTTTGCCTCCTGGATTTGAGCAGGCAATGATCTGATTAGTGATAATTGACAATTGACAACTCATGTGTCCAGCCGTCTTTTCTGTGGAGGAGTGCAGGCTCATTTCCCAAACAGAGGCTGGTAATCGAGCCTAGCGACATGATCTTGAAACAGCGACATAAAACTAGATAAAATGACGACAAACGACAAAAGATGGGTTAAATACCAACAGGGGCATATCATGGCCTACTCTGAAAAAATAATTCAGACTAGGGGCATTCATATCAACTTGCCACTACCCCCAACCCCCCTCTTTTGTGTGCCCACATTCCTGGAGGCAGAATGCCAACCTGAGTCCATCAAATGGCAGGAAATTGAGCCGATTTTTCAGTTTAATTATCTTGAATCTCTATGAAGGATAACTTGAATACTGGTAGGATAGGGGACTTCTATATAAGGTGAAAGGACAGTGTTGTAAATGTGTGTTGTTTTTGACCATGCTGGTGAGGGTTGCTTCTCACTGGTTGCCATGGATACATTGTGTTTGTCTTTTATGTGCTTGGAATGACCATCCTTTCAGGCACCTACACTAAACCTCATATATTGTTGATGAGTTAAATTTCAATAGGTAGTCTTATGTTACCACCTGCTTTTTGTGGCTAATAGAGCACCTTTGTAGAAAACAGCTGACATTTTGTGATGGCATGGTTTCCCCCTCAAAATGACGTCTGAGAAACGAGGGCAGAAATTCAATACTGATGACCCTTCGCTACCCAGATCTGGGTAGTGCTTCTGATTGGTCATACTGAGTGGGAAATTTGCTTTAGCCAATCAGAAGCTCTACTCAGATCTGGGTAGTGACATGTCATCAGTATGGAATTTCTGCGCTCGTTTCTCAGACGTCATTTTGTGGGGAACCAGCGGTGGCGTTATGAAATGTCAGCTGTTTCTCAGGCTACCTTCTATCTAGGTAAGCAAACCCACAAAGTTGATACTGTAAGCAAACAGTCTGACTCAGAACTTACTCTATTCCTGAAGGACTGAGGGAAATGGTAGCCCGTTTTTTTCTGTGGGGAGAGGGGAAGTTTGTACACAGGCTAGGGAAATGGGTGATGGCCAGGAGGTATTTAACAGTGCTGAAAATCAGGCAAGGGCTGGAAACTTGCATTTTTAATTTCCCTTCAACATGATTGGCAAATCGACAATGACATTCTTAACAGTCCATTGGTGGAACATACTCAAATCCTGGTCCACAGGTGGGGGCCCAGAACAAAGATTTCTCCACTGTTTCACGGACAGACCTAACCAGAACTTTAGTTCCATCAGTGATGCAGGCTAACCAGTGGCAGATCTAGGGGAGGGGCCAGCTCCACCCCCCTTATTTTTAGACCAAACTGAGGCCTGAAGGGGCGAAAAAATTTTGGGGGGAGACCGGGCCCTCCCCCCCTACCTAAGGGTCTGGATCTGGCACTGCTAACATAGGTGAGAGCAGAGAAAGATCGGGGCAACTACCAGGAAAGGAAAAGAACCAGGGCCTAGTTGTTTGAAGGCCGATTAGCTCTAACCCAGGGTTAAATTTTAACCTGGGTTCTTTTTCTTTTGTTTAAAACCTTTTTTCCGGATAACTTTCTCAATTCTTTTTGGAGCTCCAATCATCAAATTGTAGGCAAACAGAATAAAACTGAATTTGCTTTTTAAGCTTTCATATCTGAATTCTAATTTCACACTAACCCTGGGTTATCTTTGAACAACCAGGCTCAGGAGAGATTGGAAACAGAAGAGAAGGGATAGCTTGGAGTGGGCGGGGCAGGGTGTAAACCAAGAGAGAACAGAATGGGAAGAATGTGCGGAGGAGGTAAGAATTAAGAGGGAAACCAGGACTGTAAACTAGCAGATGAGGACGGAGAGACCAGGGAAGGAGGGCATGGGAATGCTGCAGAAAAACCTAGAAAGTTGAAATACAGGGAATAGGGAACAGGAACCAGGAGAGGGCAGGAAAAAGAAAAGAATTTGAAGGTCAGGTGAGAAGGAGAGAGGATCCAGGAGGGGTAAGTAGAGGTCCAGGGAATCGAAGTCATGATACAAGTGTAAGGAAGTAGTAGGACAAAAAGTTATGCTGCAGCACAGAAAGTTCAAATTGTCATCACTTATCTCAATAATTTACTATAATTATTTTTCTTAGTATGGATATCCAATCAACCAAGAGGACCTTGCGGGAACACTTTCAACGTTTTCCTCAGTTGTTCTAAGAGGGTTAGAGCTATTGGGAGTGATGGCGACAGACAGTGAAAAATATGGCTACCAACAGTTGTGGAAATTTGTGGGGTATTACCTTGGTTAGTATCAGTACTTATTTTATTAAATACACGTAGCTAGAGAGCACATTCTACTGTCGAACCTCTGCCAATGGCCACCTCTCTACAACAACTCCTTTTTTTTGTCCCAGCAGACAAGAAATCCATACATTGACTTGTTTAAAACCTCTCTATAATGGCCACTTTTTTCTCTCCCCAAGGTGTCCATTGTAGAGAGGTTCAACTGTATTTCAAAGTGCTATTTCAATAGTTTTTGGAGTATATGATACATTTGAAACAAAATTTTGTACAGTCCATTCATGGTCTTAGGAGTGTGATGATTTTAATGTGGCTTTACAATAATATTATTGATTTCAAATGGCAAAAATCCCCTGACGATTGCCATTTCAGTGAGCAAACCCTGTTTTTATATGCAACTTGTTAAATAACTCAGTTCTTGAATTAAAATTCACCCAGGCCTTACAATAAAATTTTCTTTACTGTCAAACTGCCAATTAACCTCTGAGGCACATGCGCAATACAAGCCTGTGTAGCAGGTGTTGGTCAAAAGGGGTAGGGGATAGGAACGAAGGGAAACAGGGAGGGGGGTCAGGATAAAAAAAGGGAGGGCTTTCGCACTTTTCACTCCCCCCCTTCCCTTTTTGTGCCTGCTACACAGGCCATACACTATAATCATGTGGGTTGTAATAATTACCGGTAACATTAATTTTCACAAAAGTTTTCCAAATCTTCCCAAAACTTTCCATAAATTTCAATTTTCACAAAAACTATCAGTCAATAAACAAACCCTGGTTAGTAAGCATCAACAGCGGGGAATTTTTAGTGCTTGTATGTCATTTTGTGGGGAAACCAGTGGCAGCACTGCGAAATGCCAGCTGTTTTCTCAGGCTAATTTTCACCCCATAACACATTCTTTTTGGTTCAGGAACAGAAAATGATCTATTGTGCGACAGCTATGAAGAGGAAAAGAATCTGTCTGACTTGATAAGCTCAAGACAGTGTAACCCCGACAAGGACTCTTTGCTGTTGACAGAATCCCTTCTGCAAGCATTTGCAAGTAAATCTCCCTTTCATCTTAGTTATGATACCACAAGCAAACTTTCAAGGCACCTTATCAATGACAAAGATCTTGCCAACAAGCTTCATCTCAGAACGTTTGGTCTCTTAGGTCAAACAGCCATGACATTGTTTTATGTCTTTCTTAGGCTGTTTGTAGTAATCCAAAGAATAGTGTATCCAGTAGAATGGGTGATGTATGCATTTGGAAAGTATTCTTTGAAGTCATTAGTTGAACTTTCTTTGAATGGGAGAAAGCCTTCTTATTTAATGAAGGCTCATTCATGACTGAACCTGATGGAACTGTAGTTAAATATTACATAACTACATAATGTACATTTCTATTGTACTTGTAGTATTTTCCTTGTTTGAAGTTTTTCAAACTCGTCACTCATACATTACCATACCCAAAAGCAAACAAAAAGAAATGTGTACAAAATATTAAAAAATAAGTAAATGAAAGACTTAAATAAATATTAAACCACAACACACCTCCTTTTCCACCATCATTTAACACTCAAGAGTTTTCCATCAGAACATGGCAAAAATGCCAATATTTGAATGTGTCCTTTTCACCTTTGCCAGCTAATATTTTTGACCTGGATAGTGCAAATTTATTTCTTTGTTTGTATCCCCATAGATGATCACTTGCACATTATTATTTTAAGATTTTAGCAATCAAAAACTGTATGGATCCCCCTTACAAAAAAAACGGAACATCGCAAACTAAATTAACCAACAATTTGCTGTATAACATGTTATGGAGATATTTTATTTAGGACATTTCACAGTACAACTTCAAACGCATAATACTATTATATATTAGTATTAATTTATTGCTATTTGCCCTCCACGGGGAGTTATTACTGTCAAACTCAAAAACCGTGAACACCTGAAAAATTTCAGGAATGTTGATTGTATACTGGCCAATCACAATGAAGTTCAGGATACACATGCAATCCTCAAAACCACAACCTAATTACCGTTGCTGTTTGCTGTTTAGTTATCTCTTATTGGCTTATTTCTTGCAACACAATAACATTCCATGAATATTTCTGGTGTTCATGGTTTTGTGAGTTTCACACAGTAATGTTATTATTTTGTTGCTCATTTACCATCAAACGGGAAAACTGGAACACCAGAAATAATTCTAGAATTTTATTCTGCTGCAACAAAAAAGCCAATCAGGCATGCGACAATTAAACCGCAAGCAAGAATGTTAATTAGGTTGCGGTTTTGTGGCTTGCTCGCATGTCCTGATCTTTGCTGTGATTGTCTAACACAATAAACATTCTTGACATATTTCAAATTTTCATGGTTTTCCCAGTCGCACCATAATTCTACATCCATGCAGGTCACTTCCTACAACTCTTTTTGTAGACACAGTTTGCTATTTTTCCGTTACCATTACAAAATAGCCGCCAGTGAGGTGCTCGATCTTGATGTTCTTACAGAAAAATGAGGGATTATGAACTGTCTAGTCTTGTCTGTCTTCTAATATCAGCTTCTAAAGCTGGGGACTTTTACTATACAAAACAATTTAAAATCCTGTTCATCAATAACACAACTGGTATTAAGTATAAATTAATTCTACATTTTGCCATGATTTTGTTACTACCAGTATCTTGGTCAGGTATGAATAGGAGTTTTTGTTCTATTAATATACATGAAACAAAGCGGTTAAATACAACCTTTCACACAGGCCATTTTAACCTTTCCACTTCCATGTACTTTATGTGCACCAAATCCTAAAGTGTGACTATTTAAAACCTTGTCAAAAGTCCTTTAACAAGGTAAAAATCCCCAATTTCATTAATAAATTAATAATATTATTAATATTATTATTGACTTGGGGGATTTTTTTCATTTTAATACTCTCAGTTTTCACATGATGTATGTCACCAAAATTCAAACTGAAGAATTATCCATTCTTCTGAGTGTTTACTTTCATGAGGTTTATCATCAGCTACACACTTTTACTTACACAAAATTTCGGTGTGAAAAGGTTCTCCGTTTTGTCAATAGAGGGTTCTTGAATTTCCAAGCTTTTGCGTGATGTGGCATTTAGATGGCCTCAGAGTATCTCGCATATGAAATATTGCACCGACATGATCCTTGGCGAGGCCTTTTACATATTTATCCCCTTTCATTTCCCAGATTCTGGACTTTCTGTATTGAATGGGTTTCGATTTCTATTTTTGATGACATAAAAGTGAAAAAAGAGAATTTGTGCACTGTTTGGAATGAAAGTATTAAAACTGTAAACATACGTTATAGACTACCACAACATTTTTAGGGGAGCATTGTGCACCTATGTATGTCAAAATCTGATGCCATTATTAGCTACAGGGACAGGTCCTTCAATAAAAAACACAACTATGCAAGCCATCTAAATGTACTATAAACTACATGTACCCACTCAACTATGCAAGGCACAACTGAAGTCCTGTCCAATAACCTTGGTCTTTAAATTGCATAATAATATTTCTATTCTTTACAATGATATTTTTCGTTAAATATTATGCAAGCTACTACAATCTCTTTGTTAGTACTGTAATTGGAATTAATACACTGCCCTTTGGGCAAGCTGATGCTTGTCCTCTCCTCAGAAGGTAAAGTCCAACTCATAGATTCTGATGTTAATCATAACTATGACAAAATTCTCAAATCTGATTGGCTATCAACTGTCCTGATTTTAGCATTAATGGGACAGTGTGATAGGACAGGATGCGTCATGCCTGTAATTGGACAGTACATGCGATTCCACATTTGCACTTAGACAGCTTTTTTTCACTGCTAGCAAAAAAAACTCTCAGAATTTCGTGTGTTCTAATTAGAAAAAAGCCTAAAATTTAAAAAGTTTTGTTGTAGTTATGATTAATTGGTAACAGAACTTGGTGTCATTCAATTCAGTCTATAATCACACTCGTGATAAAACAAATCGGACTCCCGCTACGTGGTCGTCCGATTTTGTTAATCACTTGTATGATTAACTAAACAATCACTCAAAGTAATAGCAGTGATCATCAGTTAAATTCTCCACACAGAATTAGCATGCAAGACAAGTTTCTGAACTTGCTTTATCTTATGAAATCCGTGAACACACAAAGCAGTTTTCACTTCTTCTTGTGGAAGGATAATGTAATAAATAGAGTTACCTACTGATAAGCATTTGATCTACCAACAGTCACCTTACTCACTAGGCTAATATTACTTCAATTTACACTTCAATAACACAACGACATAACATTCTGCTTACAAGATTTTTAAGTGCTACACCAGCAAGAAGTTACATATTGACGAGGATAATAATTTATACTGCTGATGACACTGTTTAGTTGCTACCACGGCCGAATATGGCAAGAAGTAAAAGGAAGATGCGAATGATATCCATGTAGAGTATAAGAGAGGCAAAGATGTACTCCTCCGGACTCAGCTCATACTTTCGTCCTCCCATGACAAGCTGGACATCATAAGCCAGGAACTATAAAAGTGACAGGGACAAACAAGGCAGTCATGATCTAGTTTCTGAATGCTTTCCTAAGCCATTTGTCTATGGAAGTTTTGCCAAAGAACATTTAAAGCTTTTAAAACTATTTTTTGTGTTAACCATTTAGGTAAAAAGAACCAATGAAAACTAATCAAAATTTTGAAATTTTCAATATTAACTTGAAAACTAGCTTACATATACTTCCCTTCCTGGTGAAAAAATAAAGCAAAAGTTTAAATTTTGGATGAGAGGAAGGAATAGAAAGAGTTTGACTATCTATTTTTTACCCTTTCAGTTAAGGCTTTTGATAAAAGTCCTTCCTTTGCAAAATGGTGTCATGAAAAGACTGAAGCAATTGACAGTTTTCAAAAAGGAAGTGCCAGAGGGTGGAAATACAAAACTTTTTTAAATGCATTATTAACCTGTCAATGTTATAAACTTTTTTAGTACTTTCTTTCGCCCATTTGACAGATTCATGCATCTTCTCATTACATAATCCATAACCAGAAAATATTTGACAATGCAAGATGTGATAAGATTTGCCCCAAAATGTAAAAAATAAAACTGCATTTCAAACCAAAAAAATTAGTGTGAACGGTAATGAAAATAATATAATAATGCGGTACAAGTGTCAAAGTCAAAGACAAAAAAAGAAACATGAACGAAAAGTGAACTTCATTGTTTTTACTTACTGCAACAAAAACCAAGGCAAGTAAACCTCCAATGATAATCTTTCCAGCCTGTCATGATAAAAATGTAGAGTAAGTTTTCAGGAAGTGTTGTTACACAGTGCAGTATAAGCATTGATTATTATGCGGGATGACGTAGTCAGCCAGCGTCTTAAATTCCGGAGCACATTCCTTTCGTCTTCTTGGGAGTCAAAAATTGCCTTGTTACTTCTATTTTCTAAACAAAAGCCGAAATAGAGGTAACGATTTCAACTTTGTATCTTTGAGAAACCCCACACGCACTGGCTGCAGTTATAAGGCACCACGAAGGGTCAAACAAAGCCTGACCACACCCAGACTGGTGTGACAAAAATCAGTTTTCTCCTAACACTATCAATACATGATCAATAGAAAAGCTTACGAGAATTTCAAAAATGATCACCTCAGGGAAAATGCTTTGATCTTTAAACAAATTCTCTCGACTAATTTTTTAATGAAATGCATAGAGAACAGCCTTGAGAAATTGTAGGTGGATATTGGGGGTTATGGGTTGTAGTCTAATTTTCTGCTGTGCATCCCCATCAATCTTATACAAGAGTCCACCCCCCGGATTTTAATCCCGGGAGTGTCACTTTCTTGTACAGTAAACTGAAAAGAAATGATGGCCTACCGTTGTGTTGAGAGCCAACCAGAGTGGTGTGAAGATGCTGAGGAAAAAGATTGCCAGGGCTGCGCAGAACAACACTCCTCCCCATGTCGTAAAATCATACTGTAAAGTTGACATTTAGATAAGAGACAGTGAGATTAGAGATAATGCAGCTTAAAAGTAAACAGAGGCAATTGCTGTTTACCATTTACAAAAATTCAAGAGTATTCACTTGGAACCCAACAGAATACAACATTTTGTTTGTTTTAGTGGAAAATTTCCGGGAACACTGGAACATCTGAGAAGGTAGTCCTGTTTTTCCAGATGGAATGTTTCATATGAAAATTTGTGCCGCAATTTCTTCTAGCCATCTTTGATACTAGTTTCATGCCTTTGCAGCCATTTTTCGGTAACTGGAACTGATTTTTCAAATAGTAAATGGGATTCTGGTTTTACCTTCAGTCACTCCTGAGGTAAGATTTTCAGATGTGAATGAAAAAAATTAACATCACATAAAGTTTTGGATGGAAGAAATAAAAGTTACCTTGGTCTGACAGGCAAAGATCATCACAGATGCACACACAAGCTGAAAAAAATTACAACGGAGATAGTGAATAGTCTGAACACAAACTTGAACTAAAATTGTGGAATGAATTTTTTAAACAACAGCAGAATCTTGATCATTTTTCTATTTAAGTTAATTACTTGATGAATTGCAATTGTGAGATGATTATAATGCTATATTTTATCTTTTAAATAATTTAGTAGATTCTATAGTGTCTGTATTCTTTGGTTTTTACCTTGTATTTTTTATAGCTTAGTATACTCATTTATTCTTGGTTATTTCAGGCAAAGATTTATTATTTAGATGCACACATTAGCTGAAAAAAAAAAATTGCAACAGAGATAGTGAATAGTCTGAACACAAACTTGAACTAAAATTTTCAACCACATTACTATAATTCATGAAGGAAAACAAAGGGAATCACTTCTGTAGTGGTGGTTTGGATATAGAATCTTAATTACCATCAATTTCTGCAAACTTTAGCTTTGATTTTCTTCAAGAGTTCTTTTTCATAAGACAAGGAAAAGGGGTACATAAGTCCCTAGTCTGAATTTTAAAACCCATTGTTACCCATATCATCGGATAGGAAGCCATACCCCTGTTTTTAGTTTACTACACTTGGTGTCGCTGTCACATTTTCAACTATTGTGTCAAAGTCACATTGCTTGTTGGAATTTTACCCTAACAAGGCCTCTAACACTAGACATTAGCAGTTTTAGTAATAAATAAGGTCTGGCGTTAGGCACAATACAACTGCTGTGCCCCCTGGTACTTACTGTGGTAACACCCATCATGATCAAGACTATGTTTGTCGAATGAAAGCTGAAACAGAAGAAGTAGACGGATATTGTTGATGTTTGTGGTACAAAAGTTAAACCTTGAGTGACAGTGTTACATGGATGTCTGGTAGGAAGGAGTAAACAGGTAGCTGCTTCTGCATTTTAAGCCTCTGGACAAAAATATCCTACTGTATGACTATTCAAACAAAACCAATTTATTATTGGCAATACTTCATGATACCTAAACTTTTTGATGACCCATAAAATTTAACATTTCCTAGCTTGAAAAAACAGCCGACATTTGGCGATGCTACCACTGGTTTTCGCACCAAATGACGTCTGAGAAATGAGCACAGAAATTCCATACTGATGACGCATCACAACCCAGATCTGGATAGTACTTCTGATTGGTTAAATCAAATTCCCATGTGGCACGACCAATCAGAAACACTACCCAGATCTGGGTACTGATGCGTCATCAGTATGGAATTTCTGCACTTGTTTCTCAGACGTCACTTGGCGGGGAACCAGTGACAGCATCGCAAAATGTTGGCTGTTTTCTCAGGCTAAACATCTCCCTGACATTCGAAAAAAGAACCCTTCATGATGAGTGAGAGAGGAAAAACTCAAAGATTCTTCCACGGAACAACTCCTGACCACCTTAAAGTCAACCATGCCAGGGTTCTATCTAGGATTTATTGTTTGGGGGAGAAGTACCAAGTGGCAAAGGCCACGAACTTCGTAGCGGGATCCGGGGGCATGCCCCCCGGGAAATTGTTTAAATGAATATGCCCTGTGATGCAATCTAGTGCATTTTGAGACACAATTTTGAGAAATGTTACAGTGGTATTTTATTTTATTTTTTTAGTTCCTTGTCATATAGTGTCCTTAGACAGGGAATACTTACTTCATGTGTACTGACCTCGTCACATCTGGATGATTTTTCCAATATAGTTACTTATATACTGTAATGATAACAATATATTTGGGGGAAAAGCTGGGCATTTTGGGGGAAGATTCTACCCCTCAAATACCCTAGATAGACCCCTCCATGCAAGACAAGGAAAACAGTAACAAATATTGGCACAGACATGGGAATGAGCAAACCTTTACGGGCATCTCAAAATGTCTAACACCTACCTTGAAATCACTCCCACAAGGTATGACAAAGAAATAGTCTAGTTAAAAATAAAAAAATGCCAGTTAACTAAAGAGCACGGAATCATTATATGCACTAAAAGAATCCTGTGATGTTTTGCATCCATAACAACTTGCTCTACCATAGCCTAGATAGTTTCATAGCAAGTCCTCTGTTTTATAAATGGTAAAAAGCATGGCAGGAATACATGTAGGAGTCAGGAAGGGGGAATCATTTAATTTTCCAGGAAACTGATCAATTGGTTGAAGGTTTGAGTCTAGACTGAGGAAACCAAATAAAATTTGCCAATCTAAAATTTATAAGAAAGCGTCTACCTCAGTAACTTCCGAAAAATTGTTAGGATAGGGAGAATTTTGGGGAGTTTAGTCTAGTCTAGGGTAACATACTTCAGCCAAACTTTAGGGAGTTTAGTCTAGTCTAGGGTAACAAAATTCAGCCACACTAGGTCTGGTAAAGGCTAAGGGTTCTGGGGTCCCAGCAGCACATCCCTACACAAACATTATTTTCTAAAGTACCTCCCCTTGGGTGTACACAAGGTCATGTGCTGTAGGTTCTAGTGTTAGCAGTTATCAGTTTTCATACTTACAAATAAAGTAAGCATGATAACATTGGCAGGATAGCTCCTCCTGAAAAAAAGAATTTAACAATAAATAAATATCGTAATATAAATTATTTTCGTAGATGTAATGATTAGTTTAGGGAGTACGTGTATCCTATAGCATGTTTACAATGATTTGTGGTGGCTGGCTGCCCGAGACATCCAGCAACTTTCACCATCTGCGGCCTGCTTCAGAGTCACAATAGCTGAAAATTCAGGCATGAAGATGCATGCATGTACCATGTCTGTAAATGACCATTCTACATGTAGCTTAAGGTAAATAGACCAATAATATTTCAGTACGTTAAAAATCTTTCTTGGCTCTGTGGCTTGGGGGAAAACAAAGAAAAATTCATCTCTTTGCCTCAAAGCCAAATCATATATCAAAATTGGATTTATTCAGACATGCAAACACAAAAACAATATTGTTGGTGAAGGTTTTACAAAGGTTCTTAATACTATTATTATTGTTATTATTATTTCAAAAGTAGGTTGAGTTTGATCATCCGGGTAAATATAGTCCTGAATAGGACTGTTCTTGTTGACTGCAGAGACTGATGTTTAGACAACCTGTGCAGTAGTCATCTTGAGAGTCAAAGTGAGTTGTATCACGTCAGTTGATGGTATTATAATTATCATCACTATCCTTGTTATGTAATAGCAAAACGGGGCTCACTAAACAAAACTCATTTTGAATTAGAGGCACTTAAAGCTAACTATTAAAAATCAAGAGTGTTTTCAACTGGCTGTACTTTCAGTTGCTATGGTAACTTAGGTAACAATTTATGTCAAACCTTTGCAGTCAACCTTATCCACAAGTAATGTGAATCACGAAGAATTAAACACATGCAGCAAGCAAGTTTAGATAATACAATAATACTGATCTTACCTTACTCCTTCACAACAGACCAGCACAATATACAGCACAATAAAAACAACACTGAAAAATAAACACATTTCAAATGGTGAGAACATAATGCCATTGTAAATTCTTGATTTTTTTTTGCAGAAAAGCTTTTGCAGCTGTATCTATGAACAGCTAAAGACATGATGGGGGCAGGGGACTGACTGCGCTGCTTCTCGTTACCCTAACTCAACCCACCTCACAGAATGCAACAATGTTACATGTATGATTCACATGCTTAATAAGGAATTTCACCAATTTTTCTTACAGCACTTCTGTAATGTGAACTCCCGCAAAAAACTTCACTGGCCCAATCCCAAAATCCACAAGCCCTGGACTATCAGAAACTACTTTCTCTGCACGCTGCACCAACAATAGCCTGCCTTGCAGATGTAAATAAACTTTGCCTAGTAACATCTGCGAAGTACATGTAGCGCCAATATCCTTGTTCTCTCCCCCCAACTGACTCAATGAATTGCCGGAAGTATGTTTTGAATTTCCATTCATCCTGATTGGCAAATGGACAATTGAGACATGGCTTTTTCAACAGGCCAATCATATCACACGGCAAGTACTCAAATCTTGGTAAACAGCTGGGGGCCCAGAAGTAGGATTTTGTCACTGTTTTGCAGATGGACTTAACCAGAGTTTAAGTTTCGTCCGTGGCACTGGCTACAACAACACCAACATGATAATCACCATCATTATAAAAAGCATCATATCAAGAACATTTTTCTCATCAACATTGTGTCAATGGGGCCAGAGCTAAAATGAAAATGCATACGCACAGGACAAAAACAGACAAATAGATTGTTAGACTTACTAGGCTGAAATATACATTCCCCAGTTATCCTGGACAAAATCTTTGACTCCTTCACTGCGTAACGGTAAAGAAAATGTGGAATTTTAAGGCGTTAAACTCTAAAATTCGTTAGAGAAAAATAATATTTGTTCACAGTATAAGATATTATTCACAACAAATAAATACCTCAGGTAAGCAACAAATTATCTGACAAACACAATATTGATCAAATTGAGTGTTTTAACAAATAATTATTTTAACATTTCAACATTCTAACTACAATCATGGACTAAAGTCTTTGCATTGGGACTGTAAAGCAGTATTCATAATTTTCATTAATTTATGGGTTCCCTTATAAAACAATGCATCTTTTTCAAAATTTTCTTGCAGTTCTCCCTTCCCCCACCCAACACAAATTTGAAACTCGGAAAGAATTCTGACTACACATATCCAACATGTGGGGTGAGGTGATGGGTTGAGCATGTGTGAATTGGAAAATGCCAAAGAAATGCAAAAGTGTCCCAAGACTTTTGTCCATGATTGAAAGCCTGCTTCTTTTTATAACTGATGCTCCAATATTCCAAGAGAGCTTCTTTATCATGCAACCATTGCTCACATCTACACGTACAAATACGGGGTAGCCAGTTTTTTGGAACTTGTTGTGCAAGTGGCATGTGACGCGTAATGCTTTCTGCCACATTCTTGCATTACAGAGATTGCCTAAAAAAATCTGTTGCAACACTGCTGCTATCATCATCAGAAGTACAGAACTTAATTTAGGGTGTTTCTTGGCATTGGAAACTATTGTAGATTAGCTATTGTGTTGTGGTGTGGGTTCCTCCACACATGTTCAGTTTCTTTCCAATCTTTTGTGACACTATTTTGGTGATTGTATTCATCTGCAACACCAAGAAACTAACTTTATCAACTGTTTTTCTTTTTTTGTGCAGACATATTATTTTATTTCAGAGGACACAATACAAAATTTACTTGCAACTTGTGTCTTATTAGCACAACATAACACTGTGACACAAGTTCCAAGAAAAATGGCCCAGTGTAACTGGTCTTAACTGCACAAGGACTACCACAAACTCATATGCAAAAATACATGATTATGTGCAATTCTTACTGAAATACAAAGAGGCAGATGGCTCCAACAGTGGTCAAAAGTTGCAACATGAGGACAGCAAACACCTATATATTCACATGAAAAAGAAGAAAAATACTAAAATACACTCAAATCAATTATTTATTTTATATGCACAACAACCCATGAGGATGACCTTATTTAGCACTTCACTAACATTTCACACTTTTCCTGCCCTTGAAAATAGTTAGCCTTTCACTAACTTTTTCTTGAATGTAGCAAACTACAAAATCTCCCAACCAACACTTTTTTACCTCATTTTTTACTGTTTTCCTTATAACTTTGTAAGGTATAAAAACTTAAGTGCATAAGAATAGGAAATGGCCCTTCACATGGGAGTCAACCAAAGTTTGAAGGGCACTTCTCAGTTGCCCGGCTAAGCCTCTGTTTGAAAGGGAGGCTAAGAGCAAAGCCACTGATAAGAAAGTCATTACTTTTTCTTACTCTCATGCAAATAAAACTCATTTAGACAAGAATGGTTTGCACTTAGCCTCGTTTTGAAAGTGAGAGTTTTTGGAACTTGGAAATGGCCTTATTTCTTTCACCCTTGCATTTTTGGTTTTCTCCCACAAAAGGTATTGAAAGTGTTAGGCATGCAGTGAAGGATCTTAGATCACCGTTGGTGTCCTCAATAAACACAGGTGCTGTGTCTCGAAATTTATCAAAATTCAAACAGGGAAACTGCCTTCAAATTGAGTGAAACATAAAAACAACCTCTCAAAATATTAGAAGAAGGTAAAAATGGGTTATTCCAAAAAATGACCTCTCAAAACATTAGAAGAACCCCCTCCCGTAAAAAAATAAAAGGCTTAAATTTAATTTATTTTTAATGGAAAATACCCAAAAGGTTTTTGTTTTGATTTCTAAGCGGATTAAACCTTGAAAACCGAAAGGATGAAAAACAAAAATGCGAACGATTGAAACCGGCTCTGGGGTACGAGTAGAAATTGTGGTTTTTTCGTGAAAAACGTTATCGTTAGTTCCTTCAGGTTTTAGTAGTTTTAAAAGGATCTCAACTTCAATGGTTGAGAAATAACAAAACATTTTGTTAAAGGGTTGATATGATGCTTGGGAGAAAATGAAAAATAGAATATTTAATATTCCTTTGACATAAAGATGTGGTTTTTTTTTCTTCCCAATAACACAGGAAATGATTTTTCCAGTTCCATTGTTAGTTTTAGAACAATGGTTGTAACATTTGTTAAAGTTTGATATGTTGGGATTTCTTTGACATTGTCCATTTGAAGTTCCATGGTGAACAAGGACGCATAGTTGGCATTGCTGTGACATTGTCCCTTTAAAGGCACCAAATGTTAAGCGAAGGTCTGTTATTTTACTGAATCAATGAAAGGATGGTTATAATACCACACAATTCAAGAACATACTTACCCGCCTTATAAATCCTGTGACCCAGGTGAATGAAGAAAGACAAAAGAAAAGAATAATAGTCATAATTAGATCAGTTACAATGTAACTCAGTAAACTGTCACACCAGACTTATTTCTTCACAAACAACTAAATATATCAATCCTGGCAAAACACGCATTTTACAGGGAGATGCTAACTCATTAACTCATGGTCATGGTTGTTCAAATGTTGGACATTACTACGTAGCGAGTGATTTTACTTAACCCGAGTAATAGATAGTAGACTAATAACCAATATTACACTCTAATTTCATTACTTTCTTTTGTTTACTCTTTACTATGTAGCGCTTATTGTTACATTTTGTTTCATGGATTTAGTAAAATCACTCTATCAACAGATAAAGGGGCAGCAGAACTAAAAGGCACAGTAGCTCAGCTACTTTGATAGAGCTGGAGCAAATGGCAGAAGATTTTTTAGACGACAGCTGCTAGTTGAAGAATATATGCTAGAACAAACTTCCTGTTATAACCAGAAACTGTTGAAGAATGAGCAAATGTTATAAAGACGGAAACTTCACATAGATCAAGGTTAGCATTTTTTGTTAAGGTGGGAAATAATATGAATGAATAGTAGAACAATATGGGTTTTGTTTAATGATATGAAGAATTACACAGATCGAGGAGGCTGCTGATCTCATGGGAACTCCCCCTCTAGTTGATCTGCATAATTCTTGATATTATCACTAACTGTCATCCAATAATAACAAATTATTATAATGACCCAGAAAAACAAAGGAAAAATATCCGGCTGGAAAATATGGTAATATTCAGCTGATTTCTAACGTTATAAAAGGTCGGCTTACTGCATTACCGAATTCAAGTTCATTTTTATTTTATCTCACGCCTTAACATACATATTTAAGTTTCATAGACTTTATCCTTGACAGGAGGACTACATAAAAAGCTTATTCTGCATGCAAACCAATTAAATACACAACCGTATGAGAACGAAATAGTCAGAAAAAGAAACCATAAGATCTAAAAAATTCAATAACTTGTAAATCCGATCGATCAAGACAACCTGCATGAAAACAACCTACCAAGCCTGATAGTTTTGTTGTCGAAGCTAATGATCCGATCATGGAACGCTGCTCCTTGGTATTCGACATCAGAACTTGTGGTGTAGCTAGGAGGTGTAGGTTGCGATTGATAATGCGGTCCATAAGAATAATTTGGACCGTATGGACTCGGCACCGCTCCTGCAGGCTTCCCCACAGCAGCATCGTACGCCGGCGGTGGAGGAAAGGCAGGATTTAACGCTGGTACCGTTTCAACAGGCGGTGGATAAGCGTTTTGATTCGACGGAGGAGGATAGCCGCCGAACTGCGATGGTGGATACTGTGCCATCGGTTGCTGCGTTGGGTACGGCTGTTCTTTACCTGTTGGATAAGCTGGATTTGTCGTCATGGCGTCTTTGTTAAATCTGAAAAATATAACGTTTACTAGTTATGAGGAAGAGGACAGACCCGTTGTTCATGGAGTCTTCCAGGTGTTGTGCTCTTTTTAGTTCGTGACGTAAGTCACGTGGTTCCACAGATGACGTCACTTTAAGAATTTTGATTTGCATCGTCAGGAGCAGATTACTGATCGGCTCCTGGCATCGTCATGTATCACGAAATTTCACTTCCTTTGCTTGGACCTTACAGAAAAACTTGCGTCCTTGTTCTAATCTACCTAGTTCCCGTATCTGTTCACGGATCAGGCGGATTCGTATCTTTAGATAACAATCTTAAGCCTAGTCATAATATTTATTCATTTGGACAATCATTTTTTGTATGAAACTTTTTCAATGATTTTGAAACAAAGCTCCAATAAGGATGAAAAAAACACAGACCGCCTATAAAGACTTGATGGCCCGTATATAGCTCTGCCTCTATCAACGCTCCTTATTGCCATAAGACAGATCAAGATTATGGCTCTTGGACAGATATGATTGCAAAGGAGTATAAAGAAAAGAAATTAAGTGAATAAAAAAATAAACAAAAAATCTGTTGGCATTGATAGCAACAAAAAGAGGCAAAAATTTTATTTAACAGAGTCAGGAGCGCACCCATTGGCCATAAAATTCAGAAAGAGGATGCGGGGCACCTGCAAGCTACAAAATTACCATGTCTTTTAATGAGAATTCTTAAAAATCAATTCTAAACTCTCACAGAAAAAGGAGAAACGCCCCTAAATCCGCCCTAAATACTATAGTACTAAAATTAGCAGTACGTTATAGGTTAGAACCGTTGAAAAACGTCACTTTTTAGAGTTCAAGTTAAACTGAGAGAAACTTAAGCGGCAAGGCTTAGCGTGTGAGAAGATCCTAATATTTGATCTTTTATACCACTACGTGAGAAATTTCTGCAATTTGATTGGCGTGGAGCGAAGGTATTTCAGCTTATTTGAAACACCTACATATGAAAATTACAAACCTTTGGCGGGTAGTAGTATAAACAAATAATAGCATGATCTGTACGTGATATTTGGCATAAATACCACTCGTGATATTTCAAAATTGTCTCAAATTTCACTTGCCTATTGAACGGCTCGTGAAATTACGTGTAACAATTTTGAAATATCACTCATAGTATTCTCGGCTTGCACTGTCACGCAATGAAATATAAAAATGCAAGCCATTGAATACAGAAGGACTAGAATCTGGGAAATGAAAAAAGATAAATATACAAAAACCCTTTCCAAGAATCAGGTCTGTGAAATATTTCAAATGCGAGAGATTGGGAAAAACGGTTTACCTAAATTTATAAAGCTTTGTCTGGCTTTGTATGGAAACGCCATGTTGGTGTCCATTTCAGGAACACCAATATGGCCGACGGATACCAACAGAAACATCTGTTTTTGAGTATTCCTACTAATGCGTGAATTCTTCGCTTGAGGAACTCATAAAGATTACAGTAATATTTATTCTGAGACAAGGAATGTTTAGATTGCAAAATCTCCCAAAATCGGTAATGTTTTTAACCCACATAAGAGCTTTCCCGGCCGCCAGCTAAATGCCGCGTCACGCAAAAGCCTGGAAATTCATGCGTCCTCTCTCGCAAAACGAAGAACCCTTTCGAACCAAAAATTTGTTTATGTAACGGTGTTTAGGTACTGTAATACCTCGTGAAAGTAGAAAGTCAGAAGAATCGATAGTTTCTTAGTTTGATTTTTGGTGACGTCACGTGCAACCCAAGAATGCCAAATATCAATACAAATCAGACTACAATGCTATTACCTGTACTAATAAACTAGAATATTTTGAACCCCCACCCACACTATAAACATCCTTTTAAAAACTCGCTTCACTTTTGAGGGCGGAGCTTCGTTTTGAAGTGAAAGGGCGTTTAGTTTGAGACAGATCCGGCTTACACTCGTTTAAAAGCTGGACCTTGGTCCCTTTCCATAGTTGCGCTCAAATTTTTGAACAGAATTCACCCACTTTCACAGCATAATTTTCACTTTCGATATAGTGGGGTAAGGGACAGTCTAGCCTGTTCCAGGCTCCGAGATAGTGGTGAAAAGTCGTTCAGAAAAACGCGCGGGGTCTGGGGAGAGACAGGGCGGCGGAGCCTGTACGCATTTTTTTTAACGACCTGTTCCGGTATATCATCTCCTGATATACCCTCTGATTGGTCAATTGTGACAGTTAACATCATCACCTACTAGTGTGGTCATCCGTTTGTCATCACCAAGATGGCCAACGCGAATCGCGCGTGTAATCGTGATGAATCCGCGGTGTCTTGCGTTTTGGATGAGTGCCTGCGACATTTTCCTAACATAAGAGAACTCATTTTTCCCGCCGACACCGCCCCCTTTCCCAAGTCGCGCGCGTGTTATTTTCGCTTTGCTCGTTTAATACGTCCCCACTATACTATCTGAGAGCCTGGCACAGGCTAGGGACAGTCCAGGTAAGGTGGTATAAGAGTGTGACGTATCCACTGCTTAGACACAATAGGGAGCTTTAGCATCAACGACGGCGACAGCAGGGAAAACGTCACTTGTAAAATGGATTCGCGTTTCTTCAAACTTTGTCGCGTTTCTATTTCAATTAGCTGAAAATGCCAAATGTAGGCAAATTTCAATGGAGTTGATTTCTTGTGGACCGTACTCAAGTATAGAGAGAGAAGCGAAGAAAAATTGTCCATGAAATTAGGTATTTTCACGTGGTAGTTGTGCATTGTCAGGAACGAAATGTACAAAAATGTGTGATGCAAGTGCAGAGTTGTTGTTTCAGCTAATTAAACATATAGTGTTGTTGTTGTTTTTTTGCCACTCTCGTCACCATCGCCGTTGCCGTTGCTAAAGCTCCCTTATGGGATGCCTTGAATGAAAACATTTATTTTTTGTTTGTTATATTAGTTTCGATACATAATATAAACTTTATCTGAAATCAGTGTAACATAAAACGTTGTCAGTGTTTCTAAGATTGTATTAAGCTATCTACCCGTCACTTCTCACTCTGGTTTGCAATTTTGTGATAATTACAATATTTCTCATCAAGTGCAATACTTTTAATGCATCGTTTTAAGAATTTGTTTCTTCCAAGACATTGAACAAGACCCGAAGTCTCACTGTCGTAGAACTGGTGAATTTTACAGAAGCTGCTTTGGCCAAGTATCTTTGACTTGCATCGGCTTTGAAACCGATTTAATGCTTGACAAGTTGGCAAATCCTTTTCACTCCCAGCACGATATTTTCTCCGAATCTCTCGTTGTTGTTGGCTGTTTCTTCGCTTATCTTTAATTTTCTTTTGCTTTTCACGGCGTCGTTTGAGGACCTCTTGCAATTTCTTGCCCCTTTTTACACCATGACGTCCTTGAATAAGCTCCTTTGAGGATTTTGTACGCTTTTTCTTCATGTTACATTGCTCTTTCTTTGGAAATCTCTTGGAAGAAGTGACAGCTATGCTGCTTTTTCGATGCTTTGAGTAGTATTTTCATTACTTTGTCTTCCCAAAATAGCCAGGCGTTACATCTGAAGAAGAGAGGAGACTAGGTATGAATTTTAATTTTCGTTCCCAGAGCCCGCGTATTTTTTAAAAAGTACAAACATGGCGGCTGCAAAGCAAGTGTTCTGTGATGTTTGTGAAGTAAGCTTACCCTCAGGTAAGATAGACTGAGAAGTTCAAAGAAGCTGAGTAGACGTTTAAAGTTACATTGCGTGGCGTAATCTCAAAAGTCACCGTATTTCTGAGAATACATATCTGTATCTTGAAACCTGATATACCATAAGCAAGGGCTGAGAAACGTAATTCGTACGTAAGAACTGTCAGCCTTATTAGTATACCATTCCCTTCATTTCCCACTCTTCTTAATTTCAGCTGTAAAGAATCTTAACTTGTGAAGTGACTATACATGACACCGGTTATTGTCCATTTGGCAAAACTACAGAATACAAAGGAGAAGTCTAGAATTTCAGAATTGAATAAGACTAATTCCGATCCTAGTTGCAGCTCTTGTCACCCGCAATAATTATTGTGAGGTAAATCTCAGCTGATAATGGTTTGTTCTCAGACCTCACTTATCTGGGGAAAACTTGTCCCTGGGGGAAGAATCACTCACCTATCTGAGCTACCCCCAGGCAAGCCAACGTTTCCAACATTTCCTTATAAAACTTGGCAAACCATGAGAAACGTGAGAAGCAAAAAGTTGGCTGGGCTAGAAGGGGGACCTGCCTAGCTTGGTTTTCCTTTTTAATGTTAGGGTCATCCTCCTAGCTGGGCCAACTTTTCTCCATATAAACACTTTGGCTTTTTCATTAAGGCCAACTTGGACATAGCTGCTTGGAAGTAATGGGCGCCCCAAAAAAATGGGGCACACAAGGTAGACACATAAGGGGAGAGGTCGGAAAATTCCTATTGGTTAAGAGGCTCCCGAGGGGATGAGTGTTTGCATTAGGCAAGAAAACTGTGAATCACTCCCTCTCCTCCCGTATGTCTCCCTCATGCACTCCATTCTTTTTTTGCACCCATTTCTTCCAAGTGCCTGCTACACGGGCTAACTCAGACTAGGCAAGACAATCAGAACATGTATGAGTGCTGTTTTAGTTAATCAGAGTATGGGCAAGCACTGTTGGCTCGTGCATAGGGGTTACCATGTTTCTCATATAAACGCACGCTAAAGTTGACTTGGCTGGCAGTGTGCCCCCTTTTCGGGGACAACTTGTCTCCATATAAACAGACCCTCAGACGCATTCTTTTTAATTGCAGCATCATTGCTTCCAACCCATATTAAAGGGAAGAAGCATCAAAGATTGTTAAACTTGAGACAAGAGCGAGAAAAGTCATGTAAGAAAAGCATTTATGTTCGTGGTTTTCAAAATTCAGGCTCAATCGAAGAGGAGTTGACTGACTATTTCAGTGCGTATGGAAAAGTCTCAAACATTTTTGTGGACAAAGACAAGGTAGATTTTTCCTTGCATTTTAGTGGATCAATTTAATCAATAAACTCAGATTTACCGGTATAATATTCCTCCCCACTTTTCAGATTTTGAAATGTTCATACGACATTTTTATTCTTTTTTTATTGTATTGTGTGTAATTTTCTAAATGTTTTATTTTTTATTCATGGAAACATACACACATTACATTATTTGTTAGCCTTATCCCTTTTTAGTCCCTCTTCTCTCGTAACTCTCCTCATAAAGGGACACAGCCAGCTGATGTACATGCGCAATAGATACCATTTCGTAGCTGATTTGCATGTCACAAGACGCACACGAAAGAAAAGCGTATCTGAAATACTCTAAACAAACTTTGTAGAGTTGAACTAGTTACAAGTCGAAATCATGATGTAGGCTCTAAGCCATATCAGAGCACTCATTTTTTTATATACCATTGAGAATTGTCCGATGGGTTTTTCCAGGGAAAGCCAAACATCGATCAATACTTCCGACCTCGAACATCAGTAGAGGTGAGAAATTGCATGCAGTCTGAATCATCGTCGAAGGTTCATGGTTGAGAAAGCTCGATTTTCCAAATTATATAATTATGCAATCTTTTCCATCGATTTCCCAAATATGTATGACGATTATTTGCACACCAATGTCACTGATTCATTTCTCTTGTTATTTTGGTAAAGGAAGACAATTTCTCCCGCGTGGCACCTATGCGTTTCTCACCTCTTCTGTTCATGTTACTTTGAATACTGTTTTTAACCAAATATGATAAAGTAATGTAATAGGATGAGTGAAGTTTGCTCAAAAAAAGATTTTCATTAAAAGATCAAGGATCGAATGAAACACTAGGCAGGATTGAAGCAGATTCGTAGATACATCTTTGAAAAGATGTACCTTTTCAAACTGGCAAAAGTAGTGTCCAAGTCAGCGTGGTCCCATAGCTGTCTGTGTCCCTTTAAGTTCAAGTTTGCGGTAAACTCCCCTAGTCTCCTATGCAGCTGCTTTCCTTCTTTGGGGAGGACTTGTGCATAATGAAACAAAACAGGTGCATTGGAGACTAGTCTCTGCCTGAAGTAAATAATTAAGTCCCCCAGGTGTTTACAGCATTATTTGTTTAAGATATATATAATCTCCTTTTTATTGCCAGGGTGTCTTTGCTATAGTAGAGTTTGCTGATGAACAAAGTGTGACCAGTGTACTTCAGCAGGAGTCACTGCCTCTCTTAAATGAAAATCGTTTAACAGTGAAAGAAAGAACAGTAAACAAAGCCAATCTTCAGTACAAGACACAAAAAATGAAGAAAAACAAACCTGATGGCTCACAGCATCATCTGCATAGACTATCACAAAACCAAGAAATAGCAGAATTTGTGCCGGAGGAACTTGTGAATAAAATCAAGACATCTGTTAGCACGGTAGGTGGAAATAAGGTTTTAGCTCCTTAACTCAAAAAGTGCTGAAAGTTAAAATCCTCCAAAACATTCCTTATTTTATTTTGTGAAATGATGAAAAAACAAGTAGTTCTATGTGTTGTTCTATGTGAATAAACTGCTGAAGAGGTTTCATTCGAATGATCATACCAGAGGATTTATCCACCACATACCCAACAGTTTGAATCAGTTTACGAGACGCAGGGCTTTTTCCATTTGTCAGAAATGGCCGGCCAGACCATTCCCATCATTATGAGAATCTTACTTTTAATCAAAACTGTGTGGCCAGGTCAGTCAAATCCTGGACAATATGCATGGGGTTGATAGGATTTTTAGTGAGAACTCTTTAAAACACCTATTTCATTTTCAAAATGACAAGTCTGGCCGGTCAGTTCTGACTTTTGGAAATTACCCTTAGTCATCCACTTTAGCAGTCAAAAAGTTAATTTATTGTTTATTGTAATCACATTCATAGTACTATGCAAATCTCCAGCTACAAAAATGATAGTCCTAGGACTTTGATCTGTCTCACTCCGGTCATCTTGTCTGACTGACAGTGGGTAGGATTTCATTCCACAAATTATAGCTGGTGCAGCAAACCCAAAAGCTAGCAGTGCAACTAAAGCTTATAATTCCCTCCTAAGCCTCTTCTTACTGTGCATTGGTGTTTCCTTACAGGTTCAAGAACAAGTGAACTTATTAATGCAACAATTGTGTCTGAGTAAAGAAGATATTAAGTTGCGAAAACTGGTCTGCCAACTGTTGCAAGAAGTATTTTATGAGGTTTACCCTGAAGCATCAGTCGTGCCATTTGGCTCCACGGTCAGTGGAGTTGGCTGGGAAGGAAGTGACCTGGATGTTTGTTTACTGACACCTTCTCAACAAGATGACGCTGCTATAGACTACTCTTTGGTCATCGATGTGCTGCGTAGTTTTGCCCCAGGTTGCATAAACATTATACCTGTTTTGACTGCGAAGTGTCCACTTATTAAATTCACACATCAGCCGTCAGGCCTGTCTTGTGATCTTTCAGTTAATAACAGGTACGGTTAAGAGAAAGGATGTTACATTTGCATGGAAGGATCAGTTTGCAAATTATTTTAACATGTCAGTCCATGTTTTGTGACCTATCATTTTTGTTCCCTTTCTCGCAGGCTTGGTGTGGCAAACTCAGATCTCCTCCGTTGCTACATGTCGCTTGATCCCAGGGTTCCTCAGCTGGTGTTTATTGTGAGAGCCTGGGCAAGAGCCAAAGGTCTTACCGTTGGTAAACAGTTATCAAACTATGCCTTGACCCTCATGGTGCTGTATTTCCTGCAGATGCGAACTCCCCCTGTGATCCCGTCTCTTCAGCGAGGATTTGACAGTTGGATCAAAGAGCTGTCATGTTTACATAATACGGATGACAATGACCATCACACCCTGGTCGCTAGACAGCTTGAGTCTGATGTCATTGATGGCTGGGAATGTTCTTTTTTCAAAGACACTCACAGACTTTCCATGTCACGGAATGATACAAGTCTGAGTAAGTATGGCTGTTTAGGCAGCTTACCTGTCATTTTGATACCAAGTTGTTTTGATACAAGTCGGCGTCCTATGTAAGGTAATACCGTATTCCGGATTTTGTTGATTTTTGCCTGTGGAATCTAGAATCCTGGGCTTCAGCTCACGGAATCAGCAATTCCACTAATGATTGGTATTCGGCATCAAAGTTCCACCAACAAGTAATCCAAAATCCAGTTCGTGGAATCCATAATCCAAGACCATCTTGGATGGTTATCAATACAAAGTTGTATCGATACAAGTTTATTCATTCAAGGTGTAAATAGTTCCATGTACTAGGCTTAAAGAATGAAGATATTCACCGAAATGTTCTTTTGTGTACTCACAAACTATACTTAAAGTGAACAAAATTTCAAATTGAGTTTGTATCAAAACGACTGGTTTCCCCTTGGATTACCTTACACGTGACGAAAGTCGATTCAGTTGAGGTTTAATAATTTCACGTAGTTGGTTTATAATGAGGAATTTTCACGTCATAAAAGTGATCGAAAATATCCCTGCAGTTTTAACGCCCTTCCTCATTATGGTACCCCCCCCACTTCCTGGTGTTTGGCTTCTTAAAAAGTCGTATCAAAACGATTTAGACAAATCAGAAGCACACGTTGCATATAGTCTACTCTGCAAGCATTCCTAGTGATCACACCTGCAGGGGGGCGAGGGACGGGGGGGTGGGGGTAGGAAACAGAAATCCTTGTTAATTAGATAAGAATTTCATGATCTGAGGAATTTTATTTAATTCACCTACAAGCAAACTTGTTCACAGGAAATTAATTGGCACTTACTGATTGATTCGCTCTCTAAAGCAATACGCTCAATTTATTATAGAACGAGAAATCCAGCATTTCCTTTTGCGTCGCTAATGCAAAGCGCAGCTATTCGTTCATGAACAATTCTAATAGTTTTTCGTTCTTTCTGTGGGCTCTTCTCGCGAAAGTGGGAGCTATGATCAAAGATAGCGTTCATTTTCGGTTTGGCGGGATATTTAGGAGCGACTACCTCTGCGACCGCTTTTTTCGGTTTCTCTTTATTCACGTTATGACAAACGCAAATTTGTGCCACGTGACCAAGTTTTCCCTTTACTCGTCTACTCTTCTTTACTTCTACAAAAAATAATAGGTACATTCACGTTATTTTCATCCATAAGAATTGTTTTAGACTGTTTTTATATTTTCATTTTCTATTTTGATAAATTCTCATCTTGAGTTTGCCGTAAACGTTAATACTCTAAATCTCTCTATCATTCAGATTGGGTTTGACGCAAGATAGCCCCCATTCTAATTCCTCATGACTTATTCTTCGATATTCTAAAGTAAGCGACAGCTTCTACGAGAAGCACTCTTTTTATCGTCACTTCTAACGCGACAAAATCAGAAAAGTCTTTTCGAAATCTACCGATAATTTAATACAGGAAGTCGTAATCAGGGAAAATATCTGTCGAAGTGAGGCATTCTAACGTTTTGTACGTTTGAGCTAAATAACAAAGGGCTTTCGATCAGTTTTTAGCTGTCGAGAAAGAGTGTAACGATTTTTTGGAAACAGTTCTGCATGTGACTAAGCTTTGGCTTGTGTGTTCTGTTATTTTCGTTCTTGGCTTTGTGAGGATTACTAAAGCACTGGAATTTCACAGGGGCACCCAACGAGGATATAGTTCAAAACCACTTAACATAGCATTGTTGAACGTATTTTAGTATTCAAACGGTAGATATAGGCATATTTTTATCCCCTAAAAACTTTTCATCTGTTCGGATTTCCTAGCTGAAAGTCTAATGATCCGAAAATTATAGGGATAAAAACTTACCTTCTCGAAAATTTTAGCCAGGAAAAGGCTCTCGAAAATTCTAGCTGGCCTTTTTTGAGGGTCAAAATCCGTTAAAAATGGGTAATTATACCATTTTGTAGATGTTCGAAAATCCTAAGAGAGGCAGGCAAGCAAGAAATTTTACAACAAATGGTCCGAAAATTCTAGATTTGAAATCGTCTTCCGAACAGATATTTTCCCGAAAATTGCCGTTGGGTGCCCCTGATTTCAAACTTCTTATAAGCGCTATTGGTTATTGCTTTTGTTTATTTGGTGGCTCCTAAAGGAGCCGTTGGTTTTATGAAAAGCCAATGCACTTATGCTCGTTCTCCTCGGATTCGGCGGGCCAGCTGAATGTCCTTGGGCATGATCGTGACACGCTTGGCGTGGATGGCGCACAAGTTGGTGTCTTCAAACAGACCAACAAGGTAAGCCTCGCTAGCCTCTTGAAGAGCCATCACAGCAGAGCTCTGGAAGCGCAGATCGGTCTTGAAATCTTGAGCGATTTCTCGCACAAGACGCTGAAAGGGCAGCTTGCGGATCAACAGCTCAGTGGATTTCTGGTAACGACGGATCTCTCGAAGAGCGACTGTGCCAGGCCTGTAACGATGAGGTTTCTTGACGCCACCAGTAGCGGGCGCGCTCTTACGGGCTGCTTTTGTGGCGAGCTGTTTTCGTGGGGCTTTTCCACCGGTTGATTTACGGGCAGTTTGCTTTGTGCGAGCCATGTTTGAAAACTTGGAGTCAGTTGGAGAGACTGAATTATCGTTGAATAGACTCCCAAAAACTTTATACCTGGCGCGTTTCATTCTGATTGGCTGAAATGTTTGCTCTGTGATTGGAGGAATAAGACTGACTTGATGTACCAACGGCAATTTTCGATCCTAAGTCATTTTTTGTTGGTTTTAGTTCTTTGAAGGGTAGTTTTTGGGAAGAAATATTCTGACGATAATAGGCCCATGTGAAAAAAATTTATGTTTGGAACAATGTTATAAATCGCTGCATTTCTTGTGCCAAAAATGCATCATATTTCTGCAAAGCGGGAGCGCAAATGTCCGTCACGGTAAACTACTTTAGCAAATTATGCGCATATTTCACTTGTCATAATATTTGCCCTCTGTTTAACTTAAATATTGCTTTTGTTATAATTGAGCCAATGGAAAGGCCTCTAAGCTTCCAGCGAGGTCCTCTTTGCTGTCATATAAAGCAGAAACGAAGGTTTTTTAGGCACAATTCGTTAAGAGAGCACTAACATTCAGTCAATATGTCTGGTCGTGGAAAAGGAGGCAAAGGTCTAGGAAAAGGAGGCGCCAAGCGTCATCGAAAGATCCTTCGTGATAACATCCAAGGCATCACCAAGCCAGCTATCCGTCGTCTTGCACGCCGTGGCGGTGTCAAGCGAATCTCTGGTCTCATTTACGAAGAAACCCGTGGCGTTCTTAAAGTTTTCCTCGAGAACGTTATCCGCGATGCTGTGACGTACACCGAGCACGCCAAGAGAAAGACCGTGACAGCCATGGACGTGGTGTACGCTCTCAAACGCCAAGGACGTACTCTGTACGGATTTGGTGGTTAGACTACACTGCCTACACTCATATCACAAACGGCTCCTTTAGGAGCCACCAAATCCTTGAAAGTCATGACCAATAAAGTTTGCTATTCTTTCTCCCTTAAATCTCTTGAAAGCTCGAGAGAGGGCATCGCAGAAATTGGCTAAATTTTTTGAACAAATTATTGTCTACGACTGGTCGAAGATTAGGTTGGCATGGTTAAATCTTTGCACACTTTCCCTCGGCTAAATCCTCCCTGTAACGGCTACTACTGGGGGAAAGGTTTGTCGTATTACCAGTCGTTTCGACACAAGTTTATTCCGTCGAGTTGTCAATAGTTTAACGAACTTGGCTTAAGTAACGAAGAATATTCACCCAAAGTGCTTATCTTTTTCACGCGCAAACTTTCCTTAAAGAGATCGAAATTCTTATGTAATTTCACTGCTCACGTTTGTATCGAAACGAACGGTTACCGGTTTGTTGTTATTCTAAAGGGACACCCAAGTACTTCGCCCTTCAGGAACGATCCTACCCCTTGCATGCGTGTTTTCACTGTAACAAGTTTGTAAGACCTTTGCGTCGATGCTGTGAGCTTTTTATAAAAGTTTTTACTTAAGTGATGAAATTCTTGTAAGCCCCACTTTTTCAAGGGGAAGTTAAACAATGTTGGCGACTTTGCATCGATGCTGTGAGCTTTTTATAAAATTTCATACTTAAGTGATGAAATTCTTGTAAGGCCCACTTCTACAAGGGGAAGTTCAACAATGTTGGCGACTTTGCATCGATGCTGTGAGCTTTTTATAAAATTTTATACTTAAGTGATGGAATTCTTGTAAGGCCTCCTTTTTCAAGGGAAAGTTGATCAGTTTTGGCGATTGTTCTTTTTCTTTTCATTGGAAAAGTTTATGAAAGGTTTTGATTCAAAGACTTCGGTCAAGTGTGGAACTTTCTTAGAAGTTTTACCTTTCTGTAATCAATGTGCAACGAGAGTTCACTCTCCGTACTGAAGGAGCACCCATTTGCGCGCTAAAATGGTACTAAATTTGCATTTGAATAGTCCTTATCTTTTCACGAGCTAATGCTCAAACAAAATTATGTTACGGCCGGAAATGATGCGGCTACCAGTTCTCTTAATTTACACAAAGAGAGAAAAGTTACTTAAAGTTTTTTTAAAATCGTTCAGTTTTCCGTAGAATGTTTCTCCTTGGACATCTGTCAAATGTGGAAATTTCTTAGGTTTCCCACTCAGTAAACAACGTGTAACGAAGGAGCTCTTTTCGTAACGAACTCACATCAATTTGCGCGCTCAGACTTACACTAAATTTGCATTTGAACAGTCCTTATCTTTTCATAAGCTACTTAACGTTGCCTTAAGTTCTGTCCAATTTTCCTTAGAATCTGCATAAACTGGCTTTGCAGACGGTCAGCTATTCTTGAAGTGGCCTTCGTCCATCTTAAAAGGGAAATTTTGTAGTAAAATACGTTTTCAAGATTTTGGCGCTAAAATTTCCTTATGTATACTCCTAAACTAGTCCTTGTAAAGAAACTTTACTTTTGGGTTTAATTTCTGGACTAATGGTAATTGATAACTGAGTATTGGTCATGATTTCATAACATATGGTGGCTCCTAAAAGAGCCGTTTGTGTTTTGAAAGCTTAAGTTTAAGCTTTCTGCTTCTTCTCGGTCTTCTTGGGCAACAGCACAGCCTGGATGTTGGGAAGAACGCCTCCTTGGGCGATGGTGACACCGGCGAGCAGTTTGTTCAACTCCTCGTCATTTCGGACGGCCAGCTGAAGGTGACGGGGGATGATTCTTGTCTTCTTGTTGTCACGGGCAGCGTTACCAGCCAACTCAAGGATCTCAGCGCTTAAATACTCGAGCACGGCGGCCAAGTACACTGGAGCACCTGCGCCAACTCTCTCAGCGTAGTTTCCTTTGCGAAGAAGACGGTGGATACGACCAACAGGAAACTGAAGCCCTGCTCGGGATGATCGGCTCTTGGACTTCGTGCCCTTTGCCTTTCCTTTACCGCGACCAGACATATCGAAATCTAGTAATGTTCAGAGTAGTGTTCTGAGCAGTGTTATAGGGAAATGAATGACGTAGATTTGGCGGTCTACGAGATTTATAGCACCATCCCTTTTCGTGAGGATCGAAACGCACCAATCAAAGTCCTCGTGCGTTTTTGAATTTCAAATAACCTTTGTACAAAAGAAAATGCACAGCAACTTCAACGCGTCTTTTAGAATTGAAAAGAGCAGTGTGTGCCCAGTGGAACATCCAATCAGAAAGCAAGGATTTCGATCCGTATGATAATCGATCATTTCGTTATTTTGGTATAAATACAAGATGGATCGCGTTGGTTGATCATACCCATACAACAAGCATGGCACCCAAAGTTGCAGGAAAGAAAGGCGAGAAGAGAGCCGGAAAGGCTAAGGCTGGAGGAGAAAAGAAGAAGAGGAGAGGAAAGAGAAAGGAAAGCTATGCTATCTACATCTACAAGGTGTTGAAGCAAGTTCACCCTGACACTGGTATCTCCAGCAAAGCCATGGGCATCATGAACTCGTTCGTCAACGACATCTTCGAGCGCATCGCCACCGAAGCTTCCCGCCTTGCCCACTACAACAAGAAATCAACCATCAGCTCCCGCGAGATCCAGACCGCCATCCGGCTGCTTCTGCCCGGTGAACTGGCGAAACACGCCGTCAGTGAAGGAACCAAGGCTGTTACCAAGTACACCAGCAGCAAGTAAACTCTCTGTGAGGGTTTACCGCCAAAAAACAACGGCTCTTTTAGGAGCCACCAAACCTTAAAAATGCAATAACCAACAGACCTTTTTCTTGTCATTGATAAAATCCTAACCAAAAGAAGATACTAAATAGCGGTAAAAAGTAAAAAAAAAATCGTTTTCATTTATGTCTTGCGACTTCTTGTAAGACGAGTATTCCATTTTTCTCGCTGCAGCGTCAGTTCTTCGTAACAAGAATGAACCTCCAGGTTTAAACGTTGAACACAGAACACAACCAGAGCAAACATTTTAGTCACTTTATCTTTGTAAGGGTTCCAGCTAATACTGAAAAAAAATGGTTCGTGCTTTTTGATCTGACACGGCTGAAAATCAAACGTTCCTCTATTCTTTGTAGAGTAGCTACCGATGCGATGTACTGCAGGCGCTTTTGTGCTGTTATAAAAATAAAAGCGCGATAACAAACATGAACCCGCGACACGGCATTTTTGTTCTTCATTATTTTTTTATTGAATATTCTCTTGCTTACGCAGCTTATCGGAATTGTTTTTCCGTTTTTTTTTTTATGTTCACACCGCATACAGCTTCTGTTCACACCAAAAGAACGATAATTTTGGCGCGATTTCTGTAACGGAGCGAAACCGCGTCAATCTCGAAAGTGGAGCCGCCGTTCAACGCGCCTTTTTGTTGGGACGTATAGAAACCAGGCTGTTTAGAAACGTTCCCCGTGACAGGGAGCGAATCGAAGCGGCTGCATTCGTAAGCTAAGGAGCGTCGGTATAGAAGGTCGTTTTTTCGGCGCTTTATTTTTCTATTCTCTTCATAGTTTGTTCGACGGTGGATTTTTGCATTAGTCATGGTTGAGAGCATTTGTCAAACAGTCTAAAGCTAGGGTGTGTGAGGCACGCGCGCGAAGCACACGATAATTCACGCTTATTTACACAGCTTGGTAATAAATTTGCCCTCAGAGAATAAGCGTAGGGTAAACATTTTTTCATGTGTCAATTAAATTTGTTCGTTTATATGTTTTCTTCAGGTCAGTTATTAGAGGAATTCTTTTGCTACTTTTCAACCGAATTCAACTTTTCCGGCTGTGTAGTGAATATAAGGACTGGATGTACCACCAGCACCGCCTTTGTGCTAGAGGAGCTGAAAGGTGCAAAATATTCAGGAAGTGATACAACAGCTTCACTTGGTTTAAACGAAGAAAATGTTGGTCAAAGCGAAGACTTGGTAAGAAATGATTCCTCTGCAGATGAATGTCATCAGAAAATTCAACCAAGTTCAAGCAATGCAAGCTCTGCTATGAAAACAAAATGCGGCAAGCGAGTAGAGTTTAAAATCTCGCCTTTGTGTGTTCAAGATCCGTTTGAGCTGACGCATAATTTGACACAAAACGTGCCTGCTTCTTTGCTGAAACATATCGTGGAACTAATGAAGGACGCGCACAAGATTTGTAGCGAGATAAACAACGAAAAGGGAAAGAAATTCTCGTTGCTTGACTTGTTAACTGTTTGCAAGACTACCAAGAAACGAAGGAGCACAAACTGTCACTCTTTCTTTGTCTCGTTTCACGAAGCAGGCTCTCTGAAGCTTGCTACGTCCAAGAGTGTTTTTCTGTTTATTGTGGAAACTTTAGAAAAAGAATTTGGCTTGAAATGTGTACGAAAGGGAAATTCAGCGAAAAGACAGCGCAGTTGTGAGCAACTGTCAGAAACGCCGTTGTCAAAGAGACAGCGCATTGACTGGCACTGCTCGGTTATGGCACAGGATACCCAAGTGAGTAAAGAATCACAGGACACTGACTCTGTCAATAGGACGTCTGGTTGCGTTGTGAATTCAACGAACATAGATAAGCAAGAAAACGTCAAGAAGACAGAACACACTGATGACAATGGCGAAGTTTTTTCATTAATTTGCACGGCCTTTGAAAATACGTGGACGCATTCTCGTCGAGAAAGGCGCAAGCATAAACTATCGCAGAATCAGATGAAAGAAAGAGAAAAAACTGAGGGAGAAGAAATAAAAATACCCGCTGATGATTCAAAAGTGAAGTCAGAAACAGTTTCTCAAGAAATATGCGAGGCATCATCTTCGTCCACTCACTCGGCGTCAAGACAGTTCGAGGGTTCTAAAAATGTCAACAGCATTGCTTCTCCAATTCTAGTCTTTGAGCTTAGGGTTGACGGATCGCCGCAGAATACTCCAAATGTGGCCGGTTGTACTGTTGTGATGGAACATGTTGAAAGTCAAGACTTTCAGCTTTTTGGGAACTTTTTCTCGGCTTTTAAAAGACATTTTATGGGATTACTACAGAATAAGCAAGTATGGTCTTAATGTCTCAGAGCAGGAGCTATCTTTGGTAGTATTATTAGGTTGCATTGTTAAGGACGTGGTTTTTGTTTGTGCCGCTTTATACCTTTTGTAAGTGATTGGTTTCCAGTTGTTATAAAAGCCGTGGTTTTCCGCCTTCCGTATTTGCGTCTACTTTATTATTACCGATATGTTCCATTGCAAAGACAGATGCAAATAAGGTGCATTATAATCAGTACAAACGAAAATTAGCTGCTCGGGAGCTTACATAAGGATTTGATCAACAGATTCAAAAGTAAGAACCAGCTTATGCAGCATAATTAACAGTACCACAGGAAAGAACTTTCCAGTAGCTTTCATTTGATAAAAAATGTCAAAATGTTAAAAGCAAGTTTGCAAGTTATGCAAATAAAAGAGAAAGAGGAAATGTAGTCACAGAACAATTTTATTAATGATCTTTAAATTACATTTACAATTTTTAAAATGTACTTACACTGAACTTGATATAATAATATTTTGAAGCAATTTATAGTTAATACTTCAAAACATTTGTGGAACAAAAATTCCTACAAATAAACATTTTCTTGAATCTAATTTGTATGAATTGTACAAAGATGTACCTTCCTTGAAAATATTCAAAGCATTTCTTGTCTTGAATGCTCTTTAAAAATTCTAGAAAAATGTCTAGGGTAACGAAACATAGAATTTTGCATTTTGTTAACATAAACTACCTATGTGTTATGGTGCATTTTTTTAAAATCTGCATGTTCAACATGCCTTATTTATTTTCCTGATACAGTGGAATCCCAATTTCTCAAACCTGGGGACAATTATTGATTAAACATTTTACGAGTGTAATTTTCAAGTGCAGCTACTGTTTTAGAGCCTGAAAACAATAGCCACACTTGCAATTTGGAAATGAATTCTATAATCGGGTTTAGGTTGTTGAAAAGGCGATCAATGTAAATTGATTAATTACCATGAAATTAACTCATACATTCTGTTTACAGTTCATGCAGAATTAGTGCTAAAGTAACTACAGTCTGAAAGTTGGAAAAGTGAATGAAAAAGTGCTATGTTTGACTGGTTAAGAGAAAAAAGTGATTCTTTAAAATGGGCAGAAAGCTAAAAAATAGGGGAGTAGAAAAATTGGGATTGCACTATTACTACAAATAGTTTAACTGCTGATAGTAAAATACGGCAGTGTAAATCTCTTAAAGAATTGCCTAGGGTTTCTAAATTTAAAGATATTTTTCCATCAACTAGAAAATCAAACAAAGAGGTGGGGAAAAAAATGGGCTCCAATATGGGGGTCAGAGAAAAGGGGGCCTTTGAAAGATGGACTGGGACAGAGAGAAAATTTTACATGACCTGCTCTTATTTGATGGTTTCTCAGTTTGTCTGATCCTCCTTGATAAGGTCTTTTCCATACACCCCAAAACATGGAGCCCACAGTTCACAGGAGAGAACGCTTTTACACTATATCACTGGTGGAAAAAATGTGATCACTTATGGATATTCACAGGATAAAATTCAGGAAGTGATTGGTTATCATCAAACTACAATACTCTGTCTTAGTGGAATAAATAAAATAATGTGGTACTTGTCCCTTTCACTCCCAAGACTATCACCAAAAATATTCTTAGTTATACTATTGGAAAATGCTAAAAATCATAAGGCATTAAACGTACTGCCAGAGGGGATAAGTTTTGATGGTGAAATCTTAACCCTTTCACTGCCACAGTGAATAATGGAGTTTTGTTAGGTGTTTTTAAATTTTGACTCTGTGGACGAAATCCTATGAAGTGACCATTCAAATGAAACCTCTCTACCTGTAATTTCACATGGTGCTATTTGGCTTTGAAAATTTTACAAAATGAAATTTTTGGTGAATTTTGCTTTTCGTCATATTTGGCAGTGAAAGGGGTTCATTAGGATTTTCTACTCAGAAATCAAAAGCTACAACCACAGTAGATGTCTTTTTCATTGACTCTGGGTGTGAAATGGCCAAGGCCTGGGCCAAATGAGCATGAATGGAGTGAGATTGGATCTACTGTGCCCTAAACAGAACAGTGTGGTGATTGGAGCCAATAAGGGACCTTACAATACATTGTTAAGACTTAAGGTAGGCAATCATGATCTTGCCATGAAGGTATATAAAAAGAGACCACAATTTCTCAGATGTAGTATTAAACGGTGCCAATGTTCTTCACTGTGGCAGAGCCATGTTTCCTCAGGATATGAGGTGGCCTAACCATATTTACGGCTAGCTATGGGTACAGGAAAATAAATTATACCCTATACTCGGAAGCAGTGTACCTGAAAGTCTCTATTAGCTCCAATATTACTGGTATTTAAAAGGCAGAGAGAGCAATTTTCATATGACCTTGAAATGAAAATGCACAAACATAACAGAAACAACAAACAAATGGAAATAGAGCAATTTGATTGGTTTATCGAACAGATTTAAACGTGCATGGCTTTTGGTTGGTCAAGCGAATGCTCGGGTGAAAAAACTTCATGTCCGAGAACTTTCTAGAAATCAACTGATACTTTTCTTTGATGTCATAGTGCAACACGATTGGCCAATCGAACAATGCCTTTCTCAATATTTGGGTTTTCTTTGGCGGGAAAATGAAGAGGCCATGTTTTGATCTTTTCATCCACTGGCTGATAAAACGAATAACAAACACTTACCAAAACCATTTTTCAAGGTCATATGAAAATTGCTCTAACAATATCTACTGGATAGATTTATAAAAACTTAGAAAATAAGCACTTTCCTATTTGGCCTCAAACTCACCGTAGCATTGTCTTTATCACTCTCTCAATCTCTCTCACATGGCCCAATTTAAATAATGATGGAATGATAAATTATGTGATAAATATAAGCTCTTGTGTGGACAACTCTGGGATTGGAATCAGAGAAAACATGTCACCTTTTCCAATACAGCGAGATGTCTTATGGCAGAATAACAACAATTCACTTCAAAGAAATTAAAGCTTTCTTATGTAACTCTGATTTCTAAAATCTGAAGATTAGCTGGCGTCTCAGCACAGCTGGCTAACTGAGACGTTTTTAAATCCAAACTCAAATATATTATTCTCTGAATGACTGGGTTGTTCACACTATCTCCCTTGAACAGGGAAAACAAAGAAATGTCCAAGAATATACTTTACCTATTCCTTACGAACTTTTTTATTTAAATTTTCCAAAATGAAGTAAAGTATTTAAACCTTTCAAAGGTTAAATTCCTGCTGCAGCATGACAGCTGAAGGGGACAGCATGTAAAACGTTCCTTCTTCAGAGTTATGCAAAACTATATCTAGTTTCCACAAAAGTAATGAGCAAAAATATTTTTGCAAAATGTTCCCCTTTTTGGAATTACTGACAGTGCAAAAGGGAACTTTTAGTTACCAATTTTATTGGCTGTATATAAGCAGGGCAACACACACACACACACAACACACCCATTTATGACCAAAAAAGAAAAGTCATAAATGTAATATTTTAACAGCTTGCTGCTGCAACTTGCTCAGAGTGAGTAAGTGGTTCACAGCTGAAGTGAAACTAATCATTTTCCAGCTTAAAATTACTGAGGATAAGTCAGGTAGTTCAAATAGATCAATTTTGATATATTAAAAAATACATACTTGGCATCAGGATTTCATGGGGTTCATCCCTAATTATTGTCAAGCTGATTTCTTGGGTTTTATTCCCTGTCGTTTTGAGGCCAAGTATGAAATTTAATATATTGAAATTATTGGTCTCACTGACTATGGCCTGGTTCGAATACTGCCCCACTCAAGTCCCAAACCTAGGGAATAATTTTGGTAGAGTGGAAGAATAATCATTCAAATTTACTAGCATGCGATGGTAAGTTTAGCAGTTATTGTAGCAATTCAACAAAGAAGATGCATCAAACCTAATTTCAGACAATATTTACCAACTCTTCTCATAGTGAGTCTGTCTGATACATTTTCATTGATATGTTCTTCCATTTGACCCAGGGTGCAAAGAAAGTCAGTTCTACAGCCTGCCATTCAGGCAAGTGGTAGCTAGCATGTACTAGCCCAAAACTCTTTTTGATTACAATCCTTCTGTAATTTGAATTTCCCCAAAAAACAGCACTTGCCCGTCGGGAGGGTTAAGACCAAAAATCACTAGCCCGATAACAAAATCCACTAGTCCCGGGCTATCAGACACGACTTTCTTTGCACGCAGGTTTGACCCAAGTAAGCCATTTGAATTATTGGTAGTTGCTCCTAAGTCAATCAGAAATAAAATTAATCACATGAAGATCACAGAACTTTATGAAAATTAATAAGTTTAGCACAAGAGTGGTGTAGTATTTGAAGTGGGTCTAACACTCTCAACTCCTTACTCACTTGATATTGCAAAATTCAGGTGGCACTAATTTTGACTTTTGATAAACTGTCACCATGGATATACAAGTAATGTTGATAGTGGTTATGGAAGTTATGCTTCTAAGTATGATGAACCCGTGGTAGTACAGAAACCCCAACCCCGCCTTGATGCATACCCATTGAAGCAACAGGAGTCCACTTGTTGGAAAGCACATCAAAACATTCCACGGTGTTGAGGTTTGATAGGCCGTCATATCCACCAATGGCATACAACCTTCCTCCAAGTGTTACCACAGCTACTCTGCTACGTCTAGTATTCATCGGGGTTGTGAAAGTCCACTGTCCGGTCTCTGGATCAAAGCACTCTACAGTGTTAAGAAAAGTACTGCCATCATAGCCCCCACATACGTATATCCGCCCATTAAGGGTGGCCACACCCACCCTGCATCTGCGCACGCCCATTGGAGGACTGGAGGACCATGAGTCTGTTTGTGGGTTATAAACTTCCACTGTGTTGAATATAGATAGGCCATTATGACCGCCGATTGCATAGATCTTTCCATTCAGCTCGGTGACTCCTGCAGCACTACGAAGTGTTCCCATTGGTGTGACAAAACTCCACATGTTACTTTCTGGTGAGTAACATTCAACTGTGCTGAGCGAGATGTGACCATCATATCCACCCACGACATATACTCTGCCATTCAGAACAACTGCACCCAGGGCACTACGGCGAGTGTTCATTGGAGTGATGGCTTTCCAAGACTTTAGCTGAGGATCATAACATTCTACAGTGCTTAACCTCTTATGCCCATCAAACCCACCCAGGGCATAAAGTTTGTTATCCAGGACAGCTACACCGACCCGGGTGCGCAAAGTGCTCATGGCTACACCAGGGAGCCACTGACCTGTCAAGGTATCGTATGCTTCTACTGTGCTGAGAGCTTCACCTGACGATGTCAGACCTCCAATGGCATAGATCAAGCCAGCAGCTTCACTACATCTTCTTGGTTTGGTGCGGACCGACTGTAACTTAGATCTTCGCTCTGGCATCAGCAGGTAGTCTTTCGCTTCGTCCACTAGATCGCGACATGCTAAATTATTCTTGATTAGCTCGTTGCTTGAAACCTTGTCGCATAGATACTGCGGACTTATTAACGGCAGACGAACGTTCTTTAACAGTTCTGGTAGAAAATCCTTTCTTTCATCTACCTCTCTACACACCCAAGCTGAAATAGCTTCAAAAACCTCCTCCTCGGTGCGGACATTTAATTCTTCCCGCGAAATCATCTCCACGACGTCTTCGGGGGAAAGAGTTAAAAACTCTTCACTTCTTGCCACCTCAGAGAAGTTCTTCACGGCAAAAACATCGGCTGCTTCTACAAGATCTACGCAAGAATACGTGTCCGCAAAAGACCGGATGCCAAGACAATTTGTCGGATGAAGAACACGATGAAGAAACTGCACGCACGCTTGCTTCACGCTCGCCAACTGAAGCAGACTGGACGCCGACAACAGGTTCTGTACATTGCCTGCATTTATCTCTATCCTTCCAGTGTAGCAGAAATTCACGAGATCTTCTAAGGCTGAAAATTCGACATCGAACAAAGTGACCTCATCCTGACGGCTCTCCTTCATATCTCCAGTAAACATAGCATTGAAATAACTGCTCGCAGCAGCGAGAACAACGCGATGGGATTGTAAATTGCATTCGCCTACACGTAGATAAATGTCGCATAGCTTGCCCTCTTTTCTAAGTTTGTGGAGCCCCGAGAAAACTTGTGTAGAAAACTCGGGCACGCAGAAAAGCAAACTTTCCTCTGACGCCATGTTGCTAAAATGAGTCGCTTTGGCTGAGGTGAGCAATTATCACGTGATCTTGACAGGTGTTGTTATGACAAACTGACGCGTTAGAGCGATTACCGATGTCAATCAAACACCTACTTGACATGTTGATTGACAAGTATCAATAACAGTACCGTATTGCTAACCACTATCAGCACACCTATTAAATATTGCCTGCGAATTTTTAATTGCACCCAAGCGTTTTCTAAATTAAACAGGATCTTTCTAAAATTTCTTTCATCAAATATATTTCATTAGCAGTATTTCTTTACATAAAGATGCTGCTTTTGGCAGATTTTATATTGCCTCTCCCCTAACTTTCTAACTTAATATTGAAAAACAAACATCCAGTTCAAAAGATATTGCAATAATTTTCAATAATACTGTAGTCTCCGTGAAAAAAATATTAAATTAAAATGAGGCAATACTTTTTCAGCAACTTCAATAACTTCAAACTAAAAGATGAAAAATTCTGATCATAATTATTTTATTTTGAAGCCACAAAGCATCTCTCACATTTGTCCAATATATATTTCTAAGCCTGAAAATTTGCATTAAAGGTGAAGGAATTTAGGAAGATATTTCACCAAATGTTAAAATGATAGCTTATGTTGTTCTAGATCTCTCATTTAATCATTCATTAGCACTTTTCTTTAAATCCTGCAGCCAGCTTTTAAGCTGTCTTCCTTGAGTTGCATACTCCCAATTGATAGCGTATGAAGCAAGAGAACCATCATAGAGACAAGAGCACCCAAACTGCACATTCACACTACCATATTACTGATATTTTTATTTACATGTGGATCAAAACAATTGGAAGTTGTATTCCAATGTCCTTTATTGATTCTTGGTGTCATAGAATCCACCTTTGTCCCCAAATATCTCACCAAAGGAAAAAACACCTGTCACCCCCCAAAAAACAAAATAGATAAATAAAGAAATCTCTAGGATTTGCTCAAAGATTGAATGACTATCTAGCATTGGAAGTAATGGTTTTAGACTTGCTAAGTTGACCTGGCGAGCTTGACGAGCAGAGCAAGCTTTTTTAGGCCGCAAAATGGGTTCTGAGAGTGCTTTGTCACCACTGCCATGGTAACCACATGCATGGTACTTTTGAAAGAACCTCCAAAATAAACACACTTTTTTTGTAAATACAACCTCAAAATATCAACTCCCAATATTGCTTTTCATAAAGACATACCATAGGAGTCATGTTCTTCTCTGTTCGCAAATAAAAGCTACAAGTATTTATGAAACAATGGTTTTGTTAAGAAAATGGTAAGGAAAAATATTTTTATCCTTGTTTGAACTTTACATGTGGGTGTTGTTTAGCAGAAGAAGGGGAACTGGGGATGGGGGGGGGTTGGGGGTCCAATAATTGTAATTGTAGTGGGAATGATCATTAATGATTATTAAGGCAAAGTTCACCCTGCGGAAAATAAGCTGGAATCATAATTAATCCAACACAATTCAAATTTATCAAGGCTTTATTTTTGCCACAGATTCGTGGCTTGCTTTCTTCATGGATTTTAAAACAACTAGCCTGCGTCGCAGACACACTAAACCATGTTTATATCAATACTACACGCAACACATGGGCCAGCTGCAACACTGGCTAACAACAACAGGATATTTTTCAAATTATTTTCCTGTCCCAGTGAACAAGGCTGTCAACAACAGAAAGCTAAGCAGGCTCACTAACAGTCCATCAGGATTTTTCGAATCCTGCACTGCACCTTTTAAAACGCCCCTATTTTTTACAAGAAACAATGTCTTTGATACTCATGCAGTGCTTATGAGATCATCACTAGTATTTAAGTAGTTGCATTCCTGTCCTTCCTGTTTTGATTGAACCAAAAACTTACAGTATTTGTAAATTCCTCATACTCTTTAAAGTCATTTTCATTCTTGTAGTCCATGACTTTCTACCTCTCCTTTTCCAGCTTTGTAACAACTTAACGTTTTAAAGCCCTGTAACCACTATTTGTCAGAATTATTTGTGTCGCCAGCTGAGTTGTCCATTGATTTTGGGATCACTTTAGTACTTTTCGACTTTCTTTTCCTCCCCCGCAGGAACTTTGTTTTTCGCTCTTCTAGCTTTTTCTTTCTTGTTTGTCCTTTGCCCCCTCCCCCGCAAGTTATCTCGACATTTATTTTTCGTCCATCTAGTGTGCTGTGGTGTAGGTTTAGAGCTTTCTGTGATGAAGGGAATAAGCAAAAATACTCAGGATTAATATATAATATTCCAGAGCTACATACATGTATAATCATAGAATGGTGATTTATGATCTGCTGCCTAGGTGTAAGTATATTATTTGAAAAAAATTAATATAGTGTGTTTAATGTTATCAGTAATATTAATGATGACATAAAATTAATATTATTTCTTAGATGTTAACAAAGTAATAGGCAGGGGTCCTTTTTTAGCTAGGATGCCTGGTATGATTAATTATGACTAATTATTAGTGAGTACATATTATATAAAAAAAGATAATAAGTAGTGTTAAAACAACTCTACTATCATACATTCATGCCTTGAAAAAGTATTCACATATTTTTGACAGCATTAGAAAACAATCAGCTTTTAAAGAGCTGAGGGAACTAGGAGAGGGAGGAGCCTTACTCTCTTATTCCTGGGTTTGAACCTTTCACAGTTTTACATTCACTTGGAGACAGAGCAAACGACTTGCAAACAAAAATTTGCGACTTAAGTGACCAATCAGGTTGATATCCAGAGTTTAATACCATCAACTCACATGATACAACTCTGACTCTGAAGATGACTATCGCACAGGTTGTTGAAAAGTTAGTCGCTGTCAACAACAACAGTCCTATTCAGGACAACATTCACCCGGACAATCATACTCAAACTACTTATAAATATTATATTGAGCAGTCTCTGCTTGGTAGAGCTGGTAGGAAAGAGCCTCTGGTGCAGTGACCAGAAGACTTGTTTTTACCTCAAGAAAAGCTCCTTTCACTTACCCAATAACTTTCCTTGTTGTTAAACTCAATGAATCCACATCCTTTTGATTCTCCTGTCTTCTTTGTCATCAGTCTAAAATCCTTTATGCTGCCTAGTCAGGAAAAATAGGGACATGCTGCCTAGTGAGGATGTTTACTTAAAGTGTAGTAGATCTAGGTTATGCACAAGGATTTTTCATGAGAAGTTTTCCCGGGAATATTATTTGTATTGGTAGGATGAAAAACACCATGATGTTGTAATCACTAAGTAATGAGTAAAATTATAAGAAAAACAAACAAACAAGTTTTGTATTGTACCTTTGCCGGTGCACCTGAAATGCCACTTGACATCTTCCTCCTTAACTGTGTATGGCATGTTACCTGTGAAACAGCATGTCATGTTCCTCATTATATTAACTGTGGCAAATTTCACAGTTTAGATGTGAATAGTATTACCCTTGCAGATTGAAAACTTCGCTCTCATACCAAGAACTCAGGGTTGAGGACCAACCTCTAAAACCTGGACACAAAAATGAGCTATTCCAGCCAAAAAATAGGAAACACTTTTAAGTGTATTTAAAAATAAAATCAAACCACTGAAAGAAAATGAAGAGTCCACATGAATGATTGCACTTTCCCTGAATTTTCCTATGATTTTGGAAGAATAAACACTGGAGATTTCAAATAGAGATCTTAAATCCATCAGGGGTGTAATTGTTCATTCCTTGAAAACGTTGGAACTGATCATTGAAGCATCTTCAGAAATCTTTACCATTGATATGACTGGGTCCTTTACAGAAATCCTGGCACTTTTAGGACAAAAATCTCAAGCCTTAACTAAAAAACATTGACAAACATTTTTTTAATCTATGAATGTGTGGTTTCAGAAAATATCTTTAGACTTCCATAAAGGGTCATAGGAAAGACCCTAAACTGGACTATCCATAAGTGGGGAGGGGTTCAACCGCCCCCCCCCCCCCCGCTCCTGCATCTACTTAGGAAGTACACACCTGGCTAAATCACAGAAGTCTTACCAATAAAAAGAATGTATCTTTTGTCTTGTTTTCCCTCATTCTCGGTTTTGCTATTGCTTTCATCTTGAGCAGAAGCTCCTTCCTCTGGAATTGCTTTCTCTTGAACATCTTTTTTCACCTTTTTCTTATACTCTGAAAAATATGGAGAATTTAAGAAATAAACTACCAACTAGCAGCCTTTAGGGGTTACTACATTCAAGGGGGTCATCACTTTCAGGTGATAAGCTCTGGAGCTTTTCTCTCAGTTACTTCTCTTGTCTTTTGAGCAATAACAAAAAAAATGGAAAACAGTCAATTCTGGGGTCAGGCTTCCTTCTGGAAGTATTGTAAGTTACTTTCAAAGGATCTTTGCTTTTTGCCAAACATTAGCTTATACCACTTTTTAACTTTCACTTTGTTATTCATTGCTTTCATGCTGCCTCCAGAGACTCTTGTGTCCTTGGTGCACAAAATTACAAATTTGAGGAAGAGGGGGTCAAAGGGGTTATTGTGTGATATGGGATTAACTGTTTTTAATTTTCATGAAATAATTAAGTGAAAATACAAAATTTAAATCCATGAAATGCTGTCCTTTTACTTCGGAAATGTTTGTAAAACATGAACATGGAATTGTAATCACCGTGATGCATTATTTCTACTTTTAAATGTTTGAGGAATCAGGGGCAGATCCAGGATTTTTTTTAGGAGGGGGTGCACTCGTCTCTTGCTCTACTTCAATGCCAATAAACCACATAGTTTTTTGTTTGCAGAATACCAGTTGTATTAGAAAACCACAGGACATCTCAGGGGAGGGGGGTGTGCACCCCCCTGCACCCTCCCCTAGATCTGCCCCTGGGAATGTGCATAGGTCCCACCCCCTGCCCCTTACTCCTCTTGAAAAAGTCTTGGAGTTCCCACCTGAGCTTGGTTAGAACATCAAATGAATAACATTAGTAAGACCAACAGCCTTATTGAGGTCATTCTTTTAAAACTTTTATATGCCCTAATAGTAATCAGCATCATATTTCTCATTGCTCTCTCAATGTTTTATATAACTAATTGGTGATGAGAAACAGGGCATGATCACTCAAGATGAATTTATTTTATACCTGCCAACTTTTTCTGAGATATAAGCGTGAGATTTTTATCCTGGGAGTTCTGGGATTTTTGCAGACGACACGATCATTTCCGAAGATTCCCGAAGAAGTCCGAAGTCTTCTGAAGACGTCCGAAGTCTGCCGAAGGCGAAGTTATCGAGAAAACGCTTATCCACAAAATCAGAGATCGCAAGGAAGGTATTGTTATTTATTCATTTACACATGGTTTTCGTTCCTTACATGGGTCTGAGTTAACATATTTTTGGAAATTGTGTCAAGCAAGACGGCAACAACTCACATTTTTCAATCAGGCGTGAGAAACTGACCCGCAGGCGTGAGCCGGCATGAGATCGAAGTTTTCAACCCGCAGGCGTGAGACTCACGCCTAAGGCGTGAGAGTTGGCAGGTATATTATTTTGTTTCTTCAACGTAACTTCTCTACACTATTTCCTATAGCAAATGTTTACTTGGCTTTTAAGGATTAATAAGATACAATTTTAAGTTACCTATATGAGATTTCTTTCTTATTTTCTGATTCTCAGGCTTGTGATTCTGCCACCACCTAAAAGTAAATAAGCTTACCATCATGACATTGTACCCGTGCCGCCTTCACTATATTAAAATACTTGTACAGATATAAAAAAAATGTAGAAAATTACCTCGACAAGATCAAGAGGAAGTACATCAGAATACTCAGTTCATTCTGCTCATTACTTTATAACATCATTAGAATAGAAGGGATTTCATAATCTTGAATAGACTGACTTGTTGGAATCAATATTCCGGTATTATTTCCAACATGAAAATCTCCTATAATCCTAAGTTAAGCTTTTCACTATTTAAAAGAAAGTTCACGATTGATGTGTGTATTATACGCCAGTGCACAGCCCTATTTTTGTCAGCAGATAGCAGCCTACAGGCTGAGGTTTTACAGGGAATAATATAATACTAACACTCACTCGATTCTTTTTCGTTTCCTCGGTGTCATAGACTGTAGATCTTCCATCTTGAATGTAAGGAAGTGAAATTTGTGTTAAATTCTCATATATATTGTCTGATCTAGACACTAACAATTATTTTAATACTGTTGGATTTTGTGCGCGTGGTGTCCGCCATGTTGGACGGGAGAATCTGGATTCTACTGCAATCCCAGCAACCTTAGCAGGATAGAATTCAATATGGCGGGTGGTTGACATGAAAACAGTCAAGAGGAAAAAGATCATATTTTTGCCATGGATCGTGAATTTGACGTTTTAGGGCAATACCGCACCATTACTTCCAAGTTGAAAAGGCGTTTCCTCAAAAAGCCTAACGTTTCTGAATCAAGTAGTCAATTTGGTGCTCTTGCCAAGGAGCTGAAAAGACAAGACTGTCCACAATATGCAGGTTTCTGCAGTCTGGCCAAAGCCAGGTGTGAAAATACGCTCTCAAACGCGACCGGGGAAGTCGAAGCACTTACCGAAGCGGCAAGATTGTTTTTAGAAGCGGAGAAGAACTGCGTAGAACTTAAATGCCCGGCGTTCGAGGAACACTTGACTGAAGCAATACATTTGTATAATCAAGCCATTAAGATCCACTGTGCCCAAGGGAACTCGGCTTTAGGGGCTTGTTTGTGCCTGGAGATAGGAGACGCCTTGAGATACATGAACCGGCCCCACGAAGCTATGGTCCACTATCAGCATGCAGCGGAGTTACAGCATCAGAATCCTATAGATGCTCTGCAGTCTATGACATTAGTGGCATCATGCAAAATTGATACAGGTAGATAATTTAACCTGAGGCATGTTAAACAACCCACCCTATCAGTGGGTAATGGAACAGTTTCACTTACTTAAAAGTGGTTCTTAAATGTTGCTTTGATCAATGTTATGCATGGTTCAATTCTATTTGCTCCAGACCAATACCCCACACCCCACCCCCCAACCCCCATCCCCACCACCATTACCACCACCACCAAAGGATACACCTTTTTTCTTACATGGCGGTCTATTCCCTCCCCACCCCCATAAATGCAGAAAGGGAGAATTCCCCACCCCCTGGGCTCCTCATCAACAACACATACTTTGTTTTGATAACAATATTGATTTCCATATAATTAGCAAATCAAGATGTTTTGTAATAAATTGATGGTAGTATTTTAAGGGAAATTGTCTCAGGTTTGTATTTCATAAAATACGGGACTGAGATCTGTTTTTAATAGGCCATACAGCCATTTTCAGAAAGATATGTTTCCTTCCTCTCCACTTGTAGGGAGGGTGGAAATATGGCTCCCTCAAAAACATTGGTGTTTTTGGGTAGGTTTCCCAGGAGTGGGCATTAGAAAAAGGGCAAGTAGGCTCACTCAGTTGTTTCAAAATTTCTGGGATTCTGTGGTTCATGCAACCATTTCCCCCCCTATTCAAATTCTTCTCCATTGGCTTCTTTAGTTGAGACGCAACCGGAATAGACTAAGGTTATTTGTGTTTCAGGTGATTTTGACGGTGCTCTGTCTGTGCTAACTGAGATGGCTTATTTTGCTGAGGAACGTGGATCTGTGAGCCAACCCCATGGCAAATTACAAGGTCCATATCAAGAAATCTTAGCACATTGTGAAATTGGACGAGTCCTTCTTCTTATGTTACTGCAGCCCACACCTCAACGTATTCGTCCTCAACATGCTCAGATACTTGAGAAATACTCTGAAGGCAATGTCACTGGGCACCCTGTAGAATTTATGAACAAAGATTTGTTTCTGTTGCTTCAGTCTGTGGTGATGGTTTGTCAGGAAGGAGATGCATGTGCTCTGCAGGATCTTGAAAAAGATCTATGGACTTATCTCAACCCTGAGCAACAGCATCTTCTTCATTTGATTACCCTAAAAATGTCAAACAAGGAACACTAAGGCAACTTGTAGACTAGCTTGCACAGCATATGCTTGGAAGTAATAAGCGAAACAGAATGGGATGTGTGACAGAGTTATGTGAGGGGAAAGGGAACACCTGCAAACAAAATAATATTTTGCCCAACATTTTCTCGGATCTAACGTGATAAATACTATCGAACAGAAATTATTAAGATATGTTTATTAGTGATCAAAGTTTTTCAGAACCAATAAAATAGTCATTTTCAAGTAGAGTAGAATAATATTATTGGCAGTGAGTGCCTTCCACAACTTGGATTTGGAAGAGAGCATAATGAATAGCCTACAAGTGAGCTCTCAGTTTGGGGGAGTCACAAAAGGAGCAGTGCACGAAAGGAGACATGAGTTCCCATGGCTTCGTTGCTCACTCACACATTGTCTTCTGGCTTCGCTTCAGGCTACATAATTTATTTCAAGAAGTTATGTGGGCCATATTGGTGTGTAATAAGCCAATCCTGTGGGAGTTAATATAAACTCTTTTCTTACATCAGGACTTTCTATTGATCCAATAAACTAACATAACCATAGCTCAGATGTTTGAAAATAGTACATACCCAACTCTTGTGCAGAGATTAAGCTAAGAAAAGGCTCAGCAGGCTTTTTTATTATTCAAGCTGGCTTTTTTACTCAATTGCTCAGTGTTCTCCCTGAATTTTAGCTCAGCAGGAAAGGGACCATTCATGGCCAGTAAGGCAAAAAATATGCACCAGAGGCGCATTTTCCTGGGGAGGGGGGGAAAGGGGGAAGGGGAGTGAGGGACATGGCCTGTCCTCACTGGGAAATTTAGGAGCTAAGTTCTCTGAAACATCATTCCCTCATTTTAAGACCTACTGTAAAATTCCAAAAATCAGCCCCTCCAAAAATAAGCTCCCCAGACTCATAACACAAAAACACCTCCGTTATATCGCCCCTCTGAATATAAGCCCCTGGGGGCTTTTACTTGGAAATTGTCCTCAAATACAAAAAACAAACAAATAAAGCAAAAATGGTACAGTACCACTTAAACTTTTTATTTGCCTAAGAACTATTATGTGTGCCAAAGTGATTACAGTCAAAGAGTGTTAGAATTTGTCACTGTCTGCATAGTTCACTCTTCATTCTTGGCTTGGGTTTCCTTTTGTTAAGATTCATTTTTTTGGGTGAACAGTATTCCGTACTTTATCAATGATGTTACTTTACATTTGAACCGAGTGTTGCATTTCAATAAAAGAATTTGCGGTTGTGCTTTAAGTTTGCATGGCTGCATTTTAAGAAGATCCATGTCCTCACAGCGAGTTCCATAGGTAAAAACTTCGGGCAAATTACTGACATAAATTTCCTTCCGACTATAAGCTAGCCCAATCAATTTTGAGACGCAAATTTCCCTCTGTGTATAAGCCCCTTTGAATATAAGCTCCTCCAAAAATAAGCCCCTCAAAAAGATCCTTTGAAAAATATAAGCCCTGGGACTTATTTTCAGAATTTTACAGTATGTTAAGCAAATCGGCCATTGTTATCTTTACACAGCAATTCAAAACGTTTGATTTCAAAAATTTTACTCTGTCTAAATGTCCTCTTTCCAAAATGTGTGGCCCATAGAAAGAAAAGCTGTGTATACTTTATTACTTTTCCATATATTCATTCTGGCATTTCCTAGTGAGAACTGGATCGGATCACAACTTGCTTTTTTTTTTTAAAGTAAACCTTCAAGTGGTTGCAGTTGATAAGAAGAGTTGCTTCAGGTGGTACCTGTACATTTTACCAGTTAACACCTGATAAGGAAGCTCTGCAGTGCCGGCCCCTAGCGACATCCCTGCTCCCATTCCCTGGAAACCTTAAAAAACATATGTACATTATACCATTCTTTTAAGAAAAGCCATAAATGGCAAGTTTATTTCAGACAAACAAATGACATTGCAGTTTTTAATGAGACAATTAACAAGTAAAACACATTACACATGACGCACAAAAACGAAGCAAAACACTGCATACATGACCATCAGGAGTAAAGTCAGAAATATCACCACAAGCTGTACAGCTGGGCTGCTGGAGACTTCCTTGATGGGCTCTATTGGATTTTTTCTATACAATGAACTATTTTTTTCTTTTCAACTCTCAAGGTCAGGTAAATCTGCAAAAGATGGAAATTCAAAATATACCTGATTAGCTTTGACTAAAAAAAGCTTCAACTATCGAAGTTTAGCCCACAAAAACAGCCAATATTCACTGGCTTCCCTGTGAAATGATGTCTCAGGAACAAGCGCAAAAATTCGGCCATACTGATGACATGTCACTACCCAGAAAATTTGCTTCAACCAATCAGAAGCACCACACAGATCTGGGTAGTGACGCATCATCAGTATAGAATTTCTGCAGTAGTCATTTCATGGGGAAACCAGTGGCGGTAATGCAAAATGTCAACTGTTTTACAGCCTATGTAAAGTTTTTAAAGGAAAGGAGATGACAGAATTTTACCATCATCATCGCTGTCATCTGATTCACCAGCATCTCCTGGGTCAAAACTCTGTAAAAAAGCAATGAACAAGTTAGTTTTATAATGGTTTGAACTTGAGAGTCATGACATGAGTAGGCTGAATAATTCACACAAAAATTGTCTAAAAATGTCCCTCTAGCCATTGGCTGTCACCATCAACATCGTTGTCATCACCCCTACCAACATCAATGTCATTATCACCATCATCAACATCGTTGTCATCACCCCTGCCAACATCAATATCATTATCACCATCACCATCATCAACATCGTTGTTATCACCCCTGCCAACATCAATATCACTATCACCATCATCATCATCAACATCGTGGTTATCGCCCCTGCCAACATCAATGTCATTATCAACATCATCATCATCATCATCATCATCATCACTATCATCATACACTTGAATAATGGTAATACTTTTTTGTACCTTTTTCTTAAGCATTGGTACGTAAGTTCTCTTGTATGGTGGTAGTAGTACTTGGTACCTTGTTCGTACGTTGGTACGTAAGAACGCTCTTATTGTGCATAAGTACGTTTATGTTGGTACATTAGTACACTCTTATAATGGTTATACATGTACAAAGTTCAACAACGAGTTTCTATTATGTTAGTTGAGCGTCTAGAGTATATAAGTGTTTTATAGACAGCATGTTAAAAAGTTTGTAAGACATCAAGAGTGACCTAGAATCCTAGCACGTTGATCCCTGTACTAATGAAAAATACAGAAAAGCAAACCTAAAACCGGGCAACATATGCACTGCTTAGTGGTAGATAACGTCAAAATTATCTGTAACCCAGGTCTGCCATACAGCATGTTTATCTCAGTGTACACACCTGTCCACCAGCTGCACCCATTTGATTCATCATCTTTAAAAGTAAAAGCAAAAATGTTTTAACAATTTTTTTTTTACTACTTAAACCCTATACGCCGCAATATCCAGGAATAAACTCTCCACACTATATTCATTATTGTGGGGTGATTTAATAAAAAACAATTACCAAAAATTCAATACTGCACGTAGAAAACATTATTTTTATTCATTTCATACTGTAAACTGTAAGTGTAAAGCAATGACAACCAAGACATCAAATTCAAAAACACTATAAATTAAAGCAAGCTGTGATTTCTACTCATATCTGTGGTTTTTACTGACAGCTGTGAGCGACCCGACAAAACATTTGTTACAGCGGGGTAAATATTGTGCTTTGGGACCGTCAAAATTTATTTGTTATGGCGGGGTTTGTTTCCACATATTTTACTGTAATTCTGCTGCTTTCAGATATTTTTCATTACAATGGGGTCTTTGTTAGAGTGGGGTTCATTAAAATGGGTTCCACTGTATAAGATTGATAAGTAATGATTGAGCTGCAAAGTAACGGAGACAGCTTTTTTTTATAGCCTTGCCCAAAGTCAAAGAAGGGAAATTTTATTAGCAAAACCTACAGTGTAAATGAATAACTTGAAAGTCAAGATTGTCATATTTACAGTTCAAAACTTGTTTGATACTTAACTAACATGCTTTTAACTCGGTTAAAAATTTAAAACTTTACTAAAAAGCAGGTTGAGGACAGAATTATTGCAAGCTTCCTGGTGCACTTATAAAGAAAAATATTCTTTGAGTGAAAAGAGTTCAAAAGATAAAGAAAATTGTTACTTTAAGAGAGCTAGTAAAATCACTTTACTTACAGCTTCAAAGTTATCATCTATTGCTGTGTCCTCTTCTTCAGAGTCATCTTCATCCCTCCATCTGTTGAAATCTGTATGAAGGAAACTAGGCTGCAAGAAAAGCGACAAGTACATTACTGGAATCGATCATAAATCAAAGGATTGTGTTTCACACATTTTCAGCAACAAAGGAGAATGCAAAGTGATACCATGTTTTTTACTTTTCTAATTTTGTCAACTAATTAGTACTTTTCATTCAATAAAAAAGAAAAAACAAAAAACAAAAAGAAAACAATATTGTTTTCTTTTTGTTTATGCTTGAACTTTATTGCATAATTCCAGTGAAAGAATAATGGAAAGGTATAATTATGAACAGGATAAACCCTAATTTAAATGGAAATACAGTGAAACCTGTATTAAGCGGACACCGTATTAAGCAGACACCCTCTATTAAGCGGACAGTAGCCGAAGTCCCAAAATTTGTTTCCCTTATTTACTTCAAATGAAACCTTTATTAAGCGGACACCTCTATTAAGCGGACATGGACACCTAAAAAGTCCCTGAAATGGTCATTTCTATTGTTGCCAACCTGTATTAAACGGACACTTGTAATTAAATTCCATCACCTAACATGCCAGACACCAGAAATGTGAAAGATTGCCTCCAATTGCCACCCACAAATTTTTCGATTTTTACATTTAAAAACTTGCTTGACGAACTTATTTGATTAGTTTCACTGTACTGTATTGTTTTCCATTTCGTTTTGTTTGTATAAAGCTTTTTTCACTTATCTGATTTCTTCAAATTTGAGTTGCAATCTATGTTTATGGTACTATGATCAATTTGTTCACTTTGATAAAGAAATTAATGCAAACGTATATCGTCAGAGTCTCTGGGAGTATTCTAAACGTTTCTACTGTTCATTTGAATGGCATTTGACACCTCATATGACGTTAACTATCAAAACCTGTATTAGGCGGACACCCTGTATTAAGCGGACACTACAGCATTCCCCGAGGGTGTCCACTTAATACAGGTTTCACTGTATGATCGTCACAGTGATAACTGAAATTCAAGCAATAGTTAAACCAAAATTGAACTCAAGAAATTGGCTTGCTCCCAATGTATGGGTCTTCATAACAAAGTTGGTAGAGCACTGCAGCACTAATGCAGAGGCCATGGGTTTAAATCCCATTGAAGTTTCAAAATGTTTTCAGGTTAATTTGCAAAATGCAATTACCACTTGGACGATCATAGCTTCATTTAAATTTTTATTTCCACAGTTCACATCATCTTCATTCTAGGATACCTTCTTTGGGTCTTTGAGTAGTCTTGGCCAATAAGGTCCTTCCTCTTTCTTCTTTATGTTCAAAGAAATTTCTCTTGCTGTGACGTGCTTCTTAGACTCCTAACAATAGGGAAATAACCACAAATTCAGCTCTTCATATGGGAATTCATTTAGGCTGCATACTCTAAAACTGTATGGAGTCCACAGTATGGAGACGCACCTTGATTAGTGTTTCTGCCACTTTGTGGGCCAGTAGTATCCCACATATTATGTGAAGTAAAGAAAGGCTGTTGTTGTTGTCAACTTATCAACCAAAGAAATCCGTGGAGCCCAGGATAAAAATTAATCTTTTTCAAACCAAATTTTTGTTTTTCTTGTTGCCAAAAGGCAAACATAGAGACCACTGAGTGCTGCCAGGACATACCTGATCATACCTTAGTGGGCACCTTGGCTGCCACGATTTCGAGTCATCGTCTTTATATGAACTGTGCTAAAGTCCTGGAGGGGTAGGAGGATGGGTTTTCCCATGAATTTTGGATAGGTGTGTGCCACCCAGGGTCTTAAACCTAAACCCTGATCTGATACCCTATTTAAGGCCCAAACCTGAAAAGTGATACCTAATTAAAGGAAAAAACAAAAGCTAAGAATTCAACGGAAAACACACAGCATAATTTATGGTAAAGTTCAGTTTTAACAGATGATTTGTTTCTCATGTAGCTGGGTATTTCCACGCCTGGATTTTAGCTGATATACTAATGGTACCCTATCTAAGGATCACACCGGCACCGGAAACACAATGCCAACAAGGGCAAAAATGATACCTTACTTAGGGAAGGAGACCCTAAAAAACCACACCCTATCGGGCAGGACATACTTATCAGGCTCATATATGGGAGTACCCATCACCTGGCCCCCCTGGAGCTGTAGTGGCATCCATTAGTCTTTGAGAAATATATTCCATACTGATGACACATAACTACCCAGATCTGTGACGTGATGTGTCTTTTGTGCTCTTTTCTCAGACGTCATTTTATGGGGAAACCATCAGCCACATCATGAAAGGCCGTTTTTCATGAAAGGCTGTTTTTGAGCATGAACCCCAACCACTTTCATAGAAACAAAAGGAAAACAGAACCAAAATAACTTCCTGGCTGTTCAATGCCCGCCTATTAACTGCATATCCACAGCAAGGATGGCCCTGACAAATAAAGCTGTCACTCTCTGAACCAAACACAACAGGGTTGTCCATCACTGATGTTCAATCAAGTATCAATAATCTTAATCCTAGAGTCGCAAAGTGGCCAAACCATCCACAAACTTACAAAGCACACCGAAAAAGTGAAACATGTAAGCTTTTATACTTGTACAACTATTTTATACTGTACACCCGGAATTACATTTTTGGCTTACCTCGGGGACGACGTCTTTATGGAATTCCAACTCCAACGAATAAATTTTCTGTTCCTTTCCTCCTTTCGCACTGCGATGTTTAAAAATATATTAAAGAAAAGAAAAGAATACGCCTGCTCAGAGAAATAGCACAAATTTTCCAAGGTACTGGAAGGCTTTATGTTAAAAGCTTAATCTCTTTGGTATTGCTACCACCGAATTCGCAAAAATGTACATGTAATCAGAGTGTCACTGAAATCTACATGAATTCTGCAAAGACGGTTAGAAATTTGTGGAACGAACGAAAAAAACATCACCCCTTACCTGAAATGAAGATGTGTTGAAGTAATAGAAATATCCGGTTTTTGACAATCGGACAATTCTATCGTGAGCATTAATCTGTCTTTTCGCTGAGCCCATTTTGTAGCTGGATGAAGCGGCCTAAACGTAGAAATAAAACTGTATTAAGCAAGTACAAAATCAAGGAAAAGCGATGCTAAGGGAGCTTATTCCTTACGTTATTTCGCCCATTGTATTACAATATTTTCCACAAAAAGCAACCGTTCACACAGACACAAACTGAATTCTGTATGCAGCACGAGGATAAAAGTCACGCTCCTGAAACCTCTCGCCCGCTCCTCGGTCCAAAGACGACGAGCGTCGGAGGTCTGGGTCAGAGAAAGTCGGAAAATGTTGGAACCAATCGGAAGGATTCGGAATCATTCGGATTTCTTTGTATTGCCGGTCACTGGGTTCACAGTCAGGTACATGTCATTCTTTAGCTGCTCGAAGAGAATACTTTCCTGGCGGTGGACTTTAAATCACAATCTCGCATTGAAAGGGAAATTGTTACTTTCTTCCTATGCCTTAAACTTATGTTGCAAGCACTCACATTTTAAGTTTTTCTGCACGAGCTTTGAAAAGGAACTTGGTGATTTCAAGATGGCGAGTGGAAACGTCACTTTGGAAACCCTCAATTTCGACAATCTGGCGTTGAGAACGCTACCCATAGACAAGGAAACCAAAAACTATGTACGACAGGTATCTGGAGCTTGTTTTTCGCGTGTTGAACCTGCTCCTGTGGAAAATGCAAGAACAGTTGCATATTCTTCTCAAGCAATGTCTCTCCTTGATTTACCCCAAGAGGAGTTGGAACGCGACGAATTCCCCGAGTATTTCAGTGGCAATAAACTTTTACCTGGTGCGGAACCCTCAGCACATTGCTACTGTGGTCATCAGTTCGGTTATTTTTCTGGTCAGCTTGGAGATGGGGCTGCCATGTAAGCTCAAGATAAGATGATGTAATAGATTCCCCAGTGGGGGGGGGAGGGGGAGGGAAATGGGTACTATACATGTATCACCCCAAATACCTATGCATGAACCGCCAAAAGGGATCATGAGTTTCAAATGGATTATAGTGTTTCATATGCACAACAGTTCCCTAAATCAGTTGCAAAATAAAATATTTAATTAAAGTAGGGCATCAAAGCTGGTCTATTTCTAGAATGTGATAAATCATTTTCACTCATGTGGGCAGAAAAGGAAAAGTTAACAATCCCACACAGGAATTTTTTGGTACATTAACATGGCTGGCATTCCATTTTTGTGGTCTACTAGTATGTCCACTGTGATGTCATGTGACAATGATCTACACTATTTTGAATGGAAACTCTTTCTAAAATTGTCTCCACATTCTTAGGCTTGAGCAGAACATAACCACTCAAGACAATTTAGTCATGTGCAACACAACTTAAAAAACTGGTTTGTGCAATAACAACTGTGGGCTCAGAAATTTCCAGCATGCTGTCTAAACAAGACACAAGCGTATCACATTAATTGAAACCGGTTTGAAAATAAGTAAGTTTTGGCCACAAAAGTGGTCAGCAGCTACTTGAAAGAACATATCGGAGACCAGCAGAGGTCTCCCTTTTTCCTCACCATCTTCTCTTGCTGGGAGAAACCTCTGCTAGCAGGGAAGCCATGTGGTTAGTTAGCTTTTGTGTAGCCATACCCTCACCCTGTTGTTTTCTCCCTGGAGGTAGTTTATGGCTAGACATAGGTTAGGGGTAAGAAATATACTGTTATACCCAGGATAAAATTAATATTACACAGTATACCCCAAATTTCCCCACTTTTTTTCTCAGTATATCCAAGCTTTCAGGAGACATCATACTGCAAATCATTCATTATTTACCAGATGAAAGATAGAGTACCTTATACCCAAAACACCCACCTCATGCTGATCCAAGATCAACCAAAGTACTTCACAACTAAACAGTTTGCTATTTAACCAACCAGGATTTCTTCCATTACAAAAATAATGCCGCATTATCAAATTTGTAAAATTTCTACATTTGTGTTTTATTGACCTATTTTCACACCAATCGGAAGCAGTATACAGTATTAAATTGCTTCTGGAACTGGTTTTGGAAGAGGAAGTCCACAGAAACTCTCCACTTTTTCTTGACAACTTTGTGATAACCACTCTTGCAAATAACTGGTCCCAATTAGCGCCTTGAGGAACTCTGAGTACACCAACTGCCATAGTGTGACCATTTCTCTCTATCAATGCTTTAGCAATATTGTTGTTGTAAACTTCAGGTAAAAAATTATTATTGATATACAAAGTTTTTTTTATTGAATTTTGGGTGGGTGTGCAGTTTTGAAATGGTTGCCTATATTTGGTGCCTGTTTCATATCAACTATATTTTAATATTGTTGCATGCTGAAAGAATAAGTTGTCATTTGTTTGATTGCCTGTTGCAGGTATCTTGGTGAGGTAGTCAATAAGAAAGGCGAGCGATGGGAAATACAGTTCAAAGGTGCTGGTTTAACACCTTATTCAAGGCACGCAGATGGCCGAAAAGTTTTACGGTCAAGCATTAGGGAATTCCTCTGCAGTGAGGTGACTAGTTATACATTATTATTGGGTTTTTATGCCCAAAACACTGTACACATGAAGCAGTTTTGCTGCTAAGTTATCAAGGGTGTATGTTTTGAGGATACTAGAGCAAACCAAGCACATCTTTTTTTTGAGCTTTTATTTGAGAAGGCCAGATTATTGAGATTTGCCCTGAATGTTGTTTTTGTTGTTGTTTTTTTTCCCAAGATCCGAAGACCCAGGTCAAATTTGATTGCAGGTTTATTTTGATTTAACCTTTGTTGATTCTTACCCCCGGCTCAGACGCTGATTTTTTTATGAGCCAAGCCTAATTCAAATAAGGTCGACCCAGATTATTTAGAGCGGCTGTTCTGATTCAGACACCGATCTTAATTCTAGCCGAACTAAATTCAAAAGGATAAAATGCTGATTCCGGTTGAACTGCTTACAAAATACGTCATAATAATGTGTATTCACTAGGTCCGGCACATGAAAAGTTCGTCGTCTGAATCAAAGGCATTCCAGAGTCACTCCAAAGGCGAAATTCCCAGCCATGCTAGGCGGGAAGGCGGGAATTAGGTATTCCTAATTGATTCAGATGCCAAACTTTTCATGAACCTAATTCAATGTGTTAGGTTTGACTCACAAAAAGTTCGGCCTCTGAACTGGGCCTCAGTTTCCTTTGTCTCCCAGCCATAGGAGACAAAGGAAATGAAGAATCAGCCTGGGTTAAAAACTTTTAGCCTGTGATATGATAATACATAGTCAGTAGTGCAATAACTAATAAAACCTGCGTTTATGATTTATAGGCCATGCACTTTCTTGGAGTCCCAACCACACGAGGTAAGTGACATAATCATGTAGATAGGTAGATAGATAGATAGATAGATAGATAAGAACTTTATTTTAGCACGATAAAAAGATCAGCATTGCTGGTGGGGTCGTGCATACTAACAACATTATTACAAGAAAAATAAGAAGTACTAGAAGCAAATGTACAATTAAACATTAAACTGTTAAAAGTATTCGTAACCGATATCTCTATTTTTAGTAGTAGCTAAGATTGGTTCGAAATGCATTTTATCGGTATCAAATTTCACAAGACAGTGTTTAAATTCTTTTAAGGTTTTAGCCCTTGTTTCCTTGTTTGTTAAAGTGTTCCATGTGATTGCTCCTCTAAAGGGTATGGAGTGCCTAATAAAATTAATTTTGTTTCTGGTCTTGGAAGAATGATGTTGTCATTACTTCTGCGGCCTGAACTCCTCTGTAAAAACAAATCTTTAAATTCCATGATGGTCAAGGAGTACAAAAATATCAGTTAAATACCTGCCATACTCTTTCAACCCTACCCATTTCTGTTAAGCTTCCTTTAAGTTGACCATGGTGTTAATCCTTTCAATTTCTTTTCCTTCAGCGGGCAGTTGTGTGACTTCAGATACAAGAATCATCAGAGATATTTTTTATGATGGGAATCCCATAAGAGAAAAATGTACCATCATACTGAGGATCGCTCCAACATTCATCAGGTGACTACAAGTTTCTGAGTAGTATGGTAAATGATCGATTAGTGTCGCAGTACTAATATTTCATTTTCCCTGTTATGGGTGCAGTGCTTATAAAAGAGTGGTGCTTATTTTAACTACTGGTAAAATGCTAAGGGGAATATAGAGAGAATAAAGTAAGGCGCGTACTTGGTATGCACAATTTAATATGAAAATGTACTCCTCGAACTGTCATATGAACCCAGTTTTATGAGTTTCCCTGCATTAAAACTTTCAAATTCAAGAGTTGGTCAAGGTCTTATTTCTCAAGCAATATAGTTTTGATATCTTTTTATATCAAGCACTCAACAAAGGTGGAGCATTAATTTGTAAATAGATTATCGATCATTAATGGTACACTGCATTCAAATTATATTACTGTTTTCCTGTGTACAGTAGTGTAGGCTAATAATAGAACTTACAAAGTGTCTTTTTTTTAACTAACCTGAGAAAACAGCCAGCATTTTTCAGTGCCACCACTGGTTTCCCCACAAATTGACATCTGAGAAATGAGCATAGAAATTCCATGCTGGTTACTACTGAGATCTTGGGAGTGCTTCTGATTGGTCGTGCCATGTGGGATATTTGCCTCAACCAATCAGAAGCACCACTTAGGTCTAGGTAGTGACGTGTCATCAATATGGAATTTTTGCACTCATCCCTAAGACATCATTGGGAGGAGAGAATCCAGTGTTGGTATTGTAAAATATCAGCTGTTTTTTTTAAGGCTTTTTTTTTACCTGTCTTCTATTCTGTGCTTTGTTCAAAGGTTTGGCTCCTTTGAAATATTTAAACCCACTGACCCTATGACTGGACGGAGAGGACCAAGTGAAGGACGCACAGATATTTTGAGCCAGCTTCTTGACTATACTGTAAAGACATTTTTCCCAGAGGTAATGTCAATTTTCTAGGTTAAAATGGTTTCACCTTAGCTTAAGTTTAAAGTTTAATAGTGCTTTTCCAACCATGCAATAAAAATATTAAAAAGCTATGGTAAAAGATGGCGGAATAGCGGCAGGGGGAAACTGAATTCTCATTCTAGGGCTACTCTCCTTTCATATACATGAACACATTTAAAAAAACTTAGGCTAATATATTACAAAGATTTAAGAAATGGTAAACGTGCAGCATGCAACCATGGAGTTATGGATGCACGCAGGAGGTTGCTAAGCACGAAAGAAGCGTAAGAGTCGCACAAGGCGATAGCCGAGTGCGACTCTAGCTTCTTGAGTGCTTAGCAAACCTCCCAAGTGCATCCATAACTCCATGGTTGCACAGCTGCAACGTTTACCATTTCTTTTATAACATAATCAGAAGAGAAAAACATTATTTTCCATTTGCCTTCGGTTGAGTCATCGGTACGAGTTCATGTATGCTGCCATCTGCCCGCGCGTAAACAAATCATGTTCTATGTTTTTCAAAAACTTGCCTTTGAGTTTTTCTTTCGCTGAATCAACCGCTCTCCATCTTCAGGTAAATTGCAAAACGTTTTTTGTTGTTATTCTGAATGGCATCTGTCTACTTTCTCTTAATATTAGGGTAAAAACTTTGAGGGAAAACTATAGCTGCAACTATAAACACCAGCTAAAGAGACCCAAAAAATAAGCTAAAACTAAATAAATGAAATAATTATCAAGCTTATTTATGTGACAATTTTTGAAATAAACATAAAGTAGAAATGAGAAAATTTGACTGTAATTCCTTTAGAATAACAGGTAACACTAATTTTAAAAAGAAATTAACTAGCTTTGTATCGAAATCTGTCTGGGGAAATCCAGCTATAAAAGTCAAACTTGCAACTGAAATTCGCCGACACACAGCCGGCGCTGAAGCTGTTATTTTTCGACCGTTCTCTGAACGACTGTTATGAATGAACACTGAGGAACAAAATAATACACACAGAAGTTATTTTTTGAAAAATTTATTTGAAAACCCAAATGTTTCTGTACTCAAATGAAATTCGCTTATTCCGGCGTATTGTGCCCGTTTAAACTCAACTAAAATTTTTACTCGACACGATGAAAACTTCACAACAAAGCTGTCTCGAATTTGAGCGTGTTTCCTAAAATATTTGCTTGAATTTAGCATTAGCTTGACCAAAAAGTCAATAACACAATGCTAATTGGTAAATTTACATTTCAAACAGACTTTCTCTTCTACAAAACACACGCAAAATGTACCTTAAATCTTCGCTCGCTCGATTATCCTTCAGCCGATTCTAGCCGCGAGGAAAACAGTGATTAATTCATCCAGGGCAAATTTGTCGCTTGATCTTTTGTCTTTTTTTCCTTCAAAACGACAGCTTAGTATTTTCTTCAACTTCCACTTTTCATCTGTACATTTCATCGGTGTATTTTACCGTCAGGAGAGGAGATTTGTTGAATTTGCCTAAATTTTACCGCGCTAGCTCAGTTTCTTGGCGTGCACCCACGGGCAAATGGTAGTGGCTAACTGACCAATCAGAGCGCGCGATTT